GTTTCCTTTTTTTGATTCACCCTGTATGGGTGAGCATGCCGATAAAAGACATAGTTGTAGGGTTAGAAGCCTGTTTTGGACATGACCAATGTGTCATACAGCCAAAACGCAACTGGAAATAACCAACATTTTAAGTGTAAATCGACAATTAAAATCTAATCTAACTGACAAACTTATCCTGATATTAATCAAGGCAGGCGGTTCAAGAAAAGAGATTAGAGAGACTAGCTTTCATTGCCATCACAGCTGCAATGAAATCAAAATTGAATAACTAAAAGGATAAAGCGATAAAAACAACATAGGTACATAATAGTAATCAAGGAGTTAATGAATGACTCACAGATTTATGCAGATGTTCAACGCTGTAGGGCCACTTTTCCCCCCCCTTTGTCATGAACAGCATGTCTTTCTTCCCTATTTCACAAGATGCGTCTCGCCCTTCTAAATTTGACTGGCAGATTCAGACCTCTACACACTGATAACAATCAGATCAATTACGTCCGTGATTATTGAATAAAAACACACGGTGAGGGCCTGGCAACTCTGCATTTCAAATAGGCAGCCACCACAAATGGTTGGTATGCATTAATAATTAACCAAGGTAATAATAATGCTCGGGTCATAATATCAAATTAGTGCTGCATTGTCCATTATTAAAAAGGCTGCAAACGGACGACCAACTAGAGGGGCATAAATCACATTCAGATGGCTGACGCTCTCGTGCATGTGCATTATTTTTTATGGAGGACCTTTTTTTTACCCAAATTGATTTACGAGCCCAACTAATTAAATTTTGTCAAAATGATATCCCTTAAAAAAGCATTGTTTAACGCCATTATGCTGTACTTTCAAAAATTGTGTTAAATATTATATTTAAATTACCGACTTAAGCGCGATTTAGAAAAGTCATGAATGATAAAAAAATTCAATTTTTTTTGGGATAAATGTTAAATGGCTATTCAATATATCCCATACACTAAAGAACAAAGTAATGCTTCAAATGAAGCAGATATTTCAGATCAATGATCTCTCAGTTCACAAATTTTCACTGGCTTTTCCAGGCTTCCAGCATGCAACTTTGACGGCAATTGCGAAGCACACACAACTCTATTACAATTGCGAAGCACACACAACTTTGTACAATTTTTTTTCAGTTTTCTAAGACACTATATTTAAAACAAAAGTTAAAAGGGTTATTTCGGCTTCATTATGATTAGCTTTTGCTGTGTCCAATTAGACACCACAGGTATTTTTTGTATTTTTTCCCCCTTCTTCTCATATTATTTGTTTCTATTACTTTAATTGAAAAGTATGAAAACTGAATTTTGATTTTCAGTTATTTCCTTTGACACAATCACCCACAATTTTGAAAATCAAATCAAATCAAATTTGTTTGACATTGACAATTCTGAATGGCACCTAAGGTTTTCTTAAATGGTACAATTGTATTATGAATTTACAGAAAGAACCAGTTGATCAGTTTTATTTAATTTATTAAGTTCACAATGATTAGGACTAAAGAAGAAGTTTGGTGAACTATAGTCTAGATCTGCTTTAAATCAGGAAATAAAAATCAAAACTTCTCTTCTCTGACAGTAACAACTACAGCAAACCTCTCATGATTGAAATAAAACAAAAACTACCGATAAAATACACAAAACCGTCAACACAATCTTACATAGTACTAGATTTTAGTAACTGGCAATTCTTCGGGAGTTGTTTCACTTTAACGAATTACTATAAACAGCATTAAAGGGAATGTACAACATTTGCTTTTGCTGCAATTTTCGGAAATAAATGGATTTGGAGGATAAGTATGTTAAAGCAGATATTGTTAAATTGACTTGCTTCACGTTCGGGTTCGGAGATGCTAGGAAATCCAAGAAAACCAACCATATGTTCTTGTAGTTTAGTTCCCTGACCCCACTTAAGATGAAATGGAGCAATTTATAGACTGGGGAATTGTAAGGTCAGAGAATTAGTCTGGCAGGCTTGTACCCCTTCACAGGTGTGTAATCAATTGCAAAGAAAATGCGGAATAACTAAATGTGAACAATTAGGAGCAGATTTTTTTTTTAAACCCAGTTTTCTCCAACACTGGTCGGCGTACCAGCGTTGGAAAAATACAAGTTTTCTTGAAAATGTCAGCACACCAGGAGCCACGTTTTTACAGGATACTTTACACTGTTATTCCCTAACAATCCAGTTTGATATTTCGTGATAATTTGATCAATTTGTATTTTGATGTTCGCAAATGTTGTGTCTTCCCTTTAAGTAGCATCAGCAGGATTTGTGTAAGTACCATAATTATCATAATGGGTTTTGGCCATTATAGTGTAAACCACCCAATACATTACAGCTCTACCAGTATACATGTAGAAATATGATAGCCCTTCTATTTACATTTGGTTTTGCACTGTGCTTTTCCATAATACATGCAATATGAAATTTGAATTTGGAAAATGGGACATTATATGCCAAAGCAAAAAGAATAAATTAATAATGAAATTTGACTTTAGCTTGGAAAATGGGCATTATATGCCAAAACAAAAAGAGTACGTAAATAGTAAAATTTGACTTTAGCTTTGAAAACGGGACATTATATGCCCAAATCTACTTTAATAGACTGTATTCTGAGAAAACAGTATTCTAGGATATTGATTTCAAATCAACAGTTGCCGAGCCATGTTTTGAATTGCACCCAAAATCAGCGTCCACCAGGGACACGTTCTCGTTCAGTCGATGGCTGCTACGCGATGTCACGCACTGAACTGACGAATTATAGCAACTGCGCGCGCCTGTGTGTCGTGTCAACACTTGCGTGCCCCCATTTACGGCTCCGTCAAATTAAAAACGAACTACTAATAAAAATTTCCAAAAATTCATCCTTAGATGCATCTTTGGAAATGACATTCTTTTATTGTTTTCTCAAAATGACAGCATGCCAGAAAGAATCATTTTACAGGAAGTTTAGCACCATAACTATCTTTAAGCCAAGTATGCATTTCATCAGTAACTTTGTCAGTTACTTTTTGGATAGCTGCAAATGATCTACTCTACCTTTAAACTGCATGGCTGCTCCACAGTTTCATCCACAGCCATCCATAATTGTTGTCAATTTCAACTGTCCATTAATAATTACTAAACAATCTATCCAAACTGATCAGTATTACTGCTATGGAACCACTAACACTCACCACGCAACTGCAAGCTAGTTGTGTTATACAACCATTCAACAAACACTCTGTGTTGGTTTTTGCCATGGGAAGTTCTGGTTTCACCTTGGGTTTGCGATTGTCAAAAGCCTGAATGAGTACTTCATGCATGAGTAGAGCCAAAAGGACAGGTTATTTTTCAAAGGTTTTTTTTTCCACGAAGTGCCTCTGGAAGGCTGTACATTTCTATTCACAGTAGCAGTATCAGATAATGATATCAAAATACATTTATTGCGGGTGGCGACATGAGGAAAGATTCAGTCATGGTTTTTCATTGCAAAGTGAGGGGCGGGGAGCCTAACCAAATATGAACATTGTTTTCAGAATTTTGGGCCTTCTGAAGTGACAAATCAGAAAATATTTGGAAACTTGAAGAAAAAATGCATAATCGACAGAATTGAGGATAGTGTTTGCAATATTTTGTGGTCAGTGAATTTATCATTTTTGGGGGTGGGGGGGGGGAGGGGGAAATCAGTAAACCAACGTTTTTGTTTAATAACAATGTATTGCAGAATACACACAATTTTAGGAGCTTATAGACTTTTTGGCTGGGGTGGGGGGGGGTGTTCTACACCCATGTTTTAGGTCTACTGGCAAAGGTTGAAGATGCTGACTAAAGAGCTTCGAAGAAAACAAAATAGGAATGACTGTGCTTTCAAAATGTGACCCAACCCAACAAAATGAGTCACAAGTTGCCAGAGCCACTTTTGACTAATTTGCTTTTAAAAGAGTCTAAACCCTATGGAAATCAACAAGAATTCCTCAACTTTTTAATCCACGAATTATCTGAAGATATCAACATTTCAGAGTGAGGAATATATCAAATTGAAGAGCAAATTATGCTCTCCCTAGTGCATGCGACCAACTGATCAGTGAAAAATTGTCAGTAATACTCGTTTTGTAAGATTCGGTCACAAGAGCCTTTTTTAATGCAAAGCTTGATTCATGGACTTTATTAGACCTCTTTTGTTCTCCAGTCAACGCATGCAGCTAACACTGCCTGCACACATCGATTGTACAAGTAGGAAACATTGTTTTCAACACACACATTGTGACAAATTAACCCATCAGGAACTGATGTTCATTGTACAACAGAATTCACTGGTAAATCCACAAAAGCATTGAGTGCTTGATGAGCGGTTTCGGACGCTACAGTGAGTAAATAAGCAGGACGAATTGGGGCAGTACAGTGATAAATGGGTTAAACACCAATTTCTCACTGTTTCATTGGAAATTACTTTGAAACTTGACCATTTCAAACTGAAAGCTCGAGATGGTCATTCAATGATGAAAACCTTTTACTAAGGGAATAAATATGAGCTTGGCCAGTTTTAGACAAGTACGTTTAAAATCAGCGTTGGGGCCTGGATGCGGATAAAGGCCCGAGCTGAAGGCGAGAACGTTATCGGCAACCAGGCCCCCAGCTGGTCGGAAACGTACTTGTTTAATACCGGCCAAGCACACATTTATTCCCATTCATAAATACATTTCGGTCAAAAAGTCAAAACAAGTCGAACATTTATACATTTCTAATAATTTTGTTCAACAATTTTACTTCGTGTTTCTTGAAACACCCCTCTAGCTATATATGTTTATGGTATGTGCCTCTCGCGAGTAGTACTAAAAATCTCCTAATATGGATATTGGGGAGCGCGCATGGCACGTACATGTACTGGGCGCAGAATGCGGCGGTGCCGGTGTAGTGTGAATAAAGGACTCTATGAAATACTGACTCGTTTGGTAGTATTGCGCATGCCTAAGTGAAGATTGTGAACGTTCAACCAATAAAAGGGTAAAAGGGACCAGATTTCATAGGAGTCGACATTTCATGTGACACCGGAAAAGTGTTTAAAACCAACCAGACAGTGTCTTATCAACCGGCTGACAGGCTCTCTACCAATAGGAAGGGTAAACTGTCTCAGGTACTTATGAATACAAGTATCACATCTGTTTACAAATACTTCACATAAATTTTATGCGAATGAATATATTTTTTTTAAACAGAAGAAACATAAACAGCTACTGCAACAGGCATCCCTTACAATAGACTGACATAATCCTCTTTGATGAATTCGTTTAGATGGAGAATAAAGGCAAGCTTTGGCTGAAGGAAACTGGCACCCACAGCCACTTCACAAAGTACATGCATTTGGTGTGGGGTACCTGACCAAGATGGCCCCCAATTTATACATATACCATGCAAAAATGATGTACCACGCAAAAATTATTTTGGGCACATCGCTGTATATTACAGTCTCAGCTTTGATAAAAAGGCAATGGTCCGGTATGGCCGTTCTAAATGCCGTGATTCTGCTGTGCCAAACTCAATTAATATGACATTTTTTAATGCAGCATGGCGATAGCAGGGCGTTTAAATCCACTAGGCTTGGCAAATTGAGTTCCTCACGGCACTATCCGTTCTAAACACCGTGCCATTGCCGTGCCGAGCTCCATTCAATTCGAAGTTGGAACAAGCACTTTACAATACGAATGCTCGTAATACCCTCCCTCGTGTCCGCATCACGAGGAGTGAAATTGCCGCAAATATTTGATCGCGCTCAACGTTCACTGAACTGCTTGAATGTAATATTTTACCTGGACAGATGCATTATGTTCGACTATGAAGTTCAGCGTTTAAAGCAGCTGCCGTGCAATAGGTGAGCAATTGCCTACCTTAGTTCATGTGAGTTCAGATCGGTAGTACTAAGGCATTTAGCGCGGGCCTTAGACAGCACATTTTACTGACAAAAATGAAAACTATGTTTCTGTACTTTAAACATTTCTAAGCGGCTTTACAATGACGTTACCGTTTCTTGAAGAAGTGACAATTACATTTTTCATCAAAAAATGGCATTACTAATTTGTTACTGAGGACTGCTGGGATTAATCTCAAGATCTGAACACATGGGCTCCTTGTGCCAACAAAAGAGGGCGCATTTTTACCACTTTTGAGAGCGCCGTGGACGGGACACACAGCGTGTGCGAACTGTACTGGTTCGCGCGCGAAGTACGCACAGCTTACAGCGTCTTAGCGTGAATGCGTACGAATTTAACTTGTGATGGTCTCCCAGACTAATCCCTGCCCCCAATAACTTTGGATCATTCGAAATACGCAGTGAATGGACTGGAAACCAGTCTAGGTATCCCCCAACTCTCCTTTTTCTGGCTGTTGAAGGAGAACTTGTGCACGGAGCCCATATCACTTTGTATTCTGAATTTCAAAGTATAACTATAACCTTGGAAGAATCCTAAACCTTTGGTTTCTTATTTGGAGTATCCCTACTACCACTCATATTTCCAGATTTTCTCTTTGTATCGGGAACCCCTTCTCTTTGTTTCTTAGCTTCCTTGCTTGTCGGTCTTCCAGATGAAGTTGTAGGGGAGGAACAACTTGAACCTCCCGCTAGATTCTTATTCTTAGAACCGCTTGAGGGAGTCTTCACGGCGAATTTCTCAGGAGGAGCATCTCCAGCTTTTGAGAGCTCGCTTCCAGAGGAGCGAAACTTGAAGACGATGGGCTGGGTGAGGGAGGAAGATGCCTTAGGCCCTGGTAAGATGTAGCTGATGGTAGCATAGGGCGTGAAGTGAAAGTCCTCTTTCAGATAGCCCTCCAGGAGGAGGTAGCAGAGGATGGACACACAATCGACGCGAGTCAGTGGGGATGGCTTTGCGCCTGGTGAGATATTTAAGAAAAAGATGGCTTTGATGTAGTCTGAGTATCATCCGTGGTTCGATGGAGCCCTCTTAGCGCTTCAACCAACGTCTGATATATGTGAGCATGCAATTTTATGCGACCCCATGCGCCAGCCAATTGGAGTCGACTTTAGAAATTGCAACGTCAGATATTGTGGACTAAGCTGTTGATTGGTCAATTTGTAATACAACAAAGGTTAACCGAAGACCCGATAGAAGGCGCCCGCTGAATGGTCAGAATCTTGACGTCAAGATGCAATTCTGTTTTGCGGGCTGCGCAGGGGCTCACGCGCTAGTCCCTTTTTTTGTTTCTTAACTTTTTTTATGAAGCTATCGCCCAATTCCTTTGAAACTACATGTAATCCTAGAGTGAACCTTGTGGTTTGAGATGGTATGGTCGCTTTTCTTGTAGGAGTTCACTTGGGGGTCAGCCGCCCCTGGGAAAGTTGGGCCTCCAGCCAAAGCCCATTCACTTGTGCACAAAAAAAGTTCTCTGTGTTTTACATACCGCCGTCACAACAATGTCATCAATCATCCTCTACTGCTGGCCCAGTGACAGCTGTCTAGAGCCACAGAAAGGCTTTCTCGACTGTTTCATGTCCATCTTTTTTGGGGGGATCCAACATGTAATGGTCGATCCAACATGTAATGGTCAATCCAACATGTAATGGTCACAGTGCATGCAGTGTATATGTACATGACCGTGCAGCCACAATGTCTGTGAGTGACCTACTGGAGGGGATTCAATCTTGTGTGGGTTCGGGGGACCTGCTTTCATAATATTTAGACCATTAGAGAAAGGATTGTGTCCACAAAATAGTATTTTATACGCGAAATCAAAACTGCCTCACGCGTGAGCACCTCAGCTACGCGGCGTAAGTTTTTACGCTTCGCAGCTCGCAGGGTTAACAGCTGAACTGCTCATATATTATAGGCCCTTGCTGTGCAAGGGGATATTCAATACACTAGCTTTTATGAGGGTGTAATGATTCATTAATGCTTCTAATTCAGCATAATGATATGAAAGCTGTAAATACTTGACAAACTATTTCCGAATTCCACAAAGTGACCCATGGCCATGCAGTCAGACAGTTTCATAGCTAAGCACAAGTATCGTATTTGCCGAGAACAAAATTAACAAGCCAACATGTCATGTAATGTTTATTGCTTGTTACAACTTCTTGGATCATTTTGGCAACTTAAATGAATTTGCTGGGCCATTTTCTCTGCAAGCAAGCTCCATAAAATTTGGAATTCTCTAAGAGAAGGATCTGGCTGTGGGGAAGGAGGGAGCTAGGGGCATTCTCCCCATAAAATGTTTCAATCCATATGTGTCTCTTCTACACTTGTGGCATTTTCTAAGAAAAATGAGGGATTACATTTGCCATTTTTGAAAGTGTGTTATGTTGTTGTTATTTTTTTTGGGAGAGGGGTGAAGTGGGGGTTGAGGAATGTTGGGACACCCACACCAAAGTTTAGATCAACAACCGATTCTTTAGTATTGTTTTTTACAATTTTATTTCAATGAAGCCACATTTTCTCTTTTTCTTTGGTTTTTTTTTTTTAACTCATAAAACTTAATTTTTTTTAGCCTTTACGAATCTACCACATTTAATAAGAAACTCTTTGCCATCTCACCTTCAAGTCTGTGAGTTGGTTTCTTTGCCAACCACTTGTCCACCAGCTTCAACGCTGTGACGCGCTCCTTCTTCTTGGCTACGGTCTGCAATATGTCCAGCATGCTGGCATAGTAATCGTTCAGTTTCAAGTCATGAACTGCAACGATTAAAACAAGAAACGAATTAGGCAAAAGGTCATGCAAGAGCAATTTTATATTGCTCCTTAATATAATCACTCAAATCAAAATTTCGAAGGGGCTGTAATGTGATGGCCTATGGAGAGTTGCATTACGGATGCAGATAGTGTTCACTGAGAGTAAGGATCTGAACATTTTTGTTTAATGTTTGTGGAGTTATTGAGGTCAACAAGAAAATAAATGGAACATGATATGCAGAGTTGTAATGACTCGAGTCCGACTCGAGTCACAATTTTTGGTGACTCGAATCGGGTCCCTAAGGATAAATGACTCGACTCGACTCGAGTCACTGCGAGCAAATGACTCGACTCGACTTGAGAGAAGGCTGATAAGACTCGAGTCCCAAAAATAAAAGCACAACTTTATTTGCAATGACTTAAGGTGCAAAATTTATGCTCACTTCGCTTTGCGAATAGCAGTCATGTATAAATATACAACGTGTCACAGACTCCCACCTCATGGTTCTAGAACGCACAAAATACTCTCCAGGAACCAGATTTTTAAACACATTTTCACTGTTTCATCATTGGCTTTGGGCGATTTCTTATAAAGCTCTTGGATTCGAACGCTGGCTAAACTTATGGCCTTATATAAATTTTGGTATATAGTGTTCAAATATTCGTGACTCAAATTGACTCGAGCTAAATATTTGTCTCGACTCGACTCTACCTTTTGACCTAATGACTCGACTCGACTTGAGTCACAAAAATCAGTGACTCGTTACAACTCTGATGATATGGCCAATGGAAAACATGTGTTGCTCTTTATAGCATTACTTATGTGCCTTGTTTTTCCCACTCAATACTGTTTTCAAGAGCCTACTCCAGTCCTTTACAAATTCTTGTATTACATAAATTTTGTTGGCCTTTCCTAATTTATCAATATTGAACACTGGTCAAAGGAAAAGTAGCATGGTCTGTTTACCAGACTGCATAATCCACATCTACCCATGCAACAACAAATGGACAATTTCAGAGTTATGAAAGGCAGTGTAATGTTCATAACAGAGCCAATTAACCATGATATCTAATGAATGGTTCAGAGAAATGATCCAAAACTCCTAGTCTGTGATCTCCTTGACTAGATGATGAACGTATAAAAAAAAGTAAAGTCTGTCCCGAGCCAATGTGGCTCATCAGGCCGGCATTTATCTCCAGTTTCAGTAGCATGAAACGACTGAGAATATTTATATTCCCCCTGGATGGGATGCTAGTCCATCGCAGGTTACTCCCCAGCTAATGCCGGTACCCATTTATACTCCTGGGTGGAGAGAGGCAAGTGGGGGTGAAGTGCCTTGCCCAAGGACACAATATATGACCAGCGGCTGGATTCGAACCCCGGACCCTCTGATCATGAGTCACGAACCCTAACCACTAGGCCACACACTCCCCAGATGATGAACGTATAAGATTTGAAAAATACCTTCTCAGGTTTATTCACTGAGCTCTTAAAGGCTCTGTCACGGACATTACATAATGCTGGAATAGTCCAAATGTATTTTCGAACAAACTGGATTAAACCAAACATAGAGGAAAGAATGATGTTCATGTACAAAGTCTACCTGAATATGTGAAAATTGTCTAAAGTAGTTACTAGTTCCACTTTTGGGTTTAGTGCAATGACTGACCATCACTGATAGTGGTGTCAGGATACTGCATTCTCGCCAAACATAATTAGGATTGTCACTTTTGCACTGCTCAAACTTGATTGTCACTTTTTGCATTCAGTACTGCACGTAGTGTACCTTGTTCCTTGTATTTGCAGTTATCACACTTCGCATTGCACTTTTGCTTGCTGGCGTCCCATCTCTCATCAAAATGTTCTGCCTGTATGCGCCGACGACACCTGCAATGTTTGAAATAGCAAAACCAGAGACAAAACACCATAAAATAAAGACAAACATCCTTATTGCCAGTGTTGTAGTACTCGTACTCGTACTCGAGTACTACTTGAGTACTTTTTTTTGAGTACTCGTACTCGTACTTGTACTCGAATGTCAAAGTACTCGTACTCGAAATGACGGTACTCGTACTCGGGCAGCAAAGTACTCGTAATCGACATGTCGAAATTGCACTCGATCATTAAAGTACTCGTACTCGAATAGCAGTGCTGGGGGGGGGGGGGGGGATGGTGTAGCTTGACTATATACCATGGCATTATTTTATCGATACTTTCAGTTTGAAATGATTGATTGGCTTGTGGAGAAATCAAAGTTTCCTGATTTTCCTCTGTGCACGTCTGGACAAACACATTTACAGCTAGCCGTGAGTGGGTCTGTATATCGGTCTGACTGGGCCTAGGCAATTACGCACAATGAACCATTTGCCGTATGGCCGTATTTGGAAATACAAGTACTTGTACTCGTAAGTACAGAACTCGCACTCATACTTGTACTCGTAAGTACAAGTACTCGTACTCGGAGACCTGTTCTTGTACTCGGAGGTACAAGTACTCGTACTCGGCAACTTAAGTTCTCGGCAGTACTCGGTACTCGGGAAAAAGTACTCGACTAAAACACTGCTTATTGCTTTCGAACATGATAATTTACTTTGGATTTTGCTGATCTTAGCACTAAAAACAAGACACTTTGTTCAAGCTGCTGTGATCTGGGCCCAATTTCATGGCTTTGCTATAACCACAGAATTCCAAGCTTACAGTCACCATTCTAGCGTGCTAGCTAAATTTTCCATACTAATCCAGTAAGCACAAAATCCTTTATTTATTTATTTATTTATTTATTATCCACATCCAACAGTAGAAAAAACGCCAATTACAGGACTGTGTTAAAAATATTAAAAATTGCAAAAAAAAAAAAATTATATATATATATATAACATATATATATATAAACACAAATATGTTAAAAAAGAATCAATATAAAAAATAAATATTGATGATGTCAGTATAAAAACAAACTAAAAAGAAATTATATATGTATATAGAGATGAAACGAGCACTGTGAATTGTGATAGGAGACGATTTCATTGAAAATGCATATATAGTTGCTAAAAAGTAATGGATAAAAAAAAGACACAACGCACATATACTTGAGACAAACACAAAATAACAACAAAACAAACAAACAAAATAACAAAAAGAAGAGAAAAAATGGAGAGTAAAACAAAACAACAAACGTAACTAAACAAAACAAAAACAAGACAAGACAAGGAAAACAAAGCAAAACAAAAACAAACAGAGCAAGACAGAACAAAACAAAACAACTTAGGTACAGTTTGTACGCATGCGCATAAGCCAAAGTTATATGCTAACTTTAAGCACAGAATTTCTGCTACAGTAAGTAGGTTTTTCTAACGGTAAGCAGAGCCATGGGCTCTGTTGTTAATAGGACCGTCTGCGTGAAAACTTTCCTTCCGAAAATTACCAATGCATCTTCACTGTCAGATTCTCCGCTGTCACTGCAAAAAACTATCTTGAGTCAGAAAGAAATCGTCGTCTGAACTATCCATGTTGACGGAAGGAGCCTACACACAAAATGACTTGGTTGTACGGGTGTGGCGTACACATGCTAAACACGCCACAGTGCTTGATTACGTATAAGAGCCTCGAAGAACTCCCTTGTAAATTACCCTAAATGGCCATGACTCGACACGAGATATGCAAGTTTTTTCATCTCCACTCACTGGACTGTTAATAACAATACTTCTTTTGAAGCAATGGTTTAAGTCGAAGAATACACTAGCAAGTGTGGATTCTTAATTTACAAATGCACTTGGCGCTTTGCGCCTCATGAGTTCTTAAATTACGAATCCACACTTTCTCGTGTGTTCTCCTTAACTTAACACGTGCATCTCACCTGTGTTTATCAATGCAGTATGCCACCATGGCGTAGAGTTTCTGCAGTCCAGTCTGTTCCACCATGACCATGGCGCTCTGACGAAACATGTCGGGCGACTGAAAGAACAGGATGCAGTCGGCTGGCTTGTCGTCCCGACCTAGGTCAAATCAGGACCAATCACAACTCAAAATGTAGGCTACGAAACACATCAACTAATGTGATTTTTCATAAATAGCCCAAAAGACACTGGATTTTTCACACAAGCAAAGGTTAAGATAATGTATTGTGTCTAAAGCTTGATGTTTGTGAACATGCAAGAGCCAGTCCATTTTCCTTGGCACTGTTCCTTGAATTACGTACAGAAATACAATAAACTCCCATTAAGTCAACTCTCAAGGGAACGGACAAAAAATTGAGGTATCCGGAGTTCGAGTTAAGCATGGTCTCTTTGATACTGTCATGCCATCTACACGTACATGTATGTTTTTGAATGGCTTCCACTGTAACTCGCTATGAAAGGGACGAGTTATTTGGCACATTTTCCTTGTTTTTGTCCATTCTAATGGTGTATTTCTTTTTAGTCACAAAGCATCATTTCACTCAGATTTCATATTGTCCTTACCTAAAACATGCCAATAAACCACTCAAATTGTGTAACTGCGTATAAGAAATCTTTCATTCGTGTCTTTTGTTTATCGATATTGACGCACCACACTCAGGGTTTCTGATATGTGCGGCGATGTTTTTTACGCTTCTTTGTGACGGTTTTGGCAGCATTTTTAACGACTGGCTGAACAAAAGTTCGAGTTAAACGGAGGTACCTGTGCGGGCACTTGAAGATACTAAGGTGATTTTATGGGACTTTTGTGTCAAGGAGATGTAAATTCAATATTGGGTTTTGGCCTTCACAAATGAAATGTTCATCAGCACTGAATACTCAGTGTTGTCCGGGTGTTTGTGAGAAAACAGAATATCACAAGCTTACTTGGGTGGGAATCGAACCCCTCAACCTGTCTTACCACTAAACCATTGTCCAGGCCAGGGTCAGCTGGCCGCTTCAAATTTGATGTAGTGGTGGGTATCGCAAATACTCACCATTTTATACGACAGAATTTTGCATCTCGGCCAATGCGCAATCAGATTAAAATCAGTTGTAACTCACGCCAGATGCGGGAGAACCAGCGCACGCATGCAGTGCGTCGCGTACACTTGGTCGGAGAGCGCCCTCTAGTGTTCATGCACAAAGCCCATACCTGCTCGGCCGCTTTCCTGATAGTAGTTCTCCAACGACTTGCTGAGGGTGTGATGGATCACAAACCGCACGTCCGGTTTGTCAATACCCATGCCAAAGGCTATGGTCGCTACCACAACCTTGTTCCAAAAATAGAAGGGAAAAACTGAATGTTTTGACTACCACAATGTCCCCCAAGGCAATGTAATATGTCTGAATGCTTTTGTGTACAGCACAAACACAAATTTTGGTTCACGAAAAACACCCATGTTTGAAGTTGATTTGCCACGTCATGCATGCTTGGGACACAATTTCAAAAGTTTTAATCATAACGACCTTGTCCTTTGACCTATGTGTTGGCTTTTGAAAAACCCAAAGACCAACCCACATACCAAGTTTGAAGTTGCTATGTCAAGTAATTCTTGAGATATTCTGCTAAAAGATTTCCATTGTTTTACTGTAAACCCTACCACATTTTTCAAAGGGCAAATCCCCCAAAACAGAGTTTATTTTCAATGAAATGCGAGCCCCGAGGCAACAGTTGAAACTCATGCCAATAAATGTATACATATAAGTTCCTTTATCAATGAGGCTACAAAAAGAAAAAACCCACCAAAACAAAAAACAAACATCAACCCCTACTCCCCCCCCCCACCAAACAACAAAGAAAACAAATAAACAAAAACAAAAACACAACACAACACAAACCTGCGTCCGGCCACTCTTCCATCTTCCATGGACTGCGCTACGAACGCCGGCATCCAGATCTGCATGGTAAGGCTCAGCCCGGATATTGCTAGTCTGCAAGGCAAGGGCTACCTGCTCCGTGTTCTTCTTGGATAAGCAGTAGATGATGCCTAGGAGCATGTTGTGAAAGAGGAGAGATGAACGCCAAAACAAACAAGAATTTTCTTTAAAGCCAGAGTCCATCATTTGCAGCTATCCAAAAAGTAACTGGCGTAATTATTGTTGAAAAACATACTTGGTTGAAAGATAGTAAGGGGACTAAACTCCCTGTGAAATTATTCTTTCTGGCAAGCATTTTGAAGAAATCAACGACAGCTATAATTCGTCGGATCAGTGCGCGACATCGCGTACCTGCAATCGGCTAATGAGAACGTGTTTCGGACGCTGGATTCTAGGCCCAATTCAAAACATGATTCAGCAACTTTTGATATGAAATCAAGATCCTAGAATGTTGTTTTTCTCGAAAAATGCAGCTCAAGCTAAGGTGAAACTTTATCAGATTGGTTGTTCAGCATCCTTCTTCAGATATTGAGCACTTTTGTTGCTTCAAACGAACAAAATGCACAAATTACAAATGATGGACTATACCTTTAACCAGTTCACGCCGGAATTATTTTGACAAGAACGGAATGAGGCCTGGGATATATTTTCACTCGACCTCCATGCCAGGTGGATTGAAGCCATCGCCCTCGGGCAGCACACTCATATTTCCGGCCTCGCTCGCTGCCAGCGGGTCGCTGACAGATATTTCCGGCCTTGCTCCCTGCGTGTTATCTGTCATTTGTTCCGAATACCGCAAAACTTCTGCGTGTATACACTGCCTCCGGCGCGAACTAGTTAAAGGCATATAGGATCATTTGCTTTTCATGCATTTTTTTCGTTTTTACAATAATAACACCACTCAAAGTCCAAAAAAGAATCTGCAAAACCTAACCTGTTGAAGTTTCAGCTTGGTGGATATTACACTTTTTCGAGAAAACAGTGAAAAATAATGCACAACCTTTTGATCCGAAACACGATTTTGTTAATAGAACTTGTTGTTTCCAGTGATCAGTCAAACTGACTGATCATTGGAATTCACCTACATTTCTTGATTTCTTCTAAATGACAGCAAGCCAGACGGAAGAATTTCATGGGGTGTTTAGTACCGGTGCGATCATTAATCCAAATAAAATTTTTGATAATAAATCGCTAGGTTACTTTTTGGGATATTAATGCAAATGATTTTGCCTTTAACTTTTTAAAGGTATAATTTTAAAGTTATTGATCGTTCTGGTCATTATGCATGTACTGTTTCAATTTTTTTTAATTTACATTCCCTGCTTGCTTTGATTAATTTTTTTTTTTGGACTAGCACGTTGAGCACCTTTTGGTGGATATGTTGTGCTTTACACATATCCAATATTATTATTATTAGCACTGAATTACATGAAGAATATGACAAACCTGATTGGCCTTTGTAACGTCCATTGAGCAACTGCACGAGCAATTCAGTAAAGAGTGCTTCGCTGCTTGGCTTGGCCCGGACCTGCAAATCACAGACGACACAAAAGATATGTCACAAATTTGAAACGAACAGAATTTATAAACGGTCTGAAATGACTTTCTTAAGTTTGTGTCCCGAGGGTGGTAATTATTTGCATAAATGCTGATGCACCCTAAAAGATTTTTTTCGTACGTCCATGAAGGTATAATTATTCGCATAAATGGGCCATTCTTTTGTCACTGTGCGACATAAAATTGGGCTTGTCTGATTTTTGAAGCTTTACCCTTTGTTGACTGCATCTGACATATTCCTTTCACTGATTCATCAGGTTAGTACTTTTTACTCCCTACCTCAGAGTATAGTTTCTACTTTCACAAATTGTGTCAAAGTATTAGGAGGGATCATCAAAGTTTGGTCACGTGTGTGACATCAGACGTAAAAATGTCATCCAGCCCATACCGGAAATTCACGCTTTTCTCCAAAGTTTTAAGGGCACACATGCCCATAATTAATTTTGAGTAAGACTAGTCTTTTGTGATTTACAAATGCATAAACAATGTACACCCTCTGCTTTAGTTTTACTAAATGGAATTGTTCCGTGGTGACGTGTGTGATATTTCAATCGGTCACGTGTGTGACAGTTTGTAATTAAATTATGCTAATTTATGCACGGAAAGACTAACTGATGTAATGTTTTAAGAAATTTGCATCTTTAGTTAATAGCTACACTTTAGTGAACAATAATCATTGTGTTACATGTACATCCCAGAAAAATATTCTTTTTCCCCCCAAAATTAATTTAGTTTCAATTTCTGAAGCATTGCCAAATGCTAATGCCCCCTACGTTATATGCATGTACAAGCATGTTGGACATTAATAACGGCTGTGATTGGTCGAAATGTCATGAAGTGGGGCTTAATGAACTGGACTATTGATTGAAGCCATAGAGCTATATTAAATTACTAGAGCGCTAGCTCCTCATTCCCCAGCGCGGAGATACTTTGAAGCCGTCCTGGGCGCAGACATTTTGAATTCATGTGCATGTTTGTGGAACATAATGAAATCACGCGGAATGGATTTCGGATAATATATGGTACTCTAAATGCAATGCGCAAGTACAACATACGCCAACAACGTAAGCGCGTTTTCCGTGAGTATGACCGTTATAAAACGTCAAGGCAAAAATCACCTGTAGCGCCTATGTGTTTATGTAAGTTTGCGCAGTGCAAAATGAAACGCTCATTTACTAAATTTGTGTTTCAGGTTTGAGTGTATCGGCTTCGATTACTGACTGGTATTGGCTATACAAACGCAGATATGCAAATAGCTGTACTAAATCCACACTACATTTCGAGTTTTCCGTTGCGCACAAACATGGATGCGCCCAGCAGGCTTCATTTGTACAGCGAGTTAGCGCTCTAGTAATGTAATATAGCTCTATGATTGAAGCACAGAGAACTATTAAAAAGATCAATCAGGAAATCAAGACAAATATTTTGCACTCTATTGATCTGATACACCGTGCCCTCTGGAGACATGCACACAATAGGGAACAAAAGATTGTATATGTCTCCAAAGGGCAATTTCTATAGATGAATACGTCTCCACAAGGTTTTCACGATGGATTTTACTCAAAAACTAGAAATTTCCAAGGTATGTTGATGTGTCGCAAATGGTAAAGTTTTAGAAAAGGGATATTAAGTCCGAGTTTCAGCCAAGGAAATTAATTCTGGTTAAAATAAGAGCATTTTGAAACTGTACTTTCAAACTCGAAAACTTTAGTATACGAGAACAAAGAAATGTCTCCACAAGGATACAAATTTCAGTATGTGTGGACTGTCAACCCGTGTGAAGTGCCAGTGTCAGTGCTTTTAATACATTCCTCTATCCTGTTACATCACCAAGTTGGCTTTTGAAAGATTTCTTTTGGTGGTGGTGGTGGTGAAGGGGGGGTTGGTGGTGAGGGGGGGGGGTGGTGGAGAGGAGGGGGCGCAGAGAAGGGGGAAAGTTACATTAATGGACAAGGCCGCACCTGATAGAACAGATTAGCCCTGTTATAGCTGGACCGGAGTATGACGCAAGCGTGCAGGTTCAGCAAGCTCTTGACATCTTCAAGCACACCAGCTGTAGCCGTGGCAGTCAATCCCAAGACGGGCACCTCAGGAAACTGTCGCTTGAGAACACCCAGCATCTTATAATCTGCAGAGAAAATCAAAGCATCCTTGATGATGTGGGGGAACCATAATAAGCATCATATCCTGGATATTAATAGATAACAATTAAACAATACAGAAAATAAATGAAGCATGATACAGGGAGGTCCAAAAAAGTTTACACTTTTTCAGAGGCAGATTTCTTAGAATTGAAGAGACATATTAGAATGGTTTTAAGATATTCCTAAACTACAAGATCCTGGTCGTGTAGATGGTGAAAATGGCTTTGAAAATAAAGCTCAAGTTATAGCGGCCATTTACAGAAGAATAGTCAAAAACTAGTTTGTCCACGTCTATTGCAGTCATGTAGACATAATTACAATTATTACAGTTATTTGTGCGTGCAGTGCTATTGTGGTGACCATATCTCACAGACTTATGTATGGACAAACTTGTTTTCGATCATCTTTCTTTAAACATCGCCATTTCTGAATTTCGGCTTTTTTTTCAGTGCTGTTTTCACCATATGCCACGAAGATGCTGTAGTTTAGGAACATATTGAAACAATATTAACATGTCTCCCCAATTCCAAGAAATTTGCATCTGAAAAAGTGTAAACGTATTTTTTGGACCACCCTGTATAGTCATTTTCCGCCCTGATAAATCTAACATTTTGAATGCCTGCCTTAAGCATGTAGTCCCTGTGCTACTCACTGTGCCTGTTACACCTTGCCTAGCCCAGGTTGGACTCCGTTGTGTACACGCAACAGAGTGAATCAATCCCTTGTGTCCAGAATTGTGCCTGTGCTGGGTTTAGAAAAGGCAAATATGTCCACGGACGGCGTGTTTACCGAAAATAAACCGCAGTCTTTCGTTGAAAACATTTTCAGAACGAACTCCCCGTGTGAAGATTACACGCGCGCATGCATGTATACCTAGCACGCTGCAGCCACGGCAGCAAGCAGCAGCAAACGGCACGCGCATATACGTCTTCACGCGAAGAGTTCGTAGTGAAAATGTTTTCAACAAAAGCGTAGAACTTGCGGTTTATTTTCGGTAAACATGCCGCCCACGGACATATTTGCCTTTTCTAACCCCAGCGCAGGCACAATTCAGGACACAAGGAATATGAAAGTGAAATTTCAGCTTCCTCCGTCCGGTAAAAATATGAAAAAAAATGTGTTATATTTTTTTTCGCTATGGTGGTACAATTTATACCCTGGACGTCTGTCGTAATGCAATGAAGACTTCGTCCAACCTGGGCTACACCCTGCCTAGCTCTATTCAGCAGGGAATAACCACAGTGCTAATGCTTCATTTTTGGTGTCATGCACCCTCAGATATATGCCATATAGAAAATGCCATGTCTCACATCAATGAGAAATAAAGTTTATGAAAATCGGCAGATCTATGGGGACAAGATTCAAGGAGCACACAAGATCAACCCCCCCCCCCCACAGCTGTGGGTGAACATTTAGTTCAACAAAGGCACAACATCACTTTGGACAATGTACAAGTCATAGCATGAGAGGAACGCTTCTGGAACAGAAAGATATCGGGGAGGCCATAGAGATCAAGACCCAGAACCCAACACTCAACAGGGATGCAGGGTATGACCTGCCTGCCATCTATGATGATCTGCTCTCACGTGACCGCCCCAAAGGTGGTCATGTGAGCGGAGGGATTTAGCCACAACGCTGAATGAAGAGGTCGTGACGACCTCGCAAGCTACGTCATGCTTAACAAAATCAAACTCTAAAAGGCAACTATTATTTCTATATCAATATGACAGAGTCCAATATTAGTATCCATGCTGCCCTTTATGAAAATGATGTGTATTTTTATGTAACAAAAGTCTTTGAACGAGTAGTGATGGCATAGGCCATCACGGAATACAACTGTTTATTCAATTGGCCAGTTAAAACATATTAACAAAATCTTGAGTAAAGATTTTACTGCTCCCCATTAAAATCACGTCACACAAATTTAAAGTTTCAACATCTTTTCGTTTTCTGTACAATATGGGGTGATACTGGGGAGAGAGCTGCTTTGTTGACTGTTTTGTCCATCGGTAATTGACAGGCATGACATTCCAGGTGTCCTGGTCTGTAAGAAAAAAAACATCTGCATCAAAAAGTCGGCAGTGGTTGAATCAGTCTCTGGCATGTAAAGGAAAGTTACTGACCTGGCCTGAAGTCGTGGCCCCACTGACTGCAGCAGTGCACTTCATCAATAGCGATCCTGGCCAGCCGTCCCTTGATGTAACACTTCTGGAGCTGGGCCATGAAGCGTTTACTCTTAGCGATCTTCTCTGGGGTGACGTACAGCAGACGCAGGGAGGCCTTGGGATCCAACATGGCTGCATTGGTTGCTTTCAACTGGGGATTGGAAAAAAAGGGGATAACCAATTTGCTGGAATAGTGAGCCACGACGTAACACAGAATAATGTTGTGCAAACCGAAACCTGCCCGACCCGAAACCGACCCAATAGTGAGTCGCGACGTAACACAGAATAATGTTGTGCAAACCGAAACCTGCCCGACCTGAAACCGACCCAATAGTGAGCTGTGACGTAACACAGAATAATGTTACGCAAACCGAAACCTGCCCGACCCGAAACCGACCCAATAGTGAGTCGCGACGTAACACAGAATAATGTTGTGCAAACCGAAACCTGCCCGACCCGAAACCGACCCAATAGTGAGTCGCGACGTAACACAGAATAATGTTGTGCAAACCGAAACCTGCCCGACCCGAAACCGACCCAATAGTGAGTCGCGACGTAACACAGAATAATGTTGTGCAAACCGAAACCTGCCCGACCTGAAACCGACCCAATAGTGAGCTGTGATGTAACACAGAATAATGTTGTGCAAACCGAAACCTGCCCAACCCGAAACCGACCCAATAGTGAGTCGCGACGTAACACAGAATAATGTTGTGCAAACCGAAACCTGCCCGACCCGAAACCAACCCAATAGTGAGTCGCGACGTAACACAGAATAATGTTGTGCAAACCGAAACCTGCCCGACCCGAAACTGACCCAATAGTGAGTCGCGACGTAACACAGAATAATGTTCTGCCAAACGAAACCTGCCCGACCTGAAACCGACTTTGGGTCGAGGCCAGTCAGTTTTTTAGTTGGGTCGAGTCATTTCAGTTGGGTCGAGTCGGTTTCGGTTTTGCGTTTGCCATTTTTGGGTCGGGTCGGTTAAGCCATCTTGTGAAAAACCTGAAATAAAAAGAAAGGTTCGAAAATTGTAGCGGTGCAATATTATTGTCACTGTGCCCGGTACAGAACGACTAACGTCAACCCACCGAATGAGCATGTGGCTTGTGGTCTATCACGTACAGTCTATAATGTGTAGGCCCACCCATAAGTCATGTTATGATTCTTTACCGTACCGTATGGTTTGATTCTGTTACTGAGAAAAGACGATTGTCCCTCGACGCTCACAAGTTCAGGCACGAAAAGCGGACACAGTTGCCCAAACCAGATATTGTTGGTTTTTTTCAGTGTTGTAGTACTCATACTCGGTACTCGTACTCGAGTACTACTCGAGTACTTTTTGGGAGTACTCGTACTCGTACTCGTACTCGAATGTCAAAGTACTCGTACTCGAAATGATGGCACTTGTACTCGGGCAGCAGAGTACTAGTACTCGCCATGTCAAAACTGTACTCGATCGTTAAAGTACTCGTACTCGTACTCGAATAGCAGTACTCGGGGGGAAAAAATGTTATAGCTTCACTTACCATGGCCTTATTTTATTGATACTTTCAGTTTGAATGATTGATTGGCTTGTTGAGAGATCGAGATTTCCTGATTTTCTTCTGTGCAAGTCCGGACAAATACATTTAACAGCTGGCCATGAGTGGGTCTGTATATCGGTCTGACTGGGCCTGGGCCAATTACGCACAATGAACCATTTGCCGTATGGCCGTATTCGGAAATGCGAGTACTCGTACTCGTACTCGAAAGTACAAGTACTCGTACTTGTACTCGTACTCGTACTCGGAAGTACAAGTACTCGTACTCGGAGACCCGTTCTTGTACTCGGAGGTACAAGTACTTGTACTCGTGCTCGGCAACCCAAGTACTCGGCATTACTCGCTACTCGAAAAATAGTACTCGACTACAACACTGGTTTTTTGTTGGGTCGGGTTAGGTCGGATTAGGGGAGTTCAGATCAGTTTCAGTTTGGATTCGGTTTATATCTTTAATGTTTTGGGTCGGTTTGGCCTGGTCAACCGGACCCGATGCACAACACTAACTCAGAAGTGCAACCATGATTTCTGGTTCACGCACACTGCACAGGCCCAGTGAACACCATGGTTTCGTATGGCTTTCTTGAACCCATTTCATTATTGACTTGATTCTGGTGGGGCATGTGTGGTCTAGCGGTGAAGCACAAGATTCATGATCGTGAGATTGTGGGTTTGAGCCCCGCCGCGGCCATGCGTGCTGTGCCCTTGAGTAAGGCGCTTTACCTCAATTACTCCTCTCAACCCAGATGTTAAATGGGTACCGGCATTATTCAATGCTGGGAAGGTTACAGACTCGCTGTGGAGGACGTGTGGCGATCCCCGCACAGCAGCATTTGATGCACTCGAATCTGGCCCAATAGCTTCAAAAGAGAGATGGGCTCTCCGTTCCTGTGAACACAGGTTTATCCCCCTTACCTTATTTTGATTCTGAAGTAAAAATAAGCACAACCGTGTTTGCAACTTTTGTGACGACAATCTGCTGAAAGGTAGTGAACAGTTTTCTGTTACTAATTTGTGAAAATGTTCTACAAATGTAGGACGTAAAATTGCTGTCTGTGATCGCGTGTGTTAAACGTATGTGAAATTTGTCGTTACGGAATGCACATGAACCGTTGTTGAGAAAGTGAGCCTAACCTGGGGAGGAAGTGATGTCACACTTTCTCAGCGTATAGCACAACCTATAAATACGGCAGTCATATAACAAGTGAATTCTTCTTGAGTGATTCACGGGAGAGAAAAACGTCCGCTGGCAGTTCCATTCTTCCTTTCTACTGTGCACCAGGGGATACAGTCAACATCTGTTTGCTGACAATACTACGGATGCCTGTTGGTTAGCACTCCTGGGCCAGAACATGTTTTACACAATCGCAATAGGCCTACACCATACATACTCCCATTGGCGTCAATCGGTGGGGCACCAGGGGGACATACCACTTTTCCCGCCCACGTTTTTCATCCCTGAATAAAAACGGTAGCCTGAATATGATTCTATAGCTCAGAATAGCTGATTCAATGACTCCAAAATCGAAAATGATGTTTAAATGATGATCTTTTGCTGGAAAAAAATGGTTAACTTCAGAAATTGCTTCAGATTGCACCACAGAGCGTCTAGAATCCTAAATTTTTAGGGACCCTTAAGCATACCCCAAACCACATGCCGTTAGGGCTTCGCATTCACATTAATTCTGATCAAGATATGTGCCCCCCCCCCCCCCACTTTTGAGAAGCGATTGACGCCCTAGCTTGCATACTTATGTTGCAATATCCCAGGTGTACGCGTTCCGTATGTTGACAATAAACGTACAATACATACATTCGTGTATTGCGTTAGCATGGCAATCGCCAATGGCTTTACTGTATAGAGAATTTGCCGTCTGTATACCAGAAAATGGACCAAAATTGCAGCTTGAGTCTTTTAAGTCAGGGAACTAAAATCATGAAGCTGGACGCTGGAGCTGAAGCCAAGAATTTGTAAACCCCCAAGGTTGCTGCATATAATCAACACAAAAGGTTGGAAATGATGACTTGATGATGAGAATGTGGATGGATGTACCTTATCTGGAGGTGTGCTTGCATTCAATAAGGCTGCTGGGATGCTAAGCTGTTCCAAGGCTAAAGTTTGGTCTTCCATCAGTGAAACGAGAGGAGACACCACCAAGGTTATGCCTACAAATTAACCACAGATACTGGTTCGGATACTACACTGCAGTTTCATACTGTATCATCGTTCAAGTCATGTAATAAAGTGTACTGCGATGTGATTCATCTATAGCTGACAGATGTACCCAGTCTTAAAACCAAGCATTTGAAATTCATTTGACTGCAGAGTGTCAGCTCCTGATCAGCTTTAGTGAGTAGGCTGTACTATATTTACAGCAATCTACCACAGCAGATCATATCATTTGATAATGCATTATCAATCAAATACTAGATACTGTTCAATATTGGGTTTTGCCCTTCACCGACGTATCTCACTATAATTCCAGGAATCTCTGTCTGTCTGTCTGTCCGTCGATTATCTCCAGAACCGGGCACCGTATGAAGTTGAAAATCGGCGGGTATATTTTTCGGGACAACAGAATGTGCAGTGCAAAGTTTGAAGTTGTTTGGACCAGCAGTTCTCGAAAAAGCTGCAAAAAGCAGTATTTTCTGAGGCAAACGTGGCAGTATATAGCTTAGAACATAAAACCCGCACGCACTGCCGTTCTTTTAAATTGTTTACATCATGTTTAAGCTAAAGCGCGCGTGCTCAATATGACGCAAACAATGCAAAAAGGACGGGCACGCGCACGTGCATTGCAGGGCGATACATTGTCCAGTATGGGTGAATACTAATGGATCAATGGGTGAATAGCACTGCATACCATGTTTCCGAATCTACACGGGCACATTATTTTTGAAGTCGACTGAGCGACCATTGTAGGTGGTCGAACTTCAAACTTGGCACAAACTTTGACGTAAGTGTGCCTTCAACCTGTGAAAACAACACCATTGAATAGCGTGCGTTGTTTGCACGAGCAGTTCTCAAAAACTCTGCAAGAGTATGCAACCTATACCAGCGGCAAAGCAATTTGCGTTTCCCGAACATGCACATTTTAGACGGGCACTGCACTAGTTTTATAAACACTGTATACTCGATGGTCAGCGTTTATCAAATACGTCCTGGAATGCCCCCAATTCGTTTTAAATGAAATGATGTTAATTGGAAAGAGCATTTAAAAGTATAATATAAACTTCCACACAACCATCCTTGAAAATTGGGCGTTTTGGGGTTATTCTTGCAAGAACGAATTTCGGGTTCAAAATTTTGACTCTCAAAAATCGAGCTGTTGGGTGCTAGTCGTGAATCACGCCGCACATGTTCCACCAGTGCATTACATTCTGTGAAAGTGCTTCGGTGCTGTGTGTATTATGTGTAACACACACATTATCGTGTACCGTACAATGAATTGACAAGGCTGGAAATACGTATGCGTATACCACAAAATATCCGGGTGATGTAAAAGGTAAACAAATGTTTTTTTTTCGTCTTTTTATTTCAGGAACGGTAAGACATTAGGTTAGTTTCCTTTCAACCAGACCTTTGAAATAGGATGAGTATTAACAATCCAAAACATAACATTTTTGGAGATTTCAGGCCGTAATTTCCCTTTAAGTAAAAACAAATGTAACAGTGCTAAATGACACTGGTGAAAAGGGAAAACCTAGCATTAAAAGTCTCATTTTCCCAGAACAAAATTCTAGTAAAAGCCCGGAAGATCCTCTGAAGATTAAAATGACTTTACCATCAGAGAGGAGGGCAGGTAGTTGATAGCACAGACTCTTGCCGGCCCCTGTTGGCATAACCAGAAGGCAGTCTCGACCGGACAGTGTGGTGTTCATCACTTGCTCTTGCATGGCTCTCAAGGACTTGATGCCAAAGACAGATGTCTTCAAGCGATGAAGCTCTGACGACCAGGAAAAATCTGACAGAGAGTGAGATGACAGAATACCAGTGAGGTCGTTTGATTTCAATAAGCAATTTGCGAGTTAAAGAGGATGTGGAATGCTCGAAGACATTTCCGTCATTTTTCGGGTATATGTAGCCTAAGGTGTGATGAAATAAAAACGACTATTGTTTCTGTCATGAAATGAGTACAAAAGGTACTTTTGAGAGCTGTTTTTCAGGTCCAGTTCCGACCCGAACGTGCAACTGTGTAAATGTCGCCGTTGCGGGCAGCAAACAAAACACAGTAAATCGTGACATAATAAACAGGACTCCCGATGCACAGTAGCATACACGAGTCCTGTTTATTACGTCACGATTTACTGTGTTTTGTTTGCTGCCCGAACTTTTGAGAGCTGTTTTTCAGGTCCAGTTTCGACCCGAACGTGCAACTGTGTAAATGTCGTCGTTGCGGGCAGCAAACAAAACACAGTGAATCGTGACATAATAAACAGGACTCCCGATGCACAGTAGCATACACGAGTCCTGTTTATTACGTCACGATTTACTGTGTTTTGTTTGCTGCCCGCAACGACGACTTTTACACAGTTGCACGTTCGGGTCGGAACTGGACCTGAAAAACAGCTCTCAAAAGTACCCTTTGTACTCATTTCATGACAGAAACAATAGTCGTTTTTATTTCATCACACCTTAGGCTACATATACCCGAAAAATGACGGAAATGTCTTCGAGCAATCCACAACCTCTTTAAATTTGAATAAAATCTGGAATGCTGACTTAATCCAATGCTTGGCTCGTTTTAAGTTTGCATTCTCCCAACCAAAGAGACTGTTACTATATATCACGTGATTCGGGGCAAGCCTTTATGCTAGCAACCATCAGCTCCGGCATGGTCTGGTGTCTTTGCGCCATTCTCAACCACTGTGAACAATAAATTGGTGCTGAGCGTCTCTTACGTAACTATGCAAGAGCTTGCCCCGAATCATGGGATTAGCTACAGTGTCTGTGGTCTGGAGAATTCAAAGTGCGCCAAGCATTCTGAGCAAGTCAGTGTACCAGACGTTTTTCAAATTTAAATCCCAAAGGGCTTAGGTCTTTCGCAAATGGCTTATTAGAAACAAGTCAATTATGATAGCTATGAGCAAACAGCAAATGTTATTGGAGTACATGTATGTGGTGGGATTACATGTAGTTTAACGGAGTGAGTGACATTCACTGCGAGAAAATACCATCTCTTGAGCACATGACATCTGTCACTACTACACCTAGAAGGCAACACAAATAAAGAGTTCATTTCCTTTGTGGGCTGCTGTTGTCCAATGGTTACGGTGTTCGACTCTTGTGCCTTGGTACATGGGTTGGAACCCTGACAGGGAGTATGGTGCTTGTGCTCTTGGGCAAGGCACTTTACTACGAATGCCTCTCTCCACCCAGGAGTATAAATGGGTACCTGTAAAGGTAGAGACCAAATTGCGCTGATCTCAAGCTGCAGGCATTATAATTGTGGTGCGCATTTGATCATATTCATATTGAAATTGTGCAATATAAATGTATTTTTATTATTACTAAATGCAATTTATCCATTTGAAAAAAAGTGTAATAGTTTAACGGTTATGAAAACTTATACAACACACACAGTATAACGGCTGTTCCGAAAATGCAATTTTTTTGTTTTATTGCATTCTTAAAATGTGTTGAACTATATAACATCAGTCCAAACTGCCTTTAGGCAACCAGGAGAGAGCAGGATTGTCTAAGATAACAAAATGGCGTTGATCACATTTTGAAACAAACAATTCAAATGCAGATGGCTAGAAAATAGTTAACTCTTTCAGTGCCAAAGTCGTACATGTACGAGGTATATTTGTTATTTCGAAATTGCCAACCTCGTACATGTACGAGGTAATGTTCGTACTTAAAATCGCCAAACCTCGTACATGTACGAGGTAGAGTAAGCATGTTATCACAAGGGGACACTCTCGCTCTTTCTAATAATATTATTTTCATTCAGGTAGGACCTGTATTTATTTGTTTCATTCGAGTTCTTGCGAGAGGGCGCAGCACTGACACTCGTATTTTCTGCAAAAAGTGCGGAATTCCCCTGTGTGCAGGACAGTGTTTCAGGGTGTAGCACTATGTACGTGACTACTATTGACTTTCCAATGTACCAAGGATATATCAGAGAGCAACAACAAAAAATTTAGTGAGTAAAACCTATTTACTTTTTTTTTAACAGAATTTTGAACAATTAAAAAAACTCTAGAAGTTGGCCACTTTAGGGTTAAACTTTTCAAATTTTGTGGGCACTGAAAGAGTTAATCACTTTATTTACCTGTATGAATAAAGAATAGCCTGATACAGTCCGAAGACGCAGAGAACCGAGAAATGGTAAGACAGAAACAAATATATATGGCCTTTTGGGGACTAATGCTTTTCTTAAGGTGTAATATACTTTTTGGTTGGCTAGGGATGCCTTTGGGAGAAGGCTTCTGGGAGGGTGGAAGGCACTTGGATTTTTTTGAGGGGGTGGGGTGGGGAGAGGGGGGGGGGGGAAATGTGCCCTATAGGCTCTCCATGGCTATACCTTTGCAAAGTGGATAATACATCGACACATACAAACTTTCGCAGCTCTTAAACTAGTGCTGAGCGAGTATCCCAAGTACTAGCGAGTAGTGTTTGCTACTCATGGTCTTTCATCTACTCGAGTACTCGTCCTGGCACGAGAAGAAACAGGTACTCGCGAATAGCATTATTTTTTGTGTTACAAGTGCTGACTTAGAAAAAAGTAACCACTTTGTGGTTTTTGTGCCAAACTTGTCTTTGTCTTAACCCTAACTCCCTAGCATAATTTACTACATGTAGGAACCATACCCATCCAGGCAAATTCCAACACCCACATGGGAAATCGTACACACACACTGTTGGACCTGGAGGTATGCCAAACCCAATGTAAAAGACCATCAGTTTAGGGGTACTGCACCCATTCTAACAGATTTCAACAACACCTGCTGTTGGACTTTGATGTGTTGAGTTCGGTCAGGGTTAATACATCCCCTGCAATAAAGGAATCACTACATGTACCTCCATCTGTTTCCTTTGCAGTTTTTATGGGAATTTAGTAAACTACTCGCAACTTATTTCTCTGCGAGTTCTCGAGTAGGAAAATCCACAACTAGCCCAGGTCTACCATGAAGCTAGAATATTATTCCCAGTGCCTTACCTGACTTCTGGAAGTCCCCACGTTCCGTCTGCAGTCTCTGGCACAGAGTCTGCAACTGGTCCGCTTTGGTCTTCAGCTCTTGCTTCTCACTTAGGAGACTGTCCTGCCTTTGGACTAGTGCATCAATACGGCTGCGGACGTGGTCCAACTCACTCTCAAGTTCTCCAAGGTTTCCCAAAACTTCTATTGAGGGGTGGGAAGGAATCACATCTCTTGAAAGCATTATTTTGAGCACACATACTATATCTGGCCTTTTTAAACCCTGCTCCAGTGTCGTACACATTTGTGGGACATCGAGCAGTAAACTCTAACAGATAACAATAAGCAGTAAACCAACAACAAATACAGGAGTGTAGGCACAACAAATATGATCGTAATATATTATACAATAATCAAGAAATATGCAGTAGTGATTAAGTCTTACTGAGGTTGTTAATTACCAGGGTCACTTAATTACACTTGGGAGTCGGCTACAGCTCACCTAAGCAGGACGTGCACAGCCTGAACATTGTGCTCAAAGTAAACAATGCACTGCTAAGTCAACAATGTACATGTACACCAATGTACATGTAAGTAATACACACCAATGTAAGTAATACACACAACGTAAGTAATACACACCAATGTAAGTACCGTAATACAATACACACAAATTGATGTAATTAGTGCACGCCAATGTAAGTTGTACACGCCAATGTAAGTAGTGCATGTCAATGTAAGTAATGCACGCCAATGTAAGTAATGCACGCCAATTACACGCTGTTCAGCCTTAACTTGATTTACGCTTTACCCATGCAAGCTAGCATCAGTATCGTACAGTACATTCACTTGTACGGCTGCACGTCAGCATCACACAGCGCAACTTCAACACAGTCAGGGACAGCGCCTTTACACAGTGCGTGTCAGCATTACCCAAAACATCCTACGTAGTCGTAGATGACCATGTCTTCGTGGTCTAGGGAAGAAAACGGTGGGTCCGGAGGTGGCTAATGAGGCCAATCCGGGCCCGGAAAGTCCTCCCACACGTGGGACACGTGTGGGCTGGTGGTGTGTTGGTTGGGGCTGACGCTCTAGCCTTCCTCATGGCCCGCTTCTGCTCCGCTGCTGCACTGCGGTTGGTTTCAGCTGCAAGCGCCCCCTCGGTAAGCATGCTGCGCCAGGTTGGACGGTCGACGGCAAGGGCTTCCCATTTCCCTACGTTGAAATTCAATGCTTTGAGGCTTGACTTGAGGGAGTCTTAAAACCTTTTCTTCTGCCCTCCAACCGAACGCTTGCCATGACAGAGTTCGCTGTACAGCAGCTATTTTGGCAGGCGACTTTCATCCATGCGGACAATGTGTCCAGCCCATCTAGCCTGTGCTTTCTGCAACAGGGTGTGATTGCTGGGCATGCCAGCGTGTCGTAGGACTTCAGTGTCCGGGATCTTGTCCTGCCAGCAGATGTGCAGGATACGGCAGAGGCAACTCAGGTGGAAGTGGTTGAGCTGCTTGGCATGTCTGGCGTAGACGGTCCAGGTCTCACTGGCATAGAGTAGGGTGGTAAGGACCACTGCAGGGTAGACCTTCATCTTAGTGGACATGCTGAGGCCTCTGCGCTCCCAGACGTTCTGACGAAGTCTGCTGAAGGCGACGCTGGCTTTGGCAATTCTGTTGCCAACCTCATTGTCGACACTGGCTCCGCGTGAGAGAGTGCTGCCCAGGTAGGTGAAATTGTCAACAGCCTTCAGATTCTGCCCTTTCACCATGACATGTGGTTCTTGGTATGGCTTGAAAGGCGTAGGCTGATGCATGACTTCAGTCTTCTTGGTGCTGATGGTAAGACAGAAGTTGTCACATGCTGAGGAAAAGCAGTTGACTTCATGCTGCATCTCTTGCTCTGAACAGGCATTCAGGGCACAGTCATCGGCGAAAAGGAGGTCCCTGACTATGGTCTCTTTCACCTTGGTCACTGCCTGTAGTCTTCTGAGGTTGAACAGACATCCATCAATTCGATATCTTATCTGGATTCCATCTTGGCAGGTGTGGAAGGCATCCGTCAGCATGGCAGAGAGGACCATACTGAAGAGTGTGGGGCAAGCACACATCCCTGCTTGACGCCGGTAGTCACAGGGAAAGCTTCAGAACCGTCTCCATTGTCAAGGACCTTGGCCATCATACCATCGTGGAACTGGCGTATGATCATGGTAAACTTGCTAGGGCAACCAAACTTCTCCATGATCTTCCAGAGGCCATTCCTGCTGACCGTATCGAAGGCCTTGGTCAGGTCAATGAAGGTCACATAGAGATCGCAGTGTTGCTCCTGGCACTTTTCCTGAGCGCGAGCAATACACGACCTTACATCATCTGCTGTCCACAACACAACTCCTCACACGCGATCACGTGGGTACCCCTCACGTGAACATGCACATGCTGTACAAATGCCTGTACTTAACCTATGGGCCTTTGACAACCAATAATGTACGTGCACTCAGTCACTGAGCTCTTAAGCTCCGCCCAGTAACTAGCACACAGTGAAATAATGCTATTGCAATACGAATGATGTAGGAAATAAACTGGCCATAAGTCATAACACTTTCCATATTACATAGGCCCCCGAGCATGGTGGGGTATGACCTCATACTCCATAACCATAATAAAAATAAAAGAGGAGTGTACCTAAACCTTAACTCTCTATATAAAACATAAGGCTTAACTCTTTCTTTATGCTTCAATATAAAACATAAGGGGGGCTGATTTTGAAGCTCATTAAATATTCACAAGATATTGTACATGGCATAAGGGGCACAAGAACACCAAAATTTACCTCATTAAATATTCACAAGATTTCACCAGCAGAGATTATACAGAATTTGAATCAAAGTTTGCTTGTTAAATATTCACAGGAATTGGACAGAAAATTGACACTGCATTTTACGCAATTTTAGAGGAAAATGGTTGGACATTTTGGAAAGCTTTTTACACATACATTAACTGTTAAAATTACAAATTTACAAGATTTTAAAGATGATGAAATTGGACGGATTTTGACTAAAGTGATTTTTCCTAATCGACAATAACACATTACATTTTGAAAACCGTAACTCAACGTTTTAAAATGTGAAAATGTTTAAAGTTCGTCACTAGCTGTCTCCCATCAGACTCTACTCATCCGCCTAGACTTGACCTGCTTGAAGTATACCCCCTGTTGTGCTCATCGGTGGTGACTCAGTTACCGACCAGCCACATCTGGGTTGTGGTACCATCATGCATCGGGTCTCCGTCTTAGTCCTCTTCATGGATGGGGTCGACTCCTTTGTCGTGTCACTGTTGCCTTTAAGCTCTGGGCAGGTTCGTCCCTTAGACGTCTGGTTATCCCTGGCCTTGCTTTGCCAGTACAAACCTCTCTATGCCACAGACCTCTCTATGCCACAAACCTCTCTATGCCAAGCTTGGCACAGACACTTGACCACCACAAGATGAAGACATGCAGAACTCCTGAGCTCGAACCAAAAATATTTATACACAATTATTCACAGATTTTGCTGGGAATTTCAACGAAACGCCCAATGGTTTCGATTGTCCACCATGGGCAATGGCCTGAGCAAACTTATTGTTTACTTGTTACATTGGCACTCGGTTCTGCTGTAAGGGTGCAACCCTTCTCTGAGCAGCCGACTTCCTCCTGTCCCTACTGCGACCAATAGGTCTTGCATGCTGCTGATGAGTGGGAAATTGTCTTCCACTCTGGTCAATTTTGACCCTCTTCCTTCAACCTTATGAGCCAACTCACAGTTTCATCTTGTAACTGTGCTTCTTTAAGAGCATCCCATGACAGGGTTGGTTGGGCAGCTACGCCCCTAACCAAGAATTCACTCCCCTGAGGTTTATCCATGGGTACTTCACCAGTTGTCTCAGATTCTTCATGACGGCCGCACTGTTTGCATGGCCGTCTGGACACCTTATCAGCAGCTAAAGCTTCTTTTCGCTTCTGTGCTCTTTGATCGACCCAGCATTACCAGTGCTTATGTGATGCTTGATCACGTCCGTGTGACCGATGTCATGGTCACTCTTGGGCAACTCATTCTGAAAGTCTATAAGACATTTCCAGACATCATCATGATACTTGACCTCTGCATGGCTGTACCCCTCTCATATGAGTCTTGCAAATACAGGGGCAACTCCTTCCCTGTGTTTGCCATCACGTCAAACTCATCATGAATTAAACCGACCTCAACCTGGGAGATCACTCCCGCCGTTGTTCCTTCAAGGCCAACTCTTTTCTCCCTTCTGGGTCGCAACGGAACAACGGCTTCAGTCTCAACCTGAGCTCTGGCCAACACCAAGCCTTTTTCTTGGCCAGGTCACCACCACCTTCTACTGGTTCGACCATGGCTGGCCCGAGCAAGTCGGGGCCCTTCCGAGCAATTTTGCCGGGGACCACAGCTTCATGACCTGGTGGGATAACCCTAGCTTTACAAACAACAACACGACCCACAAAAGGCTCGCCTGCATCATTTGTGTACTTGATTCGCTCACCATTGAGCCTCCACTCCCTTAATTGGAGGACTATGTTTCCACCTGTTGGCAAGAGAAAATCCATGTCCAGGATACCACTGTATCTCAGCAAATACAGCCTTCACTTGGTGCATGGTTCTACCAACTTGCACCTCAACCAAAGCCATGCCCAGCACAGCTAACTGGCTTCTGTCCACCTGTTTTTAATACCTGGACGTCTACCGTCTCCAAGATGGGTCTTTTCTCTTTTGGGATTTGGTAATACACCGCACTACTAATTAAAGTGTCGGTGGACCCCGTGTCAATCAAGCATCCACACTTGGTTGCACTTACCATCCCATCCACAAACAACCCATATTGAGGACCACGGCTTGGATTAGGCAGAGTACATGTAATTACTCGTTGTGCATCGATCCTCACTTCTCCACCCTTGGGTTCACAGATGTCTGCTTTTGGACCCTCTCGACCATTCAGCCTTCCCGCGGGTCCTCCTGGGGGCTGACTTACCCTTCCGGGCAAAATGCCCTTTCCCACCACACTTAAAACACTTTAAGCTTCCAGGTTTGGCTTTCCTGGGCTTGTCGCGCCCTTGCCTTGTCCCTGGCCTTTGTTCTGGTCGGACAATGACTTGAACAACTCGGCCACAGATTTCAATATCTTAACCTGCTCTTTGAGACTTTGCTCTAAATTCATAAGCCTCCGCTCTGTTCCAATGTCCAGAGCCCTTGCCAATTTGGCAGGCTGCCGGTCCAGCAATCTTTGCTGCTCGACCGTCTCAAAATTCTCAGTCTCCAGGGCAGCCTGGACTGCTTCGTCCAAAGTTTTTGGACAGGCTCTATTGATGCCCCCTCTAATTGAGTGGCTGTCAACAGCATCTATGAAGTGGTACTTTGCCAACTTCTCTCGAGCATCTTCCTGCATTTCAGGGTACGTTTGCACCGTTAACTCATGGATTGCTTGCCCTTACTCGAGCAATCCCTCTCTCGGCTTTTGGCGCCGGTGTCTAAGCTCAACGAGATAATTCTCACTCTGTCGAGCTGACCCAAACTTACACTCAAGCAACTTGACTAGCGCACTGTATGTGTGCTTTTGACCAGAATCGCCCACCAACCATAGAGCATCCCCTTGCAAGCTTGCGGATAACCACTTCGCAGCTTGCTCTTCGCTCCACTGGTTTACCGCACGGCATAAACCAAAATAGCGGAAGAACTCCTTCCAGAGCACTTTCCCACTATACTGGTCAGGGGTCATTGCACCTTGCCCGGACAGGAAAAGCTTCGAGTTGTCTATGACTTGACTCTCGCGTTCCAAGGCAATTGGAGTCAACCCAGCTCGAGGTTTTATTCTTGAGCTTGAGACCTTTAGAGGCATACTCTTCATAAAGCTCACCTCCCTCCCACGTTTGTGGGCCCAGTCAGTGACCATCTTTGTGTCTGACTCTTGTCTCCCCGTTGCTCCAGAGACATACCCAGTAGTCTCTTCAGGCAACCTCAGCTCAACATCGGTATCTACCTGATGGAACACACGCAGGCTCCCACCTGCCGTGATAGTGTTCCCTCCATTTGGGGAACCAACTGACTGCAACTCCATGGCAGCCTCCAACTTCTTTGCAATGAGGTCTTTTCCCACTGCTGAAATTGAGCTTCCATTCGCAGTGGCTGCACCTCGGCCCCATCACCTGAGGTGCCCGCTTGACCCTGCGAGCCTTCGCTCACAATTGAAAACAACTACAACAATCACACACGACAACAAAAAACAAACAACCGACACACACCACAGTACAATAATCAATACAAGCCAAACACAATGTGCAATCAAATAATTTAACAGCGAAATCACTTTATCAATCATAATCACCCACTTCCGACACCATTTGTGGCGGGGATCTCCCTGGGCCAAACCTTAGTTCGTTGGGACCAAGTCTGATACCTATTAGAGTGTAGTTGATCTTACCGAACCCAAGCTTTCCCAAGACGAAAGTCACTGATGGTGCATCCCTTAATGTCAATGTGTAATCACTAACTCTAACAAATAGAGGTGCTAACATTCTGACATTGTATGGAATGTTTTTATAAATTAATAATGGCTGTCGGACTTATGAGGCGTCGGACTTATGAGGCGTCGGACTTATGAGGCGTCGGACTTGTGAGGCGTCAGACTTGTGAGGCGTCAGACTTATGAGGCCTCGGACTTATGGACAGAAATAAAAGTAAATTTAATTGTCGGACCTACGAGGCGTTGGATCTATAAGGCATCAGACCTATGAAGCGTCGGACTTATGAGGCGTCAGACCTATGAGGCATCAGACTTATGAGTGGACATCAATGTAAGTAACACACACCAATGTAAGCAGTACACACCAATGTAAGCAGTACACACCAATGTAAGCAGTACACACCAACGTAAGTAATACACACCACTGTAAATATTACCCACCAATGTAAGTAAAACACACCAATGTAAGTAGTGCACGCCAATGTAAGTAGTGCACATCAATGTTAGTAATGCACGCCAATGTAAGTAATGCACGCCAATGTAATATACATGTACACACTGTTCAGCCTTAACCTGAATTACGCTTTACCCATGCAAGCTAGCGTCAGTATCGTACAGTACATTTACTTGTGCGGCTGTGCGTCAGCATCACACAGCGCAACTTCAGCACAGTCAGGGCCATGTCTTTACACAGTGCGTGTCAGCATTACCCGAAACACAGAGCATGAGCAATACACGACCTTACCGTCTGCTGTCCACGACAGAACTCCTCTTGTGGGATCATGTCAGTACCTCTCACTTGAACATGCACAAGCTGTACAAACACGTATGCCTGTGTACTTAACCTATGGGAATTTGGCAACCAATGTGCATTCAGTCACTGAGCTCTTAAGCTCCGCCCAGTCTCTAGCACACCATGACATAACACTATTGCAATACGAATGATGTTGGAAATAAACTGGCTGTAAGTCAGAACACTTTCCATTACAGTATGTACATGTAGTATGTCTCAACAACAAAATGTCACTGTACTAGCAGATAACGTTTACTGGCCTGATCTCATATTTGCAAGTCATTGTAAGGTGAGATGTTAAGTGGCAGTCCTGTATCATGCACAGTACCATAAGCTTACCCTGCAGCTGACCCTGAGCATCTTGAATGGAAGATGATTTGGAAGATGATGCCATCCTTCTTCTAAGATGCTCTCACAGTGTAAAAGAGTCAACCAGCGTCTTCAGCCTGCTACACTATAGTAGGACAAAAATGCATAGATGATATCAAGCAGCATTCGAGATAAAACAATTTTTCAGACTTATGATGGATGTAGTGGACCGATCCATTATATTCAAGCTGCATGCATTCGTTTGAGTGCATTCATTTGCATGCATTCATATGTGCAGGCATTACAGATGTGTACTTGCCCCCCCCCTCCTCCCCCTTCAAAACTGTCCGCTGCTGTATGCTGATCATAGCTGTTACAGGTTGAGGTACTTGTACTGTAGGCGTACTTTCAATTTTTTGGGCAAATATGATGCAACAAGGAGTGCCACGTATTGTTAGATCATGGTTCAATCATGGAGAAATAAATCATATGAATTAATGTGACTTTATGTGAATGTGTATTTTGAATGTTGATTGTTTATGTTTGTTGTCTTTTATGTATGGTGGGACCCATGGGAGACCAGTGCATTTTTCTGGTATGCGCGTCCGTCGCCGTAGCCATGCGCGTCGGCAAAATTAAGAACTTTTTTTTCAATGCAAGTCAAACTCACTGGTTTGACTGGACTCCCGCTGCTGCACAATTTTAACGTGAATACGATCGAGTATATAAGCTTTATGTAGCCTCTCTTGGCTCCCATAATATTTTGCACTAAATTTAGTCGGGCACCATATGCCGTCATCAGCTGACAGTTGAAAAAAAAAAAAAAAAAACCATCACCGCACCACTTTTGGGGCAAGCTCCATACCAGAAACCAGAGACTTTTTTTTTGGCCTAGTAATAATATAGTCAAATAGTAATAAGGTCAAAAAAAAAAAGTCTCCGGTTTCTGGTATGCGCGCGCGTCGCCGCAGCCATGCGCGTCGGCAAAATGAAAAAGGTTTTTTCAATACAAGATGATGTCTCAAAACCGCCAAACTCACTGGTTTGACTGGAATCCTGCTGCTGCACAATTTTAACGTGTTTTTAGATGGGGTTATGATCGAGAATAAGCTTTATGTGGCCTCTCTGGACTCCCATATATTTGCACTAAGTTTAGTTGGGCACCATTTGCAGTCATCAGCCGACATTTGAAGCCAAAAAAAAAAAAAAAAACAGGTAAAAAAAAAAAAAAAGCCGTGTCGCCGCACCACTTTTGAGGCAAGCTCCATACCAGAAACTGGAGACTTTTTTTTTTGGCCTAATATAAAAAAATAATAATTTTATTATCAGTTGCGTGGCTCGCAACAAGCTTTTTCTTTCTGTCACATCATCAAATTGAGTACACGATTGTCTGAGATTGTGCTTACCCCCCCCTAAAATCCCCCAACCCTCCAATCCCCCCCCCCCCCCCCTTTGCAAAATCCGGCATGCATCAGCAATGGCGGATTAGGCCAGCCACAACTTGCACAACTTTTAATAAATTAAAGCCTACTGGACCACTGAATGTAGGATTTTTCAGATTTTACGAGCGTGGTCTAAATACTTTAACCTCGGGCGTATCAAAATAATTATTTAGACTGTATCGTCAGACCTCCTAAAGCGCTCCTATTTCTGCGCACTCGTCTTTAAGTTATATTTTGCAAGGCGTGCATCCTAAAAAATGACGTACTTTCACCAGGATTGTATACTTTGATGCACGAACTTTAACCAGCAGCCGAAAAAAATGTGGAAATTGAAGGCTTTACCAGGAATTCAGGCAAACAATTAAAAACATCGGCATTTTACAGCTACATTACTAAGCACAAATGCAGGCAGATGCTTCCAGGCCTGCAGAAAATATGACCGAAAGGTGACCTTTCTTGGTCTCCCAATATCGTCAGTATTATAGATGTCATAGGTAATAATTTGCAGTTTCTACAATGGTGTAAAACTTATGGTGCAACTAAAAAGACACATTTCTTATATTATTTTGGAATTTTTTTGGTCATAAGTTTTTAAATCCGACATGTTAAAAACTGTCTCTGTTGATTGGGATGGTCAGAATAACAATATCATTGGGATCTACATTTAATAGGTAAATATGTTTCAAATCTATTTATGTAAATATGTAAGGCCTTTGTATAAATCCCTAAAATGGGATATTGAAAATAATCGTGAAATTACGAAAAGTGTACCGACATTGAAAAAAGAAAGGAAAAAGAGAGAAATAATGTTTGAAAAGTTTAGGAAATATATTTTCCTAAAGCCAACAAGTCTAAGTTATTAATAAAAGTATTCATATTGAGTTACATGGCCTGGACAGCACATATTTTTCATGACGCGTCCCCTGCGCAGAATTAGGCAGGATTCTTTTCTACGACGCCAAAACTGCACGCTTTGGAATTCCCCGCTTGCTGCCACCGTGGCAGCAAGCGGGGAATTCCAAAGCGTGCAGTTTTGGCGTCGTAGAAAAGAAGTAAAGAGATTTTGCTTTGTTAATCGGTACGGTGGATGATCGTAAGCCAGGAATATAAGTTTTGTTGAGGAAAAAAGTGGTTGCTTTGCTATTTTGAAGCTACTGGGTTGCAAAGCCTTATCTGCGCAGAAATAGGAGGATCGAGGATACAAATAAAGCATTAATTTCGCTGGAAAACTTACACTTGTTTACCTCGGCGGTACACGTGAACGTTCCTATAAAAAATCCTGCATCTGATATGCCTGAATACCGCCCTCTTGTGACATCATTTTGATAGTCGATTGGGCTGCAACCAGATTTCGCCAAAAAACAATCATTCTTTTAGATCGTTTGGGTCTTCGTCGCGGGAAATGAACTGCAGAATGTCTTACATTAATAATAGTGATAGTTTGTTCGTTTCCATCTGACACGGTAATATACTCATCGGACCTAGCTATTGGAAATTTAGCCATCAGGCCCGGTAAGGATGTAGTTGGGCAAAGACCCATCTTTTTGTGATGTTTCGGAACAAAACAAATTATGCACGAGTCCAACAAAGAGATTTTCCTCCCATGATTTCCTTAATTCATCCATCCAAAGCAAAGCAAAAGACCATAGTGAGTCGAGAGATAAAAAAATATGGGCTTGCGCGCAGGTAGGCCTAGACCTGTTGTTTGTTTTAAATAGCACTTTCAAATTGATTGATTGATTGAACTCCACAAGACGCCTGTAAAAAGTTGCGACTACACAATAGCTCCACCCTTCCCCAAATTTGTGTATACTTTTTTTTCAATACCTATGTCTGACGCTTACAAATCTACTGAAAATAATAAGCATAAATCCCTGTTATTTGAGCTTAAAGGGGAAGTGAGATAAAAGACTGATGAGGCCTAAACTGATGTGGGTTTTTAGAAAGGAAATCCGAGATCTCAACAATTCTAAGCCGACAATCCGTGAGATTCAGTAACCATTTCATTTATGTTGAAACAATTATTCTAAACGGAATTCTTGAATTTAAAAAAAAAAGTTATTATGAGTTTATATCTGCTAAGTAATTATTTCATCTCCGTTTGTGATTTTTTTCCTTGTATCGTTGACAGTAAAAGATGTTGAATCGTGATTTTGAATTCACCGGATCGGCATTCATCAGCTACACGTAAACGATGATGACATTCTTGTAAGTGACGAATCTTTTCAAAGACGTCGTTTCAATTTTCATCTGCTTGTTTATTTTTTGTTTTCAGGTCTATAGAAACTATTAAACATAGAGTACTATTTATATAGCTTTCCAGATGATACTGTAACAGACCTTTGCTGTCGTCCGAGCGGTTCATCATCAACATGTATTTGTAGTCTTATCAGGTTGGAATCAGCACCGGTCTGTTATTGGGTAGCGTGGCAACAGTGCTGATTCCAATCTCCCTCAAGTTATAGTGCAGTCGGACTAGCCGTTATCACTTTATACTATACTACATGGGTTTGAATTCAACAGCCAGATAGAGACACAGACGTCCATTATTATATCGTGTTAGTTCCAAGGGCGGATCCAGAACACAATTTTTGGGGGGGCCAAAAAAAATTGTGGTCCTCCAAAAAAGTGGGTCAAAAAAATTACGGCGTGGGGTTCGGGGCCCGCTTAAGGGCCCCGAAAAATTTTTGGATTCTAGATGCTCTGTGGTGTGATCTGAGGCAACTTCTGACCACTTTAACCAATGTTTTTTTGAGGAAAAGATGGTGGTGTACTCATTGCCTGCCTTTTTTGCGATGTCACATAAAAAAAAAAAAAAATTGGTTTCGTTTTGGGGGGGCCATGGCCCCCTTTGGCCCCCCCCTGGATCCGCCCTTGGTTAGTTCCACACCAGTTCTCCCCTTTATTCAACTCAACACATCCTAACCATGTCACTTACAATTAGTTGTCGTAAACCCCGCCCCCTTAATTGTGATTTGATTATTCGACCCTTCCCTTATCCCTGATTGGCTGCAAGTTTCGTGGAGCGTGATCACTGCACGGTCGAGTCTTAAGAGGGCGCACTCATTTTCCACCTGTGGAAAATGGGAGTGACTCTTACAAAAATGCATGCGCAGTAGGAGCCGTCCACGGCGCTAAATGCCAAGACTATTTATGAACAATGACATCGTAGCGAGGGACGACTGCAGGTCGTCACAATACAGTACTGTAAACAAAATAATAATTTTGTTCAACCCAAAGGACAGCTTTTGTTCTTTAACTGCACGAGTTTCAAATTTTATTTTTCTAACAACGTTTTTATAATAGTTACATTGCATTACACTTCGTAACTGATGCATTGTGTTCAGTTGTAAATCCTCAATTTTGAACATCAGAAATTATCGATCCGTTATGACTTTTTAATACGATTAGTTCTGCTTAAACATGAGTCAAATTGGCAGCTTCAATTTTATTCACATAATATAAACATTATAAATTATACCTAAAGGTTTTTCCCTGCAATACAATAAAACATTATGAGATGATACGAAAAGCATAATCAGCAGGGACGACACCTGGTATCTGAAGACTTCAATCGTCACAACACTTCAATCAATTTTGACATTTGTGTATGCTTCTTCGAAGATGTGTTGTCTTCATTTCTAAGTCTCGACCTCCTCACGGAAGAGCTGTTGTCCTGTTATTTTGAACGCACCATCGTGAACCTGCACATGTTGCCGCCAGCCCACGGTCTTGAGTGTCTCAGGTTGTTGATAATGTTCTTGATGATGAGCCTCAGCTCTCGTTTCTTTCTCCAACTCTAGCGCCCAAGCTCGGCATCTTTCAGCGTCCAAAACGGCCACGATAGCTCTCCGTTGCGCTCTGCGTTGACCGCCGGGCAGGGCGGGGAGGTCGATCCAAGGTCGAGGGCAAGACCGACGCTGACGCCTGGCATCAGCTGGTAAAATGATATCAAGTATCGAATTAAGGTGGAGAGTATTTTCTCTAACAGGCGTAAAGATGAACGTTCACCACGAGTAAGTATATTACGCTATGCTTGGACGAGTCAGTCATCATATAATCAACTTGTGTTTCTATACATACGATTGTTACATTATCGAGGTAAGACGTTTGACTGGCAATTCAATGCCACAGTCGTTTCACCTTATCTTTGGATTTGATTCTTTGGTTGTGTACAAGTCATGATTTGGTTAGAGAGGTATTTGCTTGTAACCAAAACTAACCCAAAATTCCCTTCAAAGTGTGGCACGATGACTCTGCCTTGGAGTTAGAACTATCCGGCTTAATGACGGAGTAACTGACGATTTCACTTGACGGGTTCTTGACGATGAAGGCAGTTTCCTTCAGAGATGCATCGTCTGCAAACCGTACTGATAGTCTCCGGGTTCGAATTTCTTGCTTGATATCTTGATTGTTGGGAGACTGAGAAGCTGTGCAGACAACAGAGAAAACAAACACATTATTTTAATCAGTGGAGATGATGGTATGGAGAAAATGAAATAATAGTCGATCTTCTTTAATTAGATATCATTGTGATGTAGTTTTGAAAAGAAAATTATACAGGAAGTTAATTCCGACATACCTCTCCAAAGCTCCTGTTGGTCTCCCTGATCTGGATTTGCTTCGGGTTGTTCCTTTGCTGACTTCTGTGTCAGTTCATGTTGTCGTTTTGCCGAATTTCTTGACTCAGTTTTCTGTATTACTTCAGGCAGTTTTTGTTGCTGAAGGTCTTCTTGCTGCTGAACCTCTTCTTGTACGAGACTCGCAGCCATCGGCTCCTGAAGTTTCTTTTGGTATTTTTGTGCTGCCTGCCACTGACACTCAGTTCCTGTCTCGTGTCGAGATTTTGCAACCTGTCTTTGTTGAGCTTCAGCCAGTTTTTGAAGCCATGTCTTGCCCTTTGACTCAGCCTGCCGTGTGAGTCCGCCGAGTTGTCGATGACGGTCCTCTTGCTGTTGAAGTCTTCCTTGTGGTGAGTGATTCTGACTTTCATCCTCGGGCTCTGTTGATTCTTTATTATGACACTGCTTTTGCTGTTGTTCACGTAGCTTCTGTTGTACGAACTTCCCGTGAGCATCGACCTTTGATATATTGTCTATGCTATGCTCTGCATATCTTTGATGAAATACAGTGAGGAGGTTGATTACGGCAGGAAACCGTCGACAGTGCCATGAATTGAAGTGCAGGCATCCTTCTTTGTCTATATCTTGCATATTCAACTCTGTATGTTGGTTATCATTGTGTTGTTTTTCAAGTTTTACTCGTTGTTGAGCTTCTCGTTGTCTCTGATTGTCTTTCCGAGAAGTTGCTGTAGAAGTTGAGAGGGATTGGGCTACCTTCTCCTTTTGTTTCTGTTCTGCATAGAATGTGATGTGGTTGTCCAGTGAAGGAAGCTCTGGATGGTTCCAGGTGTTGAAGCGAAAATTCCCAGATGTGTTCAAATTTTGCCATTTCAGGTTTGTCTGTTCACGATCTTCATCTTTTCGTTGTAGTCCCTGAGGCTGTTGAGCATGTTTCAAACCCTCTCTCCTAACCTTCAGCTGTTGAAGATGATTTCTAGGTTGTTTGTGTACCAACCTCTCCCGTCGAGCTTGTAAAAAACGATGTTGAGCTTCAGCCATTCTTTGGAATAACGACTTTCTTTGTGAAGGACGCTGGAGTTCACAGTCACCTGGGCTGTTTTCACTTGCCCGTTGTTGAATCTCCGAGGCTTCGTTTGCCTCTTTCTGCTCCTGAACCTGCTCCTCAACTTGTTCGCTATCTTTAGGTTTCTCTCTATCTTTGGTTTCCAGTTGAGCGAGGACTTTCGATTCAGTTGCAGTTTGTAGACACTGTTGTTGAAAATGTCTCTGACCCTCACTTCTACCCTTCTGTTGTTGGTCTACTCGCCCCTCATGTCGAGCTTGTAAACGCTGTTGAGCTTCAGCCATTCTTTGGAACAACGACTTTCTCTGTGAAGGTTGCTGAAATTCGGTCTGTTGATTTTTGTCATCTGTTCTGTTCTGACCTGCCCGTTGATTTGTCCCTAGCGCTTGTCTTGTCTCTTCTTGCTCCTGAACCCGCCTCTGAGCTTCAGGCTTCTCTCCATCTTCGATTTCCAGTTGGACAGTTGTTTGCTCCTCCTGCCTTGCTTGTAAACGCTGTTGAACTTCATCCATTCTTCGGAACAACGACTTTCTGGGTGCTGGCTGTTGGAATTCAATGTTTGGATGGCTGTCATCACCACAGTTTTCAAAGAGATCTGAAAGTATAAGAATCGACTGTCCTCTAAGTTTAGTCTGATTCTGATCTACAAGCTGACGGTTCGGCGATTCTGACAGTCCTTCGGTTTGTTTTGCTGTTTCGTTCTTTGTTGGCTGACAATGTGCATCATCTCTGGCTTTGGACGACGGCTTCTCCGAAGAACCTTTGCAAGTATCTTCAGTTTCATCGTAGTGCACCTGTTGCACACTAAGCTCGAACAGTGTGTTGTTTTCTGACGACTCCACTTGTGGAAGCTGACATTTCTGGTCTTGTATTTTCTTCACTTGAAAATTCTTGCCGTCGCTGTTTGTTTTGTGCGTGTCTAGGCATTTGCGAATAGTGGAACCTGCCAATGAAAAAAAAAATGCATGAAGTATGACGTGCTGAGTTTGTTGCAACACCAATTATCGGCGTTACATCAGGAAACGACGAGTATGTTTTGCACTTTTTACCTTTTAGGAGTGTTGCATCTGAGATCCTGGGGGTATTATAAGGAGGTAGGAACTGTGTCCAGGAGGTGAGGAGTAACAAGATACCGCGGCAAACAAATCTCAATGCAGTCTTTATCCCACGGATAAACCAGTTTGTCATCACTCGGACAGTCCATCCTGCCCGCACATTGCTGAACGTGTGCCTGTACAACAGAATTACAAATTAGTGTCCCCCTACTGAATAACAATATTGATGATAAAGTTCATAAAATCGTTATGGAATATCAAACGGAGGCAACATTACATATCGAGTCCGGAACAAAAATTCCTCCGGCTTACCTTGCATGAGTGAGCCTGTATTTCCGTTTGGGTTGTTGCATGAGTAGAGACAAGGCAACAAACACCAGCAGGTAACTGAGGCACAGGGCGGCAGCAGCAACAAAGTACCCCAGCCCTTTGGTGATGGCTAACGGCAATTGTATGCTCAGTTGGTCCGACATCTCGATGGCTCGTGCAGAGAGAGACTCGATCAGGTTCAGAAGATGAGTTGCCAATGACCATGGAACAGACGAGGCACCAAACTGAGATGGGTGGATGGTGGGTCTGCTGTAGATCCACCAGGTACCCAGTGGTACCCCAAAGATGGGGTACAAGCCCAGGTAGGTCACACGGTGCCAGGACACGTGTGGGTGCGGAGATGCGGATACCGGACCACGTCGTAGATTGTAGAAAGACGGTCCGGGAATCTTGAAACGTAAGTCTCTGCATGGGCGGCCCGCCGGTTGACGAGGACGCGACGAGAACACCCGAGAGGCAATCCCAACGAGAGTCATAACGGACAGGTACCAAGTAGCTAGGCTGATCATCGCTGCTTGGGCATCTGAATTCATCCAACAGGAGTTCAGGAAATGGACAACATCGGAAATGAAGTCCTGCGACAGATTGGTGGCGGCATGCTTGCTACTTTGTGACGGCATTGGGTGGAAGGAGCGGATAAGTTCCGCCCATACAGATGAGAGTCCTCGGTAGAACTTGAACTTCTCATCGTTGATAGAGTAGTCATCGGTGGCGTCAGTGATGACGACACTGCCTGTCTGCCAAGATGTCACGATGGTTGGTAGGCAAGGTAGAGAGACAGGAGATTTCCCGAGCACACAGCCAGACAGGTACAGACTGCTGTAACAGGCCAGGATGACTACAAGCAAGTTGAACAACTTGCAAATAACGGAATTCATGGCTTCCGAAAATGTACAATTGTTGGTAACTATATATCGAAAAACAAAATCGCTTTGGATTGAGAACAGTTCGCTTGATAACTCGATCACAGAATAACTTAATACGATCTGAAGGTGTGCGGTACGTATACATACGTGTACGTGTGGACGCTAAACAAAACAAATCCTTATTTGCATGTGGAAACCAACGAAACGCGCGGTGGCGCTCGACAAACGTCACAATGCGAACAACTGCATGACGCACATTGCAGTTTTTGGGCTACTACATACAATCCAGTCCGGCTTTCTATAACCTCGATCCAAAGGTCCATAGAGACCACGTTGTGTTGAGGATGTTTGTTTTTAGTTGTTTTTTTTTTCTCAGATAATTATGTTGTTGTTTCGCTTAGATTTTTTTGCCAATGTGCGGTTTTTTTTCTTTATATGAGAGAGACAAAAAAATTCTTTCAGGTTGGTTCAGCACGCAGTGCTTTTCATTTGTGGATGTAACGCATCATTGTTCGTAAGAAACTGACGAACAATGATACCCCTCACTTAAATCCACTGTAAAGTTATCTATTGCTATCCAAAATGTTTTACCCGCACATAACCGAAGTTTACTTCAGACCCCAATTCGCTCAGTGGATCCGTCTATTTTGAACATTGCTGAAATCAAAAGCGCGTTCCGCGATGTCTTTTCTTCTCCATACCACATCCATCCCAAACGCGGGTCGGCTTAAACAGCGCCATCTAGCGCCTATACTTTATCGTTGAATTAATATGCTGCATGTGTTTCAAGAACTCCCTCGGTTATTCCTGAAATTGATCAAGTTTTTGGAAAACATTAAAAGCTATACTGTCGGATCGGACGTCTATCCAAATGGGGGAATGAGAAGAAACATTGCGTGGATGAAACTTAAAAACTGCAGGAAACGAGCGCAGGGCCGCGGGACTATTAAAGCGAACAATCTAGCTTTACGACGTCTGTTCGATTCGATGTCTGTAAACGTCTGCGGCAATGTGCAGTGACTGGCAATGTGGATATTGCATTTCCAATGTAGTATGACCCCTGGGTCAAACCCATCACTGGCGGGAATGCCTGAATGATTGAAGGAACATCTGAAAGTATGTGGTCTCGAACGGTCTAAATATAGCACATACTCATACTGGACCTCCGTACGGAAATCGAGACAGGTGTACCATGTAATGTGTCAACTGCAAATGTTTACCGGTTTATTTATGTAAATAAAATAGAACGTGTGAAATATCTTAATATTTTAAAGGCCCACTGAATTCGGGTGGTAGATTAACGATTTTCGTCGCAATTTTTCTTATCTTGATAGCTCTGGCCAAATGCACCAAAAAAAAGAACTTATCTGACATTCATCTTAATTCGCATGTGATTTAACTTACGTGTTTCGCGACATTTCCAGAGAAGAAGAACGAACTTGTGATAGGTTATTTTTAATGACACTTTGACATTATTATACCAACACAGAGAAGAGTTTTAATGCATTCAGTGCAGTGTGTATTAAAGCTAAAATTACTTGTTTATTGGCATTTCTCAAGCAGATCCAGGGCCACATAAATGGTTTGGATGTCTTATTTTTTTTCTCAAGCTTGTTCTTTGTACATGTATGATCATATATAGGCCCACTACTATGTGGAAGAGAGAAAGCGCAATAAACCACGAGGACCGAGACTTGGCTTCTGCCCTCCCCCAGCACGTCAGTATTAAAATGTAGAACACTTGACAACACGCGTGCTTCGTACTTGAGGTTTCGTACGGGGAGGCCCGGGGTGAGACAGGTCACTGGCGCGTGGCGTAGGCCTCAACGGGGCAACGGAACGAGCTGCCCGGCAGCACTTGAAGTCTGTCCCCGCTGATGTCTATTGCATTCCCTCGTCACGCTTCACCCCAAAAAAAGAAAAAAAAAGAAAGTATTGCACACTCATATTTTGATATTGGATTTCAGTTTGATATCAGACGGTAAATTCTATACAGGCGACCTTTTCATACGCATGAGCATATGACGGATACTTGCTGGTATACTTTTTATTATCTTGCCCGTTACTAACACGTTTCTGCTGGCATTGCCGTTAAGAACTCACTTTCGTCGGAGTTCAGTTTCAGGCAGGACGCAGGAAGGAAGGCTCTGCAGTAGTTGATTGGGAGGATTTGGAGCCGGTTGATGTTTGGCTGCCACGGGGTGACTGTTAATATTGGAAGCACGAGTTCTGCATGTTCCGTTGAACAGCACTTCTGGTCAAATCAACCTAAGGACTCGTATGCAGGATGTGTACTTAGCATCAGTCGTCAGATGAGGCGACTTTATGCAGGGTTTGTCAAGTAGTACAGGCCTGTGGCACAAAGTGGGGACTGCACTCTGCCTAGCATCAACTCTCATATCGATGGAAAATGCTACTGTCACAGTGTTTGCGTATCGGCCTATAGCCTGTGGTGCGATTCAGGAAGGCAACAAAATCTGCTTTTAGGAAACGGTAATACTAAAAGGCCATATTAACTGATTTGTATGCACGCACTGCGCCAGAAGCAAAAAATGTGTCATTGTCGTGTTGGCCTGGGACAGGCAATTAAACTGAACATTGCTGGCACGGGAACAGATCTCAAGAATATGAATTCTGTCGTACTGCATTATGATAATTCCTTTGCATCGGGTTTGGAGCGTGCTTATCGGAGAAAATCGAAGTGGCATACATTATTTTATTGACGTCCGCTGAGGAATCCGATCAACATTTGCTACCGACATTATGAATGTCATACACAGACTAGGACTGCATTTACTCAGTGATGTCGTTGACTGAACGATGAATGCATACATGTACACAAGGTCTGTAGGATAGAAATCTTTGCCAGGATGCGATACGAACGCGTGTCATAGGCAGGTCAGCCCACACGGGAATTCCGTGAGTAGGGTAGGAGCGTTTCAAGTAGTGTCTGTAGTCATACTGTACATGAACGTTACCCTGCGCACACGTAAAAAGCTATACCAAGCTTCCAACTGAGCGGGGAGTTGACATGGCACTAATGCACGTCTTTACTGCCGTACCGCCGATGCCTTGCAACCATCACTGGTAATTACCGAAGATTTTCAACACAAACGAATGCTTGCTTTGGAAATACCAGAATATGTGTGTCATGGACCCTCCAACTGGTGTATGCTCACGAAGGATTCTTGTTTCATGTGGGTGTGCTGATGGATCTGCTATTAATGGAACAAATTTGCAGAAAGCATATGGGCTGTATTTCAGTCCCTGAAGCGTATATTTCTGTCACAGAAAACGTAAATGGAAGTACAAATAGTTGTATTCGATAAGCGATTTAAAACGATGGATCGTGTGTATGTGCTCAACAAGATGCTTGAGTCATCGGTGAGTGTTCTGTCAATATGACATGCAATCTGTGTAATTTTTCAGGCAGGGGAAATTCAAGTGGAAACGTGATATACGGATCCCACAGTTTGTGCCGAGTGATAAATGGAGGTTAAAGTGATGCAGAGACGCAGGGTGAGATATCGCACCTACCCTAGCCCCTCCCTGGACTCGGAAGAAGACGAGGATTTGGAACTCATGACCTGTCGCCACATCACCTTCCCTCCCGATGTCCGCTTCATGTCGGCCGTCCAGCAGCAGGACAATGCGGAGCTGGTCAAGATCTTGAACCAGCACGGGGTGCAGCTGGATCTGAATACCAGCATCCACGCGGGGCTGACGGCCCTCCACCAGGGTGTCCTGAACCGCAACCTGGACACGGTCAAGCTACTGCTGTGCCAGGGGGCCGACGCGAGCGTTCAGGACGCCAACGGCTACTCCCCGCTCCACACCGCTTCGGCCTGCGGTCTCCGTAACATCGCCAGCCTGCTCATCATCTTCGGCGCCGACCTGTGGGCCATGACACTGTCCGGGGAGTCCCCCTTGGATCTGGCCAAGGACCTGGTCACTGCCGACCTCATCATGCGGGAGATGTGCAGACAGGTCCAGCAACGGGAACTGATGGAGAAGTACGGCTTCGCTTTCCGGTTCATCGACTTGTGCGAACGGTTTATGGTAACTTGCCACTCAGTGTGGCAGAAAATCGTGGAATGGGCGCAGTATGCTCTGGAAAAGTATTGTAACCATCCCGACCACCAGAAACTAAACGGCAGGTTAAAGGGGCGTGGTAGACGATATAAAGAGGAAACGAATGATGAGCAATGATGAATGTGGATTGAGGTCTGTACCCCGACCTAATAAGTATTTTTCTTCGATGAAGGATAATATGTATATTTTTATTTTATAAAGAACAGCACTCTCACGAAAATAGGTAATCAGGTCAATAGATTGACTTGTAATATAGTATTTGCTCATTCATGGATTGAAATTCGAACATTATCTCCATATTCTCAAAAAGATACCATCTCAATGATAAATTATTATGGACCTATCGATATCTCCGACCATGTTTTATACCTTTCTCCAAAAAAAATGGCTATTCGGTATTAATATAAAATGTTGAGAAGTTTTTCCTTGACTACATTAACAATACATGAATTGCTTTTATTACGATGGAACCGACCATATGTTTTTTTTTCGCCAAAGAATAAGCCACTTTGAGTACATGTTTTATGAGTGAAAAATGAGCAGTATACACGAAGCGCCACGTTTAGGTTATGCTTTGGTAATTTATGTTTATGTCATCGGGAATGTGCTGCAATGAATGCAAGTATCGCCTTCCATAGCTGTAATTAAACAAGCACCGTATATGACCAGAGTATTCAAATTACCTGCGATGAAAGGAAATTAGGGTGTTATTTATTTGGTTCCTATATTTATTTAAGTAAAAGGGAACACGTCATTTAGAATTTTAAATTTTTAATGCAGCTACACAATTACATGTGCGAAAACCGCAGTATTAATGTGACGGTACCCGCACTATTTCGTGATATAGACCTACAAGCTTGCCAAATATAGAAAAAGAAAACATAACAACTAGAGATTAACGCAGGCGAGTGTCCTTGTTCACCTTTCATTTACGACAGTTTGTGATAACTATTCGACCTAAAGAGGCCCCGGAAGTTAGCCATTTTACTTTATTAAATGACCTCGATTGTTCACCAAAAGTTGCGTCCAGTGTACTGAAGAGTTGAATCTAACCTGAAGATAAAGTACAGCTCTGGAAGTCGTTGTCCTAAGTAGAGGCTGCATCAAGAGCTGGGATGCAAACTGGAACACCAACGTACTGTAAATACTGACACTGGAACTTAAACTATTCCCAGTTGAACTGTTCCCAGTCAAATTTGACTAGTACATTTATACGAATGTACAGGCCTGGCATCCAAAAGCTCGCATCAGAATGTTTGGGCTACATGTACGTTACATGCGCTTACAGAAATCTAAAGATGTTAACTCTGTCCCATTCAAATTTGACTAGTACATTTTTACGAATGTACAGACCTGCATGGCATCCTCATATAAGTTACATGCACTTGAATATGTAAGTCTCATGCAACTGGAACCACTTATATTTTCCTTTTACACAGAAGTCTCAGGCCAAGTAAGAAAGTAAACGCGTTTGTCGTCCCCGCCCGATTCCTTTTTTTCTGCTGGGCTCCTTTTTCTGGTTTTGTTTTTAATCGCCAAATTTCATTTATGTTTTCGCAATAGATTTTGTGTTTTTATTTGTTTCCAGTATAATTGTAGATATGTATGCAGAGTTCCAAATCTGGTAGAAAAGGTGACGGCTCCTTTGGGCACAAAAGTATCACCAAAAGAGTGGAGGAAATAGAAAAATCAGTCATCTTGGAGGGGAAAAAAGGCCTCCCTTAATAAAAAAAAAAAAAAAACAACCGAAAGAAACTTTTTTTTTTTTTTTTTTTTTTAACTAGGGCTCTTCATGCGAGCACGGAGAAAATATAACCCTTTTTAAGGATTCAAGTTGTTTAGGCCCTTTTGCCATTTGGTAGCCTACTACATAATTTGAGGCTTTACAGCGTGTCATGGTCTACATTCAGTTTGTGTGGACATGCCGTAACCGGCATCCGGTCAAGAAATTGCCACGGGTCACGCGGTTGACCAAGCGAGGTCATCCCTTTTAGTTTGAGGAAGCCAATTAATTCGAGAAGGACAGTTTCTCATGCTTGAATAACATGCCTCCTCGTTCCTCATTGCGAGGACTATACGTTCGTCATTCAAGAAATTGAATTGAAGGCCTGATCGGTAATCCATCGAATCGATGAAATATTTTTTTTGGAAAAACATCTCCCACGCACGGAGTAGCACTACGTGAGTTTCGCGGCGGAAAGTCTACTGAATTATGAAGCAAAATTAGTCTGGACTGATGAGATCTGCCAACCATGGCACATATGGGTTCTTGCTCAATAATTATAGTGTGCAAGTCTCGCCATGTAGTTCACATTCACTTTTCATGTAAACTTCTTGGTACCAAACACTGACTAGTCTTGTCACCGTAGCCCCGTATTCGGAATTTACCCAATTGTTATCTACATGGTCGATTAAAGGGAAGTTGAGATTCAAATTATACATTTTATGTTGTATTCATCAATATTCGCAATATTCTTTTTAATATGTTGTATTAAATAATGCAATGCTTTCTTTTCTTGCACAGAACCTTATAGGAACACATTTTTTGGAACTTTTTACTCCTCTTAAATGTATGAAAACTATTTGACATCCCTTTTTGGTTACTTTTTATTGACAAGTGCACTTGTCGTCTTTAAACATTTAAGAATGTCCATCCCCCCCCCCCTAGACAGCTGAGGGCGTTGTTGCTGTGGTGTCATTTCAGTAAGATACTGTTCAGTTTAGAGATTTTCTCTTCAAATTTTCCAGGCTGGTGCACTGCCCTCCCCCCCCCCAATGTTGACGAGAAACCGCTGCAGCTGGTATATACCAATCAGTTTGATAAGAAGTGTGAATGCGCTAGCGAGTTGCGGTTCTACGGCGGGTAGCCCCCTCCCCCCCCCCCATTTTGTCTAGCCCCCCCCCCCCAAAAAAAAAATTCCATAACAAAAAAATTGCACATGCAATGTGAGAATGTGACGTACATGCAAACGGTCTCCCCCTAAATAAATAGTCGTGAGAAGGGTGCATTTGTACACTTTAATTAATTTAGTGTGCCTGATTGTAGGATTTTATCAGCGCTCCCCATTTAAAATATGGCACGAGCCCCTCCCCCCACCCCCTTAGGAGACCTAAGTGTCCGGAGAAAATAACATTTCAAGCGTCCCTGAAACAATTTCTGGATCCACCCTGCTAATAAGCCCCAAAATATTGGCTCTAAAACCGCGCCTGCCGCCAGCGTGAATTCTCTTTTCGGATAAAATGCACCATTTATTTACCAGTGCAGAAACGAAATCAAAGAATACTTTCGCAAGCTACTTAGAATAGATATGGCCCATTAGTGAGATAATTTATTATTTATTTATTCCGTCTGTCATTGAAAGTGATTTCGAGAGAAAGCTAATTGCCTGTAGGTGATGAGTGCTAAATGCTTGTGGAAAAAACTGCCTCGGTACGGTTCAGCGGCCTATAGCCATGAAATTTGGACTTGCAATAAACTGGTCTCTTGCATAAAACTATACCGCTAAAAGGATGATGGTAGTTTTTGTTTGGCATGAAAATCTTACCAACAGACTGAGTTATTTAAACACTGTCTCGGAATGTGACATGATACACTCATGTTGAATAAAACGTAAATTTGTATGGAATGCGACAATAAAAAATGAAAAATGATAAAGCAGATAAAAACTAGATAAAGAGTCGAACAATAAGCCTCTGTACTGATGACGTCACACTTTGTTTACGTGTGTTCTTTCCTATGGTGCTCAGTGGACCGTGGGTCCCAGCACGGAGGCCATTTCACTATAGCTTTAAAGGTGACCGGCCAGATTTCGCAAAATTCATGTTTTAGGTATGTTTGCTTACCTTATTTCAAAGCGGGTTGAAGGAAATCCGCATAATGTCGTACATTTGCGGAGAAAACGTTGGAAAACCCCGTTTGTTTACATATGACGCGGTAGCGGTTTTTGGCCTTGTCTATACGTATTTCAAGCACCAGAAAAGACTGTCAACGAAAGCCTGGACCCCATAATAATATATTCACTATGAGATATCAGCGCCAAGCGCACACACTTTTCAAGAACGTGGTGTGACTTGAATGACAACTATAGCGCTCTGGCAGCTCACTTTATTACAATGTAGTACTCCGAAATTCCTTCTCGTATATTACACGAAAACAGCAAATCCTTGATCTTTTCCTGTTGCTTTTCCCCCGTTTATTATTTTGTGGATAACGTCGGGTTTTTGGAGCCCAACTAGATGCTTTCTCCCGAAAGTGTTTCTTCAATATATGATTGTTTTATGCGGAATAGAAATTCCTAACACCAATATACAGTTTAATGGTGTGGTTTGTCATTTTCCGATCATATTTCACAGGCTTTTGTGATAAATTTAGCAGAACCCTGAGACTTAACCATGAAATGTTGTTTTCAAAATTACTACCAGCATCCAATATCACTTAATAGAACTGTTTTCATCGCCGTGTTGACGTCACGAAAACCTTGCAGAATTGTAAATTCATTATTTTTTAAAGTTTTACAAATCCGCTATAAATACTAATCCTGCCATGATTTGTTATTGTCGATATGGAGTTCCTACGCTATTTTGGACAATTTCAGATGACACGCCAGGGCAGATCTCCGGGCGACATTTTTCTTGGGTCAGTTCGAGCATGGAAGCTCCATGGCTCGAGAAAAGAAACAAAACTTCGGTTAATGTAAACGAATGTGTTCGGTGTAATTGTGGCTGGGAGGCAATGGCGCCGAGGCCTGCAAAGATGAAGTCGAAGAAATATTGTGTCTGTCAGCGAACGCCATAATCAGTGCATGGAAACACGTCCGGTGTTCTGATAGTAAACTTGAAATTGCGATCCCAGGAGGTAACGTCGAGATCATGCATTAGACGTCAAGTGTTTTACACATCCGGCGTTTCATTAAAGGCAGACATGTGGTAATGTATAAAAGTGTTAATTAAAAAACCTGTATATGGAGAGAACGAAATGTGGGTGATGGCAGTTGCGTTACTGAGGGGAGGGGGACAAGAGGGTACGCCTCTCCTCCTTGAGGCCAGTGCCCCCATCACTTTGTACTCCTCTCAGAAATTTAGAAGGCAAAGCTCTTGATTGTTATAGAACCATTAGCTATCCCACTCCCCTGAAAATGAGGACCCATGGTGATGCCCCTATGGAAATAGAACCCTTGAAATAGAACCACTGTTCCGGAGGTTTCTTCATCTGTCCTTGTTAATATTTGGAGGAAACAGATTTTTAACCATTTTGCCCCAAATCTGAAACAAAACATTTCAAAGCCATATGCAGATTCAATCATCGAACATACCCTCGGATTTTCAGCTCCCCGGACCAGGTCCCAGTCAGAGAACCAAGATTCGTTTGGCCCATTTCCCCCCGCCCCCCCCCCCCATATCTGTCCTTGTTTATCAATTTTGCAATGGTCGAAAATAGCAAGCTTAATTTTTGCATAATTTTTGCCTTTTTCCTGCATGTAAATCATGACCTAATTATGACATCGATTAAAGTAAACCGGCTTATTACATTTTCAAATGTATATAGAATCGTTCGAAATTCCATTGAAAATATTCCATAAATGAGATCACTGTCAAAGGGTTCCTCAGAGAGGGTGACTGAAATACTGGAATTGGAAATGAAAATGTTATGCCGCGAAGTCGTTCTGACACCCTGACATTAAGCGCTGCCTGGTATTGTGTTCCACGTCCTTGACTTACATACTTACTGTAGCAAGCATACTAATTAAATAATCAGATCACGCCATGCGTGATCAAATGTGAAATCGCCCTGTGCTATTTAGTTACAATATTTTCAGCAATATTCAAGATGTGGTGAACGCAGCTCGAAGAGAAACCTTGAAAACACGTTTAGTGACGTGTTTACTGCGGTTCCAATGCTCAACAAGACTCGCTTAATTCTATCACCCCACTTCGCCAGTCTTCGACCTTCGGTTCCCTTTTTACCCCGATGCCATTTGCGCGTTTGTATAGGTTACTTTTGCCCAAGGGTTATATTCAGTACCTGGTCATATTTGACCCAGAATTAAAGGGAAAGTACAACATTTGCAAACATCAAAAAATAAAACTACCAAATTATTTTGAAATACCTTGCTGGACTGTTAGAAATATGACAGTCTAAAGCATCCTGTAAAACATGACACCTGGTATACTGTAATTTTCAAGAAAAGTGGTATTCTCGTATCAATTTCCAGCGCTGGCCCCAATCGACCATTTTTAGTTAGTCCGCATTTGTTTGCAATCGATTATCGGGATCGGGTTCTAATCCCGCCTGGGCCAATTTGTGGATTGGGTTTTCAGTTTCTGCCTGATTCCGTGGGTTCCCCAAAACTATTCTTCTGGGGTTTTGCTCCCACCTCTAAAACTGTAATTTCGTCATTGTCTTCTCTCTGTAGGTTTCTTCATGGTTTCCAGCTACAGTGCCTTGTGCGCTTTTGAGGAATCCTTGGTTTCATTACCAGAAATAGTTAATAATAATTAGGCCTAATTAATAATAAAAAAAAATATTTTTCTGGGTCATAGACGTAATAACAGACTGGGAACTGATCAAGAGAAGTGACATTTTGACCCGGAAGGGGGTCATTGTTTGACCCTGAAGGCTAATATTCTGAACAGGGAATTCTTCGAATATGAAATGGAACACATTTTGAGTACCTTTGACTGTTAAAAGGTTTTTAGAAAACGTTTTGGAAATTTTGGACAATGAATTTTATGGCTTTTTTCCCGGTGAGGGAGACTTGTGCAAAATTTTGGGGAAAATCATAAGAAAATGAGCAAGCGTGCGAACTTGGAACAACAACTATTTTTTTTAAACCAAAAGTGATACCTTGTGGGAATATTTTACAGGGGGTTTGGGTATTGGTGGTGTAGGTTGAGGGAGGGGAGGGGAGGGGACCTAGTATGACCCCTGGATGCTCCTAGACCTGGTAGATCGACCCTGGGACGAAGCTCGAAAAAGCAAAAAGTAGTGAACTCAATGTGGCCGTGTGGTCAAGCAGTTATGAATAGTAAAACCGTCTAGGGATTTTGACCGACATACCAATACTGATCGTGGCTGTACCTTGATGTCAAAACCATTGACATTTAGACGACAGGTGTAACGTGTTGTGTACATCATGTAGACACTGCATCCATCCACAGTGTTATTAGCTGTACCGGCGAGCTAGCGATTAATTGGTGAGAGTCGATCTGCATGGTTTCACAAAATGACTATTGCCCATTTCCAATATACACAGAGTGTTATACATGTACACGTACCATAATAATGTTATGTTCCCAAGTGCAAATTCAACCCTAATTGACCTATCGCGGTAGTCAACGCAACTTGTGAAATATTGTCCAATTACATGATATACAAATGGACGCGGAACACGCACAATCTGAGACAAACAAAATTTAGTGTACAAAAACTCCATAGGGTTGTCTAAGGGGCGTGGCTAACTCGCAAACGGCGATAGGTCAATTACACCACTGAAGGAGGGGCGGGACAGAGAATTCTGGGCGGGGCAACCGCGCACGTCACCTCTGCTCCACGCACAGACTGATGTTCGCTGTTATCAACTTTCAAAACGTGTGCCAAACACTGAAGTGAGATACTTTAAAGTAGTCGTATCACCCGTTAATTATCCACGGAGACAAGTCTCCTGTTCAACGTCTGATATATAGGGGGTCTATGTCTAAATCGTGACGTCATTTCATTCCCAATTCAGGACTAATGGTTTGATTGGTCAATTCGAATGAAGTGTTTTTAATACAACAGCCTGGCGCGCATTCGCGTAACATGATACAGAGCGTGTGACACATTTTTTTTTATCCATGTCTATGATGCGCAGTGGGAGAATGACCGAAGACCCGATATAGAAAGCGCCCGCTGATTGGTCAAAATCTAGAGGTCAAGATGCGGTTGTCTTGCATAATTAATCAGCGTATTCTTTTTCAAATTAATGCATGCTTTGGTCTATTAGTATTTTTAAAGGGGTCGTGACGTCAATTCTACACTGGAACGTTATTTTGTGCAAATAATTATGTATGATAAAGCCTATGTATGAAAACTTCGAGGCATCCATTTTTGGTTTATTGTTTATGTGTGAAGTGTATAGGCCTACATTTTTAAACAAAAAGTTAAAACATTCCATGCTCTCCCTAACAACTGAGGACGTTTTTACTGCATGTCATTTAAGGCTCACACTCTTCAGATAAGGTTTTATTGGGGGATCAATTGTCGCTCATCAAAATTATGTACATACGTTTTGTCTTGACTTACAGTTTATATGTACTGAATCAATAACGAATCATCTAAAAACAGAAAATTTTACCATGGGCAAGACAAAAATTTCTAAATTCTTGCTACTTTACATGCTGAAGCGTGACACTAACGTTTATGCCTTGAATGATGTCACAGTTTTGCTCATGAATATTGAAATTCGCATTGGCACAAAAAGAAAAAGGCACCAAAACACCCTAATTGATATGGAAATATGCAGACTGAAACTCAAGCTAAATGGGACATAAAGGTGCATTTCAAGGATTGCATTGTATGCACTCACATCAGTCACATAATTTTTCATTGTCATTTTGGGTGATCGCACTTCTAGTATGCTATAATACTCTCAGTTTTTCGTTATAAAAAGTGCACAGTGTACTTTCATTCGCAATAAGTACAATACGATCTAGCCTCCCTGCAGGTATATACATAGGTCCGTCCCACGTGCAATACAGCTCATGGGCATTCTGTTCAGATTTCCGCAATGCATAAAAATAACCATGCATGCTGCATAAAGTGAGTAAAGTGCATGGAACTCCCAAACCAAGGGACGGCGGTAGAGTATTATACTGCATTCATCGATTATTGATATTCTGACCGAATAATCCAAAAGTAAATTCTTTCAGTGTACTGTATACTTATGATTATTCATAATCCTACCCCCAAAAGATCGGTTTTCCAGAAATGCCAAATATTATTACATCGGCAAAATTGAAATGCATTCATTATGCCATTCTTGTTGTATTTTTAATCACCGGAAAATATGCTATTTTGAAGGCAGCGGAGATACATGATAAAGCTTACCAGACGTCCCCTGAGATACACGGGGATTACAAAGCCATGGATTTGTGGTCTAAAAATGTCCTCGCGGCCTCAAGAAATACCTATAACTAGCTGAGATTAAGGCAGGGTTCGGGGAAGGGCCTCTTAATGAGGGAGCGGTGTACATCGAAGACTAGACTTGATCTTACGGCAATATCATAGTACACGGTGTACGGTACAAGGTAAGAAAGTGATTCTGGAACACTAGATTGAAAATGAAAGTCAAAATTAGGGGATCATAAAATGTTATGCTTACTTTGTGACTTTATCCAAAATGTCTGTCCTTCGTTACGTACGTAACACTTTTAAAAACAATATCCACTATATTTTCCAAAAATATAAAACCAGTTATATCCTTTGCAGGTGAGGATATTTGTTAGAAGCTTGCAATGTTGACGGCAAAAATTGAGAGACCAAGATCGTACTTTTATTATCAGAACTTAAAGGTCTTCTCAAATGTCACACTCAGTTTAGGCCCATTAGTGTGGAATTGCCCAGGGGTGCGTGCGTGATGAATTACAGCAAGTACTGCGATCTCGGCAACCCAAATGCAGCAGAAACCATCTTGGCTGATAAGATGTGTTTTGCTGCTTGGTGCACACCATACCAAGCGGGTATATCGGAGATGGTTTTTTGTTCAATTTCTGTTGGCAGGTATGGTTTCAATCATTCTAAAAGCCAGGCATCGCTGACATCCAAGGCACCAGACGCGGCAAGCCATAGGCGCGGTGTTAGGGCCGTTGAACCCTATAGCCGTCGGTAACTTGAACCCGGGACAACTCTGCCGACGAAACGACGCGAGTTGACGGGACCGTGATTCGAGCCGGTACCCGGACCCCCCTTGGATCGATTGCGGCGTTTGATTAGAGCTGTGTAGGTTCCTATGAAATACACCAAGCAATGCAGATTACTTGGCGTAATGGCAGAAATTAAATAACATGCACCGTGATCTTGCACAATAAGTAGGCCTACCAGGAGACATGATGGTGATTTTGCATGCTGAAATAAATGGATTTTATTAGTGTGACCTAGAAGTGGCGATGTAATTAGGGTACGCATTCATTAACAGATTAGGGAAGGAATTACATCAATGAATTCTGACAGATACATGCACTCAATTGTTGCAAATAGTACAGCATCAATCTGAATACAATTTAAGCTCATGACTAAAACCATGAGCGACGTAACAAAATATAATAAAATAGCCGGGAGTCAAAATACATTTATTAAGAGATTGATGGTGAAGTTTAAAAAAAAAGGTCAGTGCTGCACAGTTGTAGACACTGAATCAAGCCAGCCTATATCGGGCGGTCATGACCAGCGAAAAGCCTATAAGCACTTATACGTATACTACGCTACGAAAATAGAAAACGCCGGACATACAAATCGGATTAACCGCCAATCGGCTTCACATCTTATTCATTCGAGAAGCAAAGTCTTAATAGGAGAACATTAAACCTGGACGTCGACTCTTGTTGATCATTTAGATCGAGCAAGGCCTTGACTGCAAAAACAAAAATCATAAAACAATCCGCAGATAACACATGACTCTTACGTATACTTCACGACCTTCATAAATACGAATACAACAGGCGCCTGTATTTTGCACAATATCATCCAATGATACTGATAGTTGGCTGAAAGAATTAGCCATTTGTTTCAGAAAACATCATGTAGGCCTACAAAACCATTAGTTACAGCACTTGTCACTGCTTCAGTCACTCATCATATCTATGTAAGTCGATTCCGGTTTTCGAAACATTCGACCCCACCAAGGCACGGGCCCCGCCGGCAGGTCCCTTACCCGCTGCGGTGGATCGTCTCCTGGAGTACACTGACGATGAAGCAGTGGAGTCAGGCAACAATCTGATTCCGTCGAGGACTCGACACACGAAGACGAGTAATCAATCTCGATGTTGTTGTTCCGATTCTTCATCCGCGGTTTCTTCCCGGCCATTTTCTTGGTGCCCCCTCCTGCTCTGGCTTTGGTCGATACCGATTTGGACTTCACTGATCCCGGTGATTTCTTGGATGATGATCTAGGTGATTTCTTAGTTGATCCTGCTGTCCTCTTAGCTGAACCTGGAGATTTCTTTACTGAGGCAGGTGATTTCTTGGTTGATCCGGGTGATCTCTTGGATGATCCGGGTGATTTCTTGGTTGATCCAGGTGATTTCTTTGTTGATCCTGCCGTCTTCTTAGCTGAACCCGGCGATTTTTTTGCTGATCCAGGTGATTTCTTGGTTGAACCGGGTGATTTCTTGGTTGATCCGGGTGATTTCTTAGTTGATCCTGCCGTCTTCTTAGCTGAACCTGGCGATTTCTTTGCTGATCCAGGTGATTTGTTGGTTGACCCGGGTGATTTCTTGGTTGATCCGGGTGATTTCTTAGTTGATCCTGCCGTCTTCTTAGCTGAGCCTGGCGATTTCTTTGCTGATCCAGGTGATTTCTTGGTTGATCCGGTCGATTTCTTGGTTGATCCGGTCGATTTCTTGGTTGATCCGGTTGATTTCTTAGTTGATCCAGGTGATTTCTTAGTTGATCCTGCCGTCTTCTTAGTTGAACCTGGCGATTTCTTTGCTGATCCAGGCGACTTCTTGGTTGACCCAGGTGATTTCTTGGTTGATCCTGCTGACTTCTTAGCCGAACCTGGAGATTTCTTTGTTGACGCAGATGATTTATTTGTTGACCCAGACGCCTTCTTCTCTGACGTTTGTGATTTCTTCGTCGATCCCGGTGATTTCTTTTCCGTTGACCCAGCTTTCTTTTCCGATTTAGATTTGTTGTCCGATTTCGATTTCTCCTGAGATGCCGATTTCTTCTCTGATTTTGATTTCTTGCCGGATTTGGATTTTTCGTCCGATTTGGATTTCTCCTCCGATTTGGATTTCTTGTCCGATTTGGATTTCTCGCCCGATTTGGATTTCTCCTCCGATTTGGATTTCTTGTCCGATTTGGATTTCTCGTCCGATTTGGATTTCTTGTCCGATTTGGATTTCTTGTCCGATTTGGATTTCTTGTCCGATTTGGATTTCTTATCCTTTGACTTATCCTTTTGTGACCCTGCTGCCTCGGGTGGCCCATCAAAACCGTCATCCCAGGTTTCCTCCGGGGACCAATTTTCGTAGATGGGTTCCTGTCGGTCATGTCCCTGCTGCCTGTGTGTATTCTGCGATTTCCTATCCCTTGACTTGGCCCTTTTTGACCCCGCTGCCATCGGTGCCCCGTCAAAACCATCATCAAAGGTTCCCCCACGGGGCCAGTTTTCGTAGATGGGTTCCTGGGCGTCCGACTCGTCCTGCCGGAAGACGATGCCGAAGCTGTCGTCCGACGCAATTGAGGCGTCTTCCGCGGCCTCCTTGAGATCTGGCTGCTCGGCGAAGGGGACGCTCGCCAGGAGCCAGCCGCGGGCCGTGCCCTCCGGGTCGTCGGCGTCGTAAGCGTTCCCGATGGACGTCTGGAGGTAGCGCAGCAACAGGAAAATGACGGACTGTAGAGAGTACGGGAAACAGATAATTATAAATTACCCTCGATCATTGGTCTAAAGTCCTTAAAATACAGTGTGTTTTTTTACTCGCGTTCCTCTAGTAGTTGAATATTGGGGCTTACTTAAGGGTAAAAAGTGGTCTACGCAATCATTTTGGCCTATACACGAGTGAAGACATACAAGAGCTACTTGGGTGTAAAACGAAGGCCTTCAATCCTAAACCCATGAACTCCAAAATGTTCTTTTCTTTGACATCTACCCTGTTGCTGGAGAAAAAAAGTCCCACTTCCGATCCATTGGGACATTTTTCCACACATCCACGAACACTTTCTTCATTTTACTGTCGTATATAGTTTCAAAAACACTGAGTGTAAATCATCTTTTCTTTTAAATCAACCATCAGAGGTCACATCGTATTTTGTATCTGTAAACACAGGGGCGGCTGAACGCTTTTCAAACCGGGGGGGGGGGGCAACACCAAAACGAGCCACTTGCTCAGAAACAGGGACACTTTCCGGAAAGTGGAGGATACGAATATAGTCCCGTTCATTTCGCTGTAAACCTGCATCTATATCTTGCTCTTTGTGTTTCTTAGTGAGATACCATCCTCGCGAGAGGGGCATTGTTGCTTTGATGGCCAGTTCAGTGACCATTTTTATTCACGTGACACTATTATAATTGTCTGAGGGACCAGTTTTCTATCTTGAGAGGGGGCACAATTTATTCTAATGGGCACTAATTGTTCTTTCGAGGGGCAGTTTTCCATCTCGAATAGTTATCACTAGAGGAGCACTATCGTTTTTGATGGCCAATCTTCCATCTTGAGGCTAGAGGGCACAGTTATATTTTGGCGAGAGAGGGATTTGTGCTTTCGAGGGCTGGGGATAGTTTCCATCTCAAAAAGGTGCACACTCTTAATATTAATGCGAGAGGGCCATAGGGTTTTTGAGGGGCAGTTTTGCATTACAAGAAAGGAGACAATTTTATTTGTAGCGCTAGCGCGATCATTATGCTTTCATGTGTGTGCGTTTCAGGGGCAGTTTTCTTTTCATCTCGAGGGAGCACATTTATAACCGCGAGAGGGGCACTTTTGTTGGCCTGGGAAAATCTGGGGAGCAAGTGCCCCCCCCCCCCCCTGGTTCCGCCGCCCCTGCACTAACGCTTTCACAAGTCCAGCCACAAGTAACAGGAGTTGAATGGGAGAAAAAATGCTTTTGTCACAGTCGACTTCATTTGAATAGCCTGTGACTTCAAGTCACACTTGGCTTTCGACTGGAGGACTTGTGAGGACTTCCGTGTGTTTGTGACGGACTCGACTATAGCACTGCCACGCCCACAAGGGGCGGGTATCTTCTCCAACTTACGTTCGAGGTCAACGCAAATTATTTGACTCAACCTCGTCACACAGTACACTAGCGTGAGTCACCGGTTACCCGAAGGGACATCTGTGTGTCTTCAAGACGGCGATGTGACATACCTGCAAGATGAAGATGAGCATGGTGATGCCCCCGATCCGATTCAGCCTGGTCGTGAAGTAGTCCATGAGGGCGGGCTTGCACCCTTGTTGGTGGAGGGTCAGCGCTTCGCGGTAATCGTAGTTGTAGTGTCTGTCGTTGTCGTGGACGTGGTGGTGGATGCAGGGCCGGAGCTGGTCGTGTTTACAGCAGCTGTACGGAACGTTGTCGCTCAGGTATTGTCCGCCACTCATCTTGCTACATGGGAAAATGGCGGGGGAGATGAGACATCTTTAATGATCGTGGGAGGGTGGGGCGTACCGAATCCGGTCAATACCCCCGCCCACTTTTCGGTACATTCTAACAGAGCTAGCGACCGAGTTTGTCTGAGCTACCATGGTCATCTGATTACAAATCGTAATTTAATTTCAGTGCGAACTGTTTTATTCACAGGCATGAAAATCCACAACCTTCAAAACAGCTGTGAGCGCTTGTATATAGCTGAGTCGAATGCGGAAACAGCACATCATCGCTCACGGGCTTTTACCCTGCCCACACTTTCAATAATTTCCTGAGTGCTCAGAAAGACTCTACAATTGGATATGTTGAAATCTTCGATCCATCATTTTAGTGGGGGCAGATAGGGGAAATATTTGGGAGACTGTGCCTAATACAGTGCCTTTGATGATACAAGAGTGGCATTTGGCACACAGTCAGAGACTCAGAGTATGTCCTAAGAAAGATATTTGGGTATATAGGGCCATCGCAGATTTGCCCATTGAAAAATTATGGGTAGAATAACAACCAATTTTCAAAATTTCCAAAATAGCTGCCATTCCTTTTTTCTGTACCTATATTTTTTCAGAGGACAAATCTGCGATTGCCCAATATCTTTCTCGTGACATACTCTGACTGTGTGCCAATGTCATGTCTTGTATCATGAAAGGCATTGCAATCCAAACACATATCTGCCGTACCAGATTTTCTGCATCATTACTGATCGCATACTAATTGTTTGGATCTATTTATATCAGCAGCTGCACCAGACAACCTTGGGTTGATTTCGAGAAGCTGCTATAGCCATGGAGCAATTTGCTCAGCGGAAATCAAAATACCATGGCGTTTGAACTGCCTGTTGCTTGTGCTCACCAGATTTTTGCTTATAAATAGGCCTACATAACTTTGCTGTGCACAATTTTGTGCTGATCATCTCCATAAAATTGGGCCCTCGAATGCCGAATTAATATGAAATCCTATAATATCGGTTCTAATCGGCTTATAGTCAGATTACCTTTGTATGATCTCGTTACTCGTGTCCAGATAATCGTCTCCGATCCATTGCAAGGCAAACCAGTCTTCGTAACCGTCGTTGCCACAGCACTCGAAGTCCACCTGCAACTGGTTGATCTCGTATTTCACGGCCTCCTTGTCCTGTATGCAATCAAGTCATCCAGGGGGGATGAAATCGGTCATTAAAATGCTCGGGCAAGGCATTTTGTTTCGACATGCACCATCCGAGATTATTGAGTCAGGCGACTCGGCAATCACTGGTGGCAATTTTGTCGAGCGAAGTTCATGTGTTTCGTATGGGGGCCATAGCAGTGAACATATCGAACATGAGATTTAATTCCTGCCTTGGAAATAATGAAGTGCATTAGAAGTGCGTCAGGGGGATACAATTCCAGTTGAGGCGTCAAAACCTAGAAAGGATCAAGGCATGACACTCAGACGAACACTTTAAAGGGCCCGTGACATGGATTTTTCTTGGGAACATACGTTTAATGCAACTTTCTACTCCTCTTGGATGCATGAACATTATTTGACATCTCTTTTTTGGCAATTGTGTACCCTTGTAAACATTAGTAAAAATCTTTCTTTTCCTGACAATTAATGAGGGTGATGTTGCTGTGATGTCATTTAAGGAATACACAGGCCAGTTCAGTGGTTATCTGTTCAAAGTATGAACCCACAATTTGCTCGCCGCAAGCCAGCAAATTTTGGGTTCAGCGCACTGAAGACATTGAGAGAACTTTGCTCACTTAACTGTCATCTATACTGAAACATCAACGAATCATCAAAGAAAAGTTACGATATCAAAACATCCAAATTCTGGCAAATCTGTAACATTGAGGTTTCTGCCTGAAATGACATCAAACTTTTTACGTATGAATCAGTGGGAATTTGCATTAGCATATTCACCAGAAAAGCATCAAATTGCCCTTTAAATGGCAAAAAAACCAATGAAAATTGATAATAAAATTAAATTGGAGATATGGGACACAAAGGTGCTTTTTCAAGGAATGCATTACAAAAATTAATTACAATATCAAGAGAAAATCTGCATGTACGGACCTTGCATTGCACAACACCCCTTTGACTCAGAATTTACTAATACCTAGTAAGAGTAGGGAGTAGGAGGCTGTTAAACCTTTCTTTCAGGTACATTAGCGTACGGACCTTATAGTTTTTCATTGCCTTCATCAGCCCACGATGGAACGACTGCTGGAGATGGAAGCGATGCGCGAAGCACATGCATGCCGTAATGAAGATGCAGAAATTGAGAACGAGGAAGAGGAAGAGGTAGGGAAGGAGGAGGGACTTCATTTTTTCCCTGTAAACAAGTTCAAGACCAAAACATTATTCATAATAAATTATGCTGAATTTTTACAGTCTCTTTTTAAGCTCTGGCAGGAACTTCTATACGTAACACTTTGTCGGTCGGCCGTTGGTCGGTCGGATGGTCTGTCGTCTGTCTGTCCCGAAAATTGACCAAAATGTATGACATTTTTCACCAGTTGTGCACTCGCACGTTTTTAGATTATATATATATTTTTTTAGACTGCTTACCTTCGAGAGATGTCGGCAACCATGTGGAAAAGTCGTCCGCCAGCAAGGTCGATGGCTGTAGTAACAACACCGATGGCGATGAGCATCAATGGTAGGGTGTTACCGTCATAGCCTTCTACTAGATTTACCTAAAAAGAACAAGGGAAATGCGCTCAGCCGACGTATGTTTAAGGGTAGTGAATGCGGAATCAAACAGGTGAAAACTAAATAAAGACATTTTTTAACTTCGTAATCAGTCCCAACTTTAGTGTTCCTATACCGCAGTTCCTACCCATTGTCGTCATCTTCGTGTCCATGTGTTTGGAGGTGTCTTTGTCATCTTCGCCCATAGGCCTACTTCCTTTAAAAATCAAAACACCCGCTCTCTCCCCACGACACTCGTGTTGCTTTTCAACACAAGGCTATAGTATAACTAGCCCAGGTTGGACGACGTCTTCATTCCCTCCGTAACGTAGTGTGGTAAGAGAGTCCACCTGGGCTAGGCCTACCGGTATATACCAGCTATTTAGGTGAGCACTTAGCCCAGGTTGGACTCCGTTGTGTCAGTCGTAATGCAATGTTAAGACGTCGTCCAACCTGGGCTAGGTGAGCACTGTACATATCATTGGGCCAAAAGTTTTCGTTCTCTACGGGAACTAGGACTATCACTTCACGATCGCCTGAATAAAAAAGCTATTGCTTTGTTAATAAAATTATTCAGCTCTTATAGGACCACTACCCACCTTCTACAACAATGAAGATGGTGAATTGATAGGCCTACACGGACGCTAAAATTTAGCAACGGCCTACCTTATCTTGTATGCGAATCTTGAGGTACAGCCCAATGGAGATGATAGCCAACCCGCACACGGCGCACACCCAATGTACAACCCACAGCACAGTACACAACCTTTGTCGTCCGTTCTCGCTAATTTGAACCGGCAAAACTGCCATGTTTTGTTTTCACCGTCACATGTTCAGCATGTGCACAATCATTTGATTTTTATTAAGGAGAGAAATCTATTAAAATACAACAAATTGTTTATTTTAAAAATTACAACACTAGGCTACACAATGTACGGTCCACGCGAACTGCGTTTTACAGTTTGAAAATGAAACTGACGCGCGCGCAACTGTAAGAATCTATCTCAACGCGCGCACCATCCAATCAAAGACGTTAAAAGTGTCAAGAAGCGCTCAAAGTGTGAGCGTAAAGAGCTGCGTGAATACTGCTAAAGCAAGTAGGCTTAGCGAGCGCATATACGTAAAGTAAGTGGGACAAAATGTGTACATTTCTTCCAAATTTTGAAGTTGTAAACCAGCTTTCACTTCCATAGTTTGTGTTTAATACCAACGAGTTATTTATATAGGGATTTGGTGAGATGATATGGCACCGATTGTGCCTGTTCAAATCAGCGAGACCGCACGGCAGAGGTTGTGCACTGGGTTATGGATCGTGCATTGGATTTGCGCCATATACGGACTGACCATTGTCTCGATTGGTGTTTACATCAGGATTCGTATACAAGACAAGGTAAAGTGTGAAACCACACGTGCATTTCACTTAACAATTAACATTTTCTTATAGGCCTACTACTAGAAATGCTACTACTAGAAATGATTGTTCAAACCTTAAGGAGACACTAATGACCATTGTCTCCCTAATGTAAAACAATAATTACTAGATAGTGTCTCCCGAGCAACCATTTGTTCAACTAAGTTGTGTCCATTCTGTAGGCCTACTGACTTAATTTTTTTCATGCTCACGAAATGAGGGAAGAATGTTTTATATTTCAATGAGAAAATCCCTTACTGCATTCCTCAATCTTTGTCTCGAACTGAATTTCGGGATACCTGCAGATATGAACATACAGGTAGGCCTTATACTGTTGGAAACTGGGAATCCTTCAAATTTATCTTTCTTGGTATGTGATTTTTCATAGTAAACTGTCTAATAATCAACAATTCAAAAGGGTAAATTTTCGCCTGGCATCACACCCTAAGCACTATAGGGCATACCCCTAAACTGCGATTGTGAGCATTGAAGTTCCTGCAGGGATGCCATGCAGGTGATTCTAAACGATTGTCGAATTTCTCGAAGCAGGCAGAGTTTAAATGATACCTCTCATGTTGACTCAGGTGAAATTGATTGAGGGATACGACGGGAACACCCTGCCCTTGATGCTGATTGCTGTCGGCTTCATCACAACCGTCGTAGACCTGGCCGGTGGCAAGCTGTGCGACAGTGTAGCTAATATAAACCGAAGGTAAATAGGCCTAAAGAAAAATGAAGCAGTGACGTCTCTCCAAAATCTTCAATCCTATTAAACAGTATACTTTTGTCCCCATAATTATCAGGACTCTTACGAATGCACTTTGATTTGTACCGTGTCGATTTCACGGGCGGCGACCAGGGAAGAAAAGGCATTGTAACGTATAGTCGAAGTTTTTTTTACCTAGTGGTGAAACCGACTTAGTTTTTAAGACGTGAACAGGCATTGAAATCTAAAGCTTATAAAGAAACCTAGATAAAGAACTGTTGAAGAAATATGTTTATTTTTGGACTGGAGTATCCCCTGCCCAATCACCAGGGAATCTGGCAAGCACCGAAAACTCAATTCACATTTCGGGTAGGAATTGAACCGGAGCCACAGTGGCGGAGGGCGATGGAAGTACCACTGCGCAAGTACAATTCTGGCCAAATCTCGCTGGTCCCCCAACCCCCGCTCAGTGTTGTCTCTCATTGCGCGGTGTGTGCTCCATCAGCTGGAGAGAATACGTTGACCGGGGGAGCAGGGGAGTGGGTGACCGTGGGAGGCTAAGGTTACTTCCAAGTGTCCCAACCATTTTGGCCGGGACTGTAACTTTGAGTTCCTAATCAGGCAGCTGTACACCGTAAATATATGTACCCCTTTCTTTTTGCATGTCTTTGTTTCGCAGGCAAAAACTGAAGTCCCTCCTCCTTCCCTACCTCCTCCTCCTCCTCGTTCTCAATGCCTGCATCTTCATAGCGGGATGCATGTGCTTCGTGCATCGTTTTCACCTCCACGATTCTTTCAACCGTGGCTTGACGAAAGCCATGAAACACTACAAGGTTGGTCAAATTGGACGGCAGGCATTTTCGATAATCATGTACATGTATATTTCATACGCTTTTTTTGTCATCGTGAGGTGTTGAACGAAAAGTGATAGTAAAGTTAGTTCATTACGAAGTCTAGAAAAGTTGTTTTTACTTACTACTAAATTCATTTGCCCTCGGGTCGTTTTTCAGGATATGGTATTGTATCAAACTTAAATACAAAATACAAAAGAATTCATAACAGAATGTTCTTATTTAGTATAGCGACATTTTGGTGCATCGTGGTATTAATCTTCAGAGTTAACTGTAGGCCTTGTATTTTATGTACCCCTTCCAAAAAATAGGGACAAAAGACTTATTTGTCAGAAGTGTGTTTGAATAAAAAAAAAATGATTTTGACCACCAGAGCAACGAAACGGTGAAGTATGAGATCAACCAGCTTCAGGTAGACTTTGAGTGCTGCGGAAATAACGGCTACGAGGACTGGTTTGCCGTGCAATGGATTGGGACCGAGTACCTAAGCGAAGACCTTGCAAGGTAAACTGCAGTCTTGGTCCTTAAGACTGGATTTGAACTTTGTTCCCTACTGCAGCCGGCTGCTGATGTTGTGAAGTTTATTCTGCGAGCTAAATACATCCGCTGATGCCCTTTAGACGCCTGTAATAACACACATCACACGTCTCATTTTAGCTGCGGACAGCAGCTTTATAACTGTTAGTTGGTTCGTTAGTTAGTTAGTAACAAACAAACGTTAGCAACAGCTTTGCATGGCTCTAAATCCCTTTTTCCGTAGGCCCTGCAAACGGGCATACATTGTTTATCAACTCATGCGTCAGGTTGTTATGACACTGACTGCTACCAATTTATTGCAGTCATGGACAATTGGGCAACAAGTGTAAACAAAAAAAGCAAGATGATGGTACTGAAAACACCATTGGGTCTCCAAGTCAAAAACCTGTTTTTGTACTAACATTGAACACTACTCCTTCTAGAAATTACATGGCACAATCACGTCACAATCACCGCAGCCGCTTCCGAGATCATTTCGAGCATGTTCCAATAACTGTTTTGAAATATTGTGTGATCCGTGTTGTCAGTGGTCAGCAAAACTGATGAAAATTTCACTTTAAGTGCCCGACCAAGAACAGAAGGCGCTTTCAAACTAAGTGGATTTGAATGAACCTATGTCATACCGCGCAGGCATTCGATGACATCTTTTGGCCGAGAAAATGGGCCGGCTTCGCCAAAATTTCGTGGAAGATACTTTTTTTTTTCTACAACCGCATTTTCTCAATCTATCTTTAGTAAGATGACGGGCGGACTGTACCTGAACGACGACGCCCCGTTCAGTTGCTGTAAGGCCGACCAGCTCCGGCCCTGCATCCACCACCACGTCCACGACAACGACAGACACTACAACTACGATTACCGTGAGAGCTTGACCCTCTACCAAAAAGGATGCAAGCCCGCCCTCATGGAATACTTCACGACCAGGCTGAATCGGATCGGGGGCATCACCATGCTCATCTTCATCTTGCAAGTAAGTCATCGGAAGCAGCTGTTTAACTGATAAAGACCTAGCCACTGGAAAGCCAGTATACTAACAATAGTTCAGATGTCGGTAAACACCAAGAACTCATGTCAATATTAAGTTCCGTCCCTGCCTCCGTAATAATCCTCCAAGCTAATTTCCTTTGACAGTACTGCAAAATCAACCTCTCCAAAATGAACTAAGGACGATTATCGTCTTTTATTGTCTCATGACCAACCCAAGACCTTTGGTGATGGCTAATTTATAGCTCTCATGAGACAGGCCTGGATGCTGTTTGATCAGTTACCTGTGGTCAAAACTTGCACGTGCACACGAGCTGTAAGCGCGGCATGTACAGGGTGAGCAAAAAGTTTGGCCTGTAGCATTTTCAAATTCTAGATTATGAAAGCCCAACCAATAAGCTTTCTTGTAGTACAAGTATAATTCAAATCACTCTCGTATACCTTTCAAGTTACGGATTTTTAAACACGAACACCATTTTAAACTTCTGTCCACGGCTCACAAAAATGTGTTATTTTCAGCAAACGAAAACAATTCACATGCATCCCAATGAGAATTGTTTTCGTTTTGCTGAAAGAACACTTTCATTTTTATGTGATCCGTGGGCAAACCTTTAAAACGGCGGTTGTGTTCAAAATTCCTTAACTCGAAAAGTTACTGGGCTTTCATATATCCTTGATTTTGAAAGTGTTACAGGCAAAACTTCATTCAAAAATTGGTCCTGCTATTTGGGTTTCGTTTTTTTTTTACTCACCCTATATAGGTACATGAATCATGACAGTAAACTATAGCAACAGTGTTTGTGTTTCTATCAGAAATTTTGCATCCTCACATAGGGCGATGGGAATGACCGAATTTTTGCTAGCCCACTTCCAGTGCTGTAGTCAGGTTCTTGTAGTACACAACAAACCCGGTCACAAGTGCAGTGACAAGTAACATGCATGAACAAAAACAAAGTAACACTGCAAAAGCTGTAGTGTTAATTTAACACCATTCGGTATCAATATAGGACAACACCGGTAAAGTGTAACACAAGATGGTCCTATATAGATACCGATGGTGTAAATTTAACTCTGCAGTTTTGCAGTGAATTCTCATGTCACAGTCCATTTGAATAGTTGTGAGCTGACTCGGAACTGGATGTCTCGTGATTGGCTTGTGATGGACTTGTGGTGTATTGTGATCAATCTCAAGTACCTCGACCACTCCTTCTAATATAATGCTTTTGTCCTCTGTTTCGTCGGCACAGGCTGTGATTTTCGTGCTACTGCGATACCTCCAGACATCCATCCAAAACGCCTACAAAGCCAAAGATGAAGAGGGAACCTCAACGGGCTGGCTCCTTGAAAACAAGAAAGAGGGAGATGAAGAAAAGTCCGACAAGGACGATGACAAGGACGATGAACCAGTCTACGAGAATTTGCCTTAGCCCAAACCTGAAAGACTCTTGACAAAAGCACGATGTGCCAGTATATTGGTGTTGGGGTGAGGAGTAGAGATGTCCTTAAAAGTATGACTTCTTTGTTGTTCCAGTTTTGATTTTAAGTATTTGTATTTGATGACAAAATTCCTGGATTTCGAGGAGAAAATATTCGTAAATGATGGTAAATTCTTCTACTTTAAAATGAAGATAAGTTGCACCGTTCGGTAAACAGAGGCAAATGGTGGTTGGAGTCCATGGGCGTCGCCAGGATTTTTTTCTAGAGGGGGCAAAGCCCATTCCCCCCCCCCCAAAAAAATCCCAATATTTTCCAGCATTTTCCCGATTGATAATTTTTTTCGAGGGGGGGGCAGGGACATTTGCCTCCCCCAACCTATTAAATTAACAACAATATGATTTCGCGCTTTTTTTCTTTCTTTTTTTCCTTTTTATTTGCTTGTCCAGGGGGGCAAGCGCCCCCCCCCCCGCGACGCCCATGTTGGAGTCAAAATAAGACTTGCGGGGTTATCACACGACATCCGCACCTAAGAAAGCTGCAAACGAGATTTGTATAAAGGGACTGTTTTTCTTGTCATTGGTGTACAGTATCAAAATGGACTGATTAGTGTTCTGTCATGGGTTTGATAATTCATCCCTGCGTTAATAAACTAGTTAAAATAATCTTTGTAAAGTGAAAAGAAGTCCTGACACTCGTACTTAGAGTCGACACTGGGCAAGAGACTAAAGAGACACGAAGGGAAGCTTATGGTTTTAAGTCAGTTGTCGTTCCTTCTCGGCAAATAGATGTCGTTCGTTCTATAAATTCGGGGTCCACTGTTTATTCTTGACTCTGCTATTCTGACATAATGTTATACTTCTGATGCACTCATTAATGCAGTCATTCCCCAAGAGTGATTTTGAATAGCTAACAACCTACCCAACATATGAAGAAAAAAAGTTTGAAGTAATTCTGAATGATACTCAAATGGTAAAGAACAAAGTACCAAGGTTACAGGGACAGGAATTATGTCACATTGCACTCTAACTTTATAGAATGACCTATGTTTGAACGTACAACACATGCGAGGGATGATTTTGGATTTTGCATAAAAAGCTCAGTTTAAAACTGGGATCCGTTTGCGCGACAATAGGCGACAAAAATATGATTTCCCTTTAGTGGGTGTACAGGGTGAGTCAAAAAGAAAGTGACCGAATTAGAAATAAATATTGTAAAACATAATGTGGCTCGCTCAGTCGCTCCATTTCATAAATAAAACAATAGAACAAGTACAAGTTATTGACTAGTAACTGCAAAAATTTCACGTAAAGTTGCTTCGCTCGTACCCCCGCCCTGCAAACCGGGCGATGAGACACGTAAATGAGCTTCACAGATTCTTGTGAAGGAAGTTGGGATGGCATTCTGGGTAACTTATCATTACATATGTATAAAGCAACTGGCTGCAGCCGTTTAAGACTGCAGTTAGCCAATGCACGCAAATGCTATCCGGAAACATTCTCACATTCCATGCCAGATGTGATTTCTTTTTCATTGCGGACCATGTGGACAAATCTTGAGCGTCGCATGACCCGTCGTGAATTCAAAACGGGGCCTGAGCATGAGCTAGTGACGAGAATTTGAAATTTACAAAACAGTTTTTCAGATTTTCCAACTTATTACGCTTTTCAACGAAAAAAAACAAACATTTATGAATAGGAAGAAAATAGTGATGACTCAGTCATAACGACTGTTTAGAACCGTGCAGGGTCGTGGCCGTGATGACTTGCAGGTCACAGGTCACGCAAATTCTATCCAATCGGAGCGTGAATTCATCAGCGATCCCATCGTCCTGTTTGCAGGGCGGGGGTACGAGCGAAGTAAAGTTGCATACTCTGTTCCCAAGTTATGTCTACAATTCTACATTAATAAAAGGATCACAAAATTCAGCCGTACACCATTGATCATTTTAATGCCATTCTATATGGACTGATGAATACCCACAAAATACAATGAAACATGGATGTGTTCCCATCCCCTGGAATGAACGAAAACGTGCAAAGGAAAACACACAAAACTCACCACCAATATATCAGAGAATAAAAGAGTTGACTTGTTCCTCATATTCAAAACACAAAATCTGACAGTAAAAAACAATGCTTCAGTCTTGACCTAAAATAGACTAATGATTAAAATCTCATTTGTATTTGAATGCCTGTGTATAATCTGTAAAACTCACTATTAAGCTAAATAGCTTCCAATGGCATTTCATTGACAGCTCAAATGGGTTCTCTTAATAAAAACATGCATAACTTGTGATAGCATGAATCAATTTCAGCAATTCTTTTTGTCAGATGAGTGGAATAACATGCTTTTCTATACGACACACTTCATTGATGTATCAAATTTTGATTGCTTTTTCAGAAAAACAATTCGTTAATCCAGGTCACTTTCTTTTTTACTCATCCTGAGTGAATATAACAGTAATTTTACTGTCAGGCCGGTGAATTGTCGCATAAGAAGGTCGCAGGTGAATTGTGAATAAGAAGGAAAAAGAGAAGAATAACGACCCGTACAACCTGTTACTCATTTATACCGCTTGATTGACAGAGTGGCAATTGTAATGCTATACCTGAGATTGATAGCTAAGCCTGATAGTATAGAAATACCATTTCTAACGTCTTACAAAATTCCTGATTAAACTTTGCACCAATAAACGGAAGGTCCAGTACCTCCCACAACCTCGATCCGGGCTGCGAATTTTCTTTTCCAAAACTACATCCGCATACATGGTTGTTTAACGCCCTCTATGATACTTTTATGATACATACGCAGGTATAATTATTTTCCCCCCACGTTGTAGCGAGCAATGTGCGATGGTTCAGTCGATACAGGTCGTGCACCGCAAGGTTGCGGGTTCGAATCACCGTATTGTACCCGAAATTCTTTTCTTTTCTAACCTGAGGCTTCGGAGGATTTATTTTAAAAGGGAAATGAAGTCTGTTTTTCAATACGTTCGAATTCGTTTTTCTCTTATTTTTTCATCTCTTATTTTTTAGAAAAATAAAGTCCAAAACGCCATAGCGTACACCCATATGCAGATGTCGTTTGGGAGAAAACATTCGCATCTGGGCTGCAGGTCAGATACTCGATACCTTTTCGAAATGCGTGCCACCACGTAGGCCTACTATTTTATTTTTTGAAGCTGCTACTTTTCAACTTCATGACCATCATCTTGCATAATTCTCATGCAAAATAATTCTCAGGTGCTTTATTGTTTATGTGCGGTACAAAACACCGAATGTATTTGGAAGTTAAGTGAAATAAGCTCACAAAGCAATACTCACAAAACCTCCAACTGAAAACGTGCGCAAAAAAAAGTAGTCTCGACATCCATTTGAACAAAAGGAGTAGGCATACAGTAAAGTTGGCACGAGATTGCCGACTGTTTTCCCAGAAGGCGTTGTGAAAAAAATCTGTGTGGTGTTACCTCTTGCCGATGCACTGCTTCCATAATATTAACTAATGTCTACGTCTAAGAATAATATGAAAAAAATATCATATTAGAAAACTACACAATCAAAGGCTGATTATTTTGGCATGTACACAAATGTGACCTACTGTGGCAAAATGAGGAATGTCCCCCAAAACCAAGTTTTGAGTAATCAACGCCTGAAGTTGGGTACACTCAAAAAAATTGTCAAAATCAATATTGGTTTTTCCTTATTTGTGAGTAGCCAAGGTATCCAAGATTCACACTATGTATTTTTGTTGAGAAAAAAATATCCCCAAAAGTTGTAAACTCACGATTCCACTGCCTTTTCAAAGCCGTTTTTCTGGAAATGGGGTTAGTGAACTATGGCGGGACACCGTTGAAGTTCCTGCGGCATATCTTTGGAATGAATTAAGCTACAGAAATAAATTTGATATCATTGGAAAGCCAATGATTTGCGCTTTAACATGACGTACGTAACTTGAAAAGTCAAAGGTGGGGGTTATTCTTCATTATGATATAGCAGGTCACAAATATAAAACTAGGAAATATCATTGTCCCTGAACTAAGATTGGTACATCCTTTTCGACCATAAAATCACACACATAATTATACACCCACGACAACATTTGTAAAACGGAAACAAAAAATCCCTGATTCCAATAATTATGACGTTTCTCAGAAAGATATACGGTGGACATAAACTGAACCTTTTTCATCTTTACATGTGAAATGAATACGACTTGGGATTTCTTGATTATCTCCCCTCTTTTTGGGTGTTTCTAGTCTATATGAATGTAATAGAAACACCAGGGGCGGATCTAGCTTTCAGGAAACAGGGGAAGGAGTTGATGGGGGGGGGGGGGTGAAATGAAGGGGGTTGAGTAAAGGCAGGCACGCCTTGCGATCCGGGGGCAGCGCCTGGACAATTTTGAAATGTACGATGAAATCTCTTGCTTTACCGCCCCAGTGCTACAAAATACTACTGAGGAGTAACCTGTAGTTTGGAATTCTTTTCATACAAGTGTGCACAGCACAGTATTCTGTAGTATTTGGTACGTGACCCCCAAACACCCCCCCCCCTTCATAATTATCAAACCCCCTTTCCTGGTCAGGAAGAATGATGTGGACATGCATGTAACCTATTAACAACATAAAGGATCATTTGCTTTTCATGCATTTTGTTCGTTTCCAATAATAACATCACTCGAAATCCCCCCCCCCCAAAAAAAAACCCGAATGCTCAAAACCTAACCTTCTGAAGTTCCAGCTCAGTGGATAATACACTTTGTTTTAAGAAAACAGTGAAAAACCATGCACGACCTTTTTGATCATGCACGACACACGATTTCGTCAAAAGCTTTCTATATTTTCCCCAAAAATCAGTAACTTTACTGATCATTGGAAATCACCTATGGGTTCTTGATTTTCTTTCTTCAAAATGACAGCAAGCCGCGCCAGACGGATTAATAATTTCACTAGCTGTTTAATACCAATACGATCTTTAATCCAAGTTAGTCATTCGGAAGATTAGTTTTAAGATAATTGGAATTGGCCCAATATGCCTTTAATGAGCATGTTGCATAACACCCTTTCTTTTTAAGTTTTATATCAGAAATGATTTGAGTAACGGTATCGGTTTGCATAAGCGGGGAATTCTGTGGTCAGCCGAACCATGCCATTGGGCCCAGTGGACTGGCTAGATTAAACCAGGGATGGAGAAGATGACGAGGAATGTGGGTGTGATCAGAAGGATGATAACCAGGTTGGTGTTGAGGAAGATCTTGGCGCGAGGATCCTGCTTGAGGGCGGTGACCTCACGGAGATGGACCCGGTGCTCACGAGCCTTAGCCTGGCCCAAGGACGAGTCGTCGTACCCGCAGAACCAGTCGTAACCGCGGCGCGCTAGGGACTTCCACTCACGGGGTGCCTCTGCAGAGAAACCAGTTATCAGGATTACATTTCTAGTGGACTAAAATCGACAGTTTTATTTATTTAGTACTAGGCTGAACCATTTTTGGAGGTGAAGGGGCAAAATGTTCAGGAGATAACAACTTTGTGGGGATCGGACCCGATTTCAGAAATGTAGAAAACAATTTCAACATGTCAAAATATTTTATGCATCAATAAAAATCTTATGCATCAATACAAATCAATAAAGAAAGGTACACATTTTTGGAGCTTAAGACATTTTCATTCGTTAAATGCCAGCTAAGGTCAGGCGATCGGTTGGATGACTTCATGAGGGAATGCATAAGCGGCCGTCTTAGAGGGCGTCTTTTATTCAGCAACAATAAATGCACAAAAGCTTTACTCGCGCATATCCCTAGTAAAACAAAGGCATTGCCCTCCAATATGGCTGCTACGCATATGGTCTGAGCTGTGATTCGTCCGACAGAGCCAGCGAGCACGCGTGACCAACGTCTTAATTTTCTTTGCACATATATTACGCAATATTGGGAAAAGTGAGCGTCTAGTCCATCGACTGAGTGGGGTGGGGTTTGGAGACAAATAAACTAAACACCAGCCACAAGCACGGGCGTCGCGAGGGAGGGGGGGGGGGGGCAAGGGGCACTTTCCCGCGGAACCCATGGAAAGGCCCAACAAAAAGTAGGAAGAAGAAAATGAAAAAGTAAATAGGGGCGAACTCAATATTATTCTGTCAATTTATTGGAATGTTAACAACGTAGGCCTTGGTTTGGTAGGCCCCTCTTTTTCCCCATGGAAAAACGCATCACTTCTTGCCAGTGCTTTCCCTCAAGAAAACAAAATCCGAAATGGTCGCAAGTAGTTTGAGATAAAAATTTGCTGTAACTGAAGAGTGTTTGCAGAGGTACAGGTTAACCCTAAAAGGGCCGGGTTATTTTGACCATCTCTCAGCCGGGGGGGGGGGGGGCGGATTCCACTCGGTACATTCAAGGCCAAAAAAAAAAGTCTCCGGTTTCTGGTATGCGCGCGCGTCGCCGTAGCCATGCGCGTCGGCAAAATGAAAAAGGTTTTTTTTTCAATGAAAGATGAAGTCTCAAAACCGCCAAACTCACCGGTTTGACTGGAATCATGCTGCTGCACAATTTTAACGTGTTTTTAGATTGGGTTATGGTCGAGAATAAGCTTTATGTGGCCTCTCTGGACTCCCATATATTTGCACTAAGTTTAGTCGGGCACCATTTGCAGTCATCAGCACACATTTGAAGCAAAAAAAATCAGGTAAAAAAAAAAAAAAGCCGCGTCGCCGCACCACTTTTTGGGCAAGCTCCATACCAGAAACCGGAGACTTTTTTTGTTGGCCTAAAGCAACTCTTCATAAACATACCCAAGAAATATCATGATTATATGTCAAAGGGTTGTGGAATTATGGCTAATTAATTATGCATATGTACGAATGGTAATTCTGCTCTGTGTACACGACGTATATGGGAAAATTCAGTTTTCACGGCGCGTAGCGCCGGAAAATTTTTATGTTTTTGGTATCAAAAGATGCGAAAGGCCCGAGGCTAAAAAGTCATAACAGCTCGGGTCGCAAAAAAAAAAAAAAAAAATTCGAAGACTATCGCGGAAAACGTTGGGAGGGGGGGGGGATTCCGCCCCGGCCCTTTAAGGGTTAAGGCAGGGACTTGTGTGAGCGTCTTCCTTTGCAATTGCATACTCGCCTTCATTTCATCTGGACAATTATGCGCGAGGGAATACATACCTTCTTCAGCCACGACCTCCCCGACTTCTTGCAGTTCGATCTCCTCTTTGTCGTCTTCAAAGTCATCTTCGCGAGGGTCGCGGTTGTACCTGCTCCACCACGTGGTACGGATCAACTGTAAAAACAGACACCCCGTCTCTAAAATGGTTAATTTCTGAATTATGAACAGAAAGTTGGACTGCAACTCTTACACGTGATTTCTCATTGTTTAACGCATACAGAGGCAATGCGCAAAACGGTCACTGCGTCTGTATAAGATTGCTCGAAATATAGTGGTGTGAATAATAACTTATTGAATCTGTTGGAAGACTGCCAACATCGGGCTGTGAAACTCTGTTGGTACGACGCCGGTACGGGGTTTTCCGAAATGTCGAAGGTTCAAATTCTGTATCTGTGAACTCCTTTGATTAATCTCATGATCTAATCTCATGATCTTCCCTTTTAAGAGTACCTATAGTTGTCTACAGTATCACAATCCAGTGCCACCCTCAAGAAATATAATTCATAACAGAAACGATTCATGCCAATGCACAGACTGGATTTTGCTATCATTCTCCAACAACAAACATGAATGCTGTAAAATTTCGAACCAACATAGTACTGGTAAGTACTCCTCTAACTGGCTCTTCTCGTCTCATCTAACCTCAATACAGAGGGTTGATATTATCACATCATCGCGCTCACCTGATAAGGCTGGGGCGGCTGAGTCAAGAGACTAACCACCACATCCACGATCACCGTCAAAACGAACAAGATCAAGGCGAAGTAGGTGAAGTGCAGCTTGCCGATGAATGCTGGCCGGGTGTCCTCCTCCCAGCAGGGCGGTGCCTGGTAGATCAGGTTCAGGATCATCCGGACGACGCCCACCATGAAACCCGCCATCATGCCGAAGAAGCAACCCTGCAGAGAAGAAGTAACATTCATGACGTCCTATGATAAGCGTTCTGTCCAATTAGTGGCAAGGGCGGATCCAGAACACAATTTTTGGGGGGGGGGCCAAAAAAACATTTGGTCCTCCAAAAAAGTGGGTCAAAAAAATTACGGCGTGGGGTTCGGGGCCTGCTTAAGGGCCCCGAAAAGTTTTTGGATTCTAGATGCTCTGTGGTGCGATCTGAGGCAATTTCTGACCACTTTAACCAATGTTTTTTTGAGGAAAAGATGGTGGTGTACTCATTGCCTGCCTTTTTTGCGATGTCACATAAAAAAAAAACTATAAGTAAGTGATACAGTGATGTAGCCTACTTGTACGCATTATAGTGCGCAGGCAAGGGATGAATGCAACTCTAACTGTGACGTCACGAAATTCCTTCAATTCATGTTACAGGCTATGCCTTTCAGGTTTCTAATAAAGGGAGTTCTTTGCTGTTTTATTTCAATGACAATGTATGCACGGTTCAGTTATGACATCCAAGACTTAAGGCCAGTTTGTACCCTGTAAATCATAACGTCGTCATACTGTCAAACATAATTGCCTATTCATTATACCTTCTCATTGCTCCTTGGCCAAAGGATTGCCACCAGGTACACGGCGGCTACAGGTGGGGCGAGCGCCGCCTCGAAAGCCACCTTGTAGATTAGCAGCTGACCGCCTTGCATCTGCTCCACGATAGGAATCCACAGAATGCTGACACCAATCATAACCACCACCACTAGTCTGAGATAAAGTAACACATCAAATAGAAAGCGAATTTCTCGAGAAATGGACCATTAGGGAGACACGTTTTGCTAAACAGTTGTACGGTAGGGAGACAAGGTATATAGATTATAGGGAGATATTATGGATGGATTTGGGGTAAGTACCTTATCACAAGTGTTGCATACATTGACCTGTGTACAATCACATGTTCATAAATGCTGGGAAAACTACGGAAAAAAAGTGATGTTCTTGTAGTCTGGTTTCCCGACCCTAATTCAGACGAAACGGAGCAGTTTATACATTGTCAGGTTAGGGAACCAGACTAGAAGGCTTGCACTGCTCACGTATGACCTAACCGATTGAAAACAAAATGTGGACGAACTAATTTGTAAAATTAGGGACAGTATTAACACCAAAACAAAATCAGTTTTTTTCAAACAATGGTCAGCAAACAAACATCAAAAATATGATTTTAAAAGGTAACAAAAAATACGTGGACTCGCGAGCTTTACGAGTCCTTATGTGTGAAGTCTGAGTCACTATGGTCGAGTCCGAGTACAAGTCTTCTGCCGATGTTACTCGAGTCGAGTCCGAGTCACGGAAATCGCGACTCGAGACGGACTCGAGTGCGAGTCCTGGACTCGAGTCCCACATAGAAATCAGGGATTATTAAAAATTGCACACTGATATGATATACTGTAATCTTGAGCACAAAATAACAGGGACAGGGGGAAAAAAGTCACACTTTGGACCCCAAATTTATAGAATGACCCATATCCTCTTGTTATACCTTCCAACAATCATGAGCTCACGGACACTGGGGTTCTTCGAGCTGAACTTGACCCGCATGAACTTCCAGATGTCCATGGTAAACAGTGTGCTGACACTGTTGAATATAGAGGTCAGGTCACTCATTAGGGCAGCAACCATGGCCGCCATCATCAGACCACGGAGGCCTGCGAATGAAAGAACAACAGCCAGTGTGAACGTGGAGTGAAATTACGTCAGAGTTTGCTGGGTGCCATGATTGAGCAATTCCACCCTCATTTGTTCCCTATTCGATAAGGGAGTTAGCTTGGAGTTGTGGTACTCCCTGTCCTAAGTTCCAACCCCATCCGAGGTAGCAAACGGAATTGATTCATTTATTTCCCTCCCCTTTTAAAGTGAATATTTCTTCATTGCTATCTCCCCTCTATCTCTCTCTCCCGCCTTCCCCCCTCTCTATGTATCTTCTGGCTATGGACATTGCAGTGCCTGTGTTCTATTGAGGAGCCCTCACGAGAAAGAATTCAAATGGATTAAAAACAAAATGGCTGAAAATCATTCAACAAAATGGATTCAAATCTAACCATTCGGTGTACTTATAGACGAACTCGGGGCACTTGATCACTGTACGCACACAACTCAAGGCCCCCTTCGATGGCGAAAGCACTGCGCGAGCTATACTGTGGAAAGCTACTGCCCCATGGCGGATTATCTGAACAATAGATAGCACAATGCTTTCGCCATTGAAGGGGGCCTTCATCATAGAAGCGACAACGTGTCCTGAGATTGGTCTATAGTTTTACCATACGGTTGACCTGTAGGCTATCAGTAAGGGGAAAACAAAACCACCATGCTGTGCTTTTCCAATGCTTAGAATAAGTGACACAGGTAGTTTGCAGAAAGTATCGAAAAAGAAGAATTCAATATAGAGGAACATGCCGCGAAACTAAAAATGTTACCTCCCGTTCAGTCACTTTATCGGGGCCAAACAGAAAACAACCATAATCATAACTGAAGACACCACAGGATAAGGATGTTAACTGCGAGGAACACTTCCATGGTACACCATGGGAGAAATGATAACAAAGTCCGTGTCTTACCCACTGGCATGATTCCCATGACGAGCCGTGGGTAGGCGATGTTGGAGCAGCCGGACGGGTTACCGCACGCTGCCATACAAGTCTCTGCCGAAGCACACGCAACTTCATCTACAAGATAACGGGTACCCTATAACTATAGTGTATTCTCTTCAATCCAAAGAACATAGTAACAAGACGAGTTTGAGTGGAAGTTACTCCAACTTTAGATTGAAATATTATGAATAAAAAATTAAAAAAAAGATCACTCCAGGGGAAATAAGATCGTAATATCGATTCAAACTGATTGACTGAAGTTTATTCTTACTATAGTCTTGTCTGTAGTTTCAGTCAGAAGGAATGATTTTTCACACTCCGGAAATGAAAGAGTTAGCCTAAATTTAACAATCTCCTCATCGGAGCAAGAAGTATTTATTTGAGATGATTTCAGCTCAGCCAACTTGGCACCTTAGTGGGGATAAGTCAAAAATGCACAACCACATTTGCAAGTTACATCAAAAAATAATGATCATCAAAAAATAATGTTGTTCTAATGTGACGACGATGCAATTGTTTTCAGTATGAAAACAGAACGACCATAGGAACGCCATCCCATCCACAATTATGTTGACTTAATGTGTTCAGCATGTTTGCATCATTATCGCAGCAGCAGCACATAACTGCGGGAGTTGTACCTTTTGTCGATAAGTCTAGAACTACAAACTATAGCATCTGCAATTTCATTGGTTGGTATGCATGGTGACGGGTGTTCCCGTCCCTATATCACTGCTCGATTTCGCAAAGACGCGGAACCTATTTGTGCACTATATGCACATGTAAATATCTAAAGGGTCCATGCGATGCATTTTTCTTAGGAACACATTTTGTGCAACTTTCTTCTCGTCTTAAATGTATGAAAACTATTTGACATCACTTTTTGGGTCAATTTTATTGAAAATTCCCCTTTTTTAAACATTTAAATAGTTCCATGCTTTTCCGGACAATTGAGGGTACTGTTGCTGGGATGCCGCTTCAGGAAAACACTTTTTAGTTTAGGGGTATTCTGTTCAAGTTGTGAAACCAAAATTTGCTCATTGAAAACATTTTGTGAGAAAGGTTTGCTCATTGGCTTACTGCCATGTTCTTATACACAAAAACAAATCACCAAAGAGACAGCAAAATACGAAGGCAAAGTATCCAAACTATAGCAACTTTTTGTGCTGAAATAGCTGTAACACTGAGGTTTTTGCCTGTATTTACATTACAGTTTTGCTCATGAATATGGAAATTTGCATTATCATAAAAACGAAAAAGGCTCCGAAATACCCTTGAAAATGGCAAAATACTACGGTTAAATGGGACACAAAGGTGCATTTTCAAGCATTGTAATAAGCAAAATGCATTGCATTGACCCCTTTAAATCAAGTTGCCCCAAAGAAGTAAGTCATCCTCCCTACTTGGATACAGCACACGGCTGACCATCCCAGGCAGAACCATCAAGAACACTGGCAGAAACTTGGCGTAGCCCGCGAAGAGACAGCCTCCCTGCGCGTGGGACAGACTCTTGGCCGACAACGTCCGTTGGACGATCATCTGTCGTCCAACAAAAAAGAAGAAGATTGTTATATCGTTTCTCGCGAGAATAAGATGTATATTTTCTTATTATATCATTGGTCTGGACGGTCACATTTCATATTTCCTGGAACAACGGATATGGACTTGGTACCGTTCTTGATTAAAAAAAAAAGTCAGGCAGATACTGCCGGGTACACCCCAGTAAATAGGCCAAAATTCCATCTGCCGAGCTCGTGAATAAAAGTTACACACTCACATCATTTTATATTAGAGAGTTCCGAGAGCCATGGTATAGGGGAATCCATATTGAAGACATATGGCACTGTACCTCTGGCCTGGACTTGGGGCTTCCAATTCTGAGCAAATTTGGATGCAATTGGGCCCTAAAGCGTCGCTATTTAGCCATGTTGTGGCGCTATTTAGCCATGTTGGATCCTTTTTCAAAATGGATAGCTTTCCAGTTTTGGAAGCATCATTGGGTTTAGGGGTGGTCTTCTTTGGGTGAGAATTTCTCCAAAACGTCAATGCTCAACCCACCACAAATTCAAAAGGAAATGAAGATGACATGTTGATCATCATTTTCCTGTTCAACCTGAATACCTGTGAAAATTCTGAGTATTTTTTAAAAGAATGTTGAAATATGGGAATTTAAAACAAGGTCTATTGTTTCCCGTCAGGGTTCGAACCCACGTACCACGGCACGCGAGTCGAACACCGTAACCATCAAGTGTTTTACATACTAAATTCCATGCGTGTATCATAAAAGGCACAATCCCATCACCTATCTGCCGTACTAATAATTGTTTACGTTAATCAGAAATAACACTGCCTTTTAAGACAAGTTCGCCTCGGGTGCCATGCGAAGAAACCACGGCATACCCCACAGCAGTCTGTCACGTTTTATAATTTGAATTGCAATTTTATTTTTGCGATGGTTGGGCCTATGTTTCCGATACGTAAAAAGTTATTTAAAACATCGATATTAAGCACTAATTACACGAAATTATCCCAGATGTGATGAAATACTCAAGACCTTGCACAAACAGACTACGTAGTCATAACACCATCTGTCAATAAAAATCCATTCCTATTTTGCTCAAAATCTCATTTTAAGTCGTCACATTTGGTTATCCTATCAACAGCTGAGTGCAAAATATCAGTAAAAGAAAACTAAAAGTGGCAATCTGAAAAACATTTGGTTTTCAACGATATGTTTCACCTGGTCGGCACACCAATACCAAAGGGTAGACCAGGTCTGTCCGAAGATGAACCCAGCCCAGGGAATGTCCGAGTTGACAGGATCTCGAAGCATCTGCCAGGAATCGCTGCGGGGAATCCCACAGGTCGAGTTGGAATACAGAGTCTCCTCTGGAATAGCTTCCATGTACTTCTCCTTCAGGCCTTCATACCCGCCTACTTTGACCAGGCCTTTCATTAGACCAAAGAAAAAAGGGATAAGCTGTAATCCAGTCAATCAAAAAGTCAAATTAAATTTCAGTTTACAAGTAAAAGGCGATAAAAAAGGCTATAGGTTTTCTCGTTGTTTGGCCCGAAGTGCCAGCCTATTGTACCTGAGCGACTGAGTCGCTCTGTATGTTCTAAATTAAGACTCGCGGGTTCAGGACGACTCAGTGTCACTTCTGGACATCATTATTTGTACTGGCTCATACAGTCCAGCGAAAGCGACAAATGAGTGTCCCCCCCCCCCCCGCTTTCATTGGAATATCTTGTCACTTGACCAACGAAGGAGCACTTGCTTGTAACTTGTGATTGATATTGTGGTAGTGACTGGACATTTTCACTTGAGACAGACTTCGCCTACTTTTGACAACTTAAAATACGGAGTATACAACCAACTACTGTATAATGATAAATCAACTCACTTATGACGGTCAATATGGTGGAACCGATCATCATGATGAAGAACTGAAGCGTATCGGTGTAAATGACGGCAGCCAGGCCGCCTGTAATCATACACACACCGGTCACGGCTAGCAGAAGTATCACCGAAACGTAAAGGTCCCAGTTGAGAGCTTGTTTGAGAAACAGAGCACCGGCGTACAGGTTGACCTTTAACAAGTGCAAATGCCCCAAACATGATATGAACGACCCTGGAATACAATACTCAGGACTGAATGCATATGCAAGGAGTCGCCAATTATGCAAATGGTAGATAGCTTAGATGTTTCAGTAAAACTATTTGAAAGTTTAATATCACTATTATGTTTACCGTTTTCGAAACCAAGGGCAATTTGTACACAGGGCTGGGTTAGGTTACAGTATAGGAGGTGTAGCGTTTTGAAGTATTTTAAGTGCAGGTGCAGTTGAAAAAAAAGATTTTTTGTGTGAATATATCAACTCTAAAATATTTTGAATGAAAATTATGGTCCCACCAAAAGGAATGAGCCACACGTCGCCAGCGTCGCCTGTGATACTTACGTGAGCATTCACACACAGGCCTATGCGTACATTTAATATCAAACTGGGTTAAATATCAAATTAAAAAGCAAGACGGGCTATTTTTATATGAAAAAGCAATTAATCAAACAAATCCTTAATGCTCATTTCACGGGATGCATTTACATTTTTGTCTTGTAAGGCTTGATACCAATTGTAAGGCGTTGTGTACCCATCCCGAACCCCAACATCCCCACCCCCCCCCCAAAAAAAGACGTCACTGCAAATATTGTTCAAAGGTGTTAATCAGCCATTTTGTCCAACATTTATTTGAAGGATAGTGGTTCTCACATGTCCCAACCATACTAATGCTCCCCCGAGAGCCGCAAAATGGGAAAATAGCAGAAATAAACCACAATCCTGCTCCCTCCCTCCCCTCCCTGACAGCTATTACCCCTCCTCCCTCCTCTACCCACACCTGGAAGCCAATACGCAAATTTCCGATTCTTTAGTCAAGCATATTTTGTTTTCTTTATGTTGACAAATAAAGAAAAATCATTGTAAGAATAGGCCCAAGGGAAAACTGTCACTTAAACAAACTCACTGAGATCTTTGTGAAGATGTAAAGGATGAGCGACAACGTGGCGAGGAATAGACGGATCCTCTGTCCCCCAAAGCGCTTCCTCATGTACTCGGGGAGGGTGTATACCTAAACAAGTAAAGCAAAGGTGTATCATTGTCCAAGTTTCAACAACACATGTTCAGCTCAACCTCGTCCCCAGGGTGTCGAGCAGTTTGCGCCCATACCTGCTCTCTCTCGGTATTGAATCATGTGCATGTGCACAATTTTTGAGCATGTATACGCAAATGAGGACATTCTGGTGCCTCCCTGTGCGTTACATTAGCGTTTGTTTTTGTACGCGGCGTCTGGGGAAAAACCAGAATCAATTCGTCGCGCCGTGAGTTACGAAAACACGATTGTTTTCGAAGTTAAAATGCTACTATCTTATCCAGTCAGTATGCTGCATCACATTTCATATTAATAGGCCCTATGAGCAAATTGGAAAGGAAAGGAGTGTTTTTGAGAAGGCGTGGACGCTATAATTACAATGATCGTGAAAACCCGTAATGCACGTTGAAAATAACAACACCAAGTGCACGATATAAATCCATTACTAGCCAATTGCGGTATCGAATCAGGATATAGGAAGAAAGTTATTAGGTTTGGGCTAAATGTCAAGTACGTGTACAGGGTTGCAACGAAGCACTGAGTCTCAAATCATGTGCCGGACATTGTATCGGGTATAAGTTGCAGGATTCTGTGAACAACTTCCCCGCGATCTTCCCCGCAATGAATTTATCAGTATCGGTGAGTCAAGCAGTCCCGGATATGAATTGAGACGGGCCCTTTAGTGCACGGGCTACATTTAGGTACAGATTTGGGCTACACCGGGCCGGGCTAAATTGAGGTGCATGTTTTTGGTCACATTTGGGTCCAGGTTTTATTACGGTACAGGGTTGGGGCTCGGGCTCAGGCTACATTTAGGTACAGGGTTGGAGTTATTTTTACATGTTGATCCGGGCTACATTAAGGTATACAGGGTTAGGCTACATCTGGCCGGGCTACCTTTAGGTGCATGTTCTGGGCTAAATTAATATTAGGTCCGGGCTTTATTACGGTACAGGGTTAATTGGGGCTCAGGCTCTGGCTCAGGCTACATTTAGGTACAGGGTTGGGGTTATATTTACATGTTGATCCGAGCTACATGTATAAAGGGTTGGGTACATCGGGCCGGGCTACATTTAGGTCTGGGCGTTATTACGCTACAGGGTTGGGGCTCGGGCTTAGGCTACATTTTAGGTACGGGGTTCGGGTTATATTTACATGTTGATCAGGGCTACATTTAGGTATACAGGGTTGGGGTACATCGGGCTGGTCTACATTTCGGTGCTTGTTTTTGGTTACATTGGGGTCCGGGCGTTATTACGCTACAGGGTTGGGGCTCGGGCTTAGGCTACATTTTAGGTACGGGGTTCAGGTTATATTTACATGTTGATCAGGGCTACATCAATTTTAGGTGCATGTTTTGGGCTACATTTAGGTCCGGACTTTATTACTGTACAGGGTTGGGGCTAGGGCTCAGGCTACATTTACATGTAAGTACAGGGGTGGGGTTATATTTACATGTTGGTCCGGGCTGCCTTTAGGTATTGGGCTACGACAGGGGTTCAGGGCTACATTTAGGTACAGGGTTTGGGCTATATTTAGATTCTCGGTATAGCTAAGGCTCGGGCTTTAATCTCATTTCAATTCGTTATCATTTCAATGGGAAATGCGTTTTCGAGACCAAAACGGCGCATTCCAGATGAACTTTTAATATTCTTTGATCAAGACTTACCCCGCTTGCAATGTAGACTGGTAGAAACACCCATGCCATCAGTTGGATTAGAAGACATGACTGCAATGTGCCACAGAAAAAGATACGATTTGAAATATTATGAGTTGTAAATACATCGACGTTGTCGTATTGAATACCATGGGTTGTCAATATTTGAATAACAGGTGAAGCCTCATTGCTATAGAAAACACATACATTTTCTATTAAAATGAAATTGACAAAAAAAACAGAAATTGGTCAGCATTTTGCGCATAGACATAACGAAGAGGTTTTTTTTTATGTGGAATCGCCCCTTACAAGCCTGAAGGCCATTCGTAAGAGCTGGTAACGGCTACTTGAAGAAGGAACAAAAATGGGAACAATTAAGGCTCACTTGCCCCAATGGAATAGGCCTAAGACATAATGACGTCATGCTTTTTGTTTACAATGTGGGCTTTTCTTATGGGAGCCAGGTATGGGGACGAATGGATCTCGGGCCCACTTGGCTCCCATAGGAAAGCGCATATTGTAAACAAAGCACGACGTCATTATGTCTTAGGTCGATTCATCAACCCTTTTTACAGATACCCGCAATACCGGAAATGTGCAGAGAAAATATAAACCATTCCAGGCACGGGTGGTCGACCTCACCCGGTCGAGTTGCTGTCGAGATAGTAATTCACGCCGCCAGATAAACAAAATGGATTTTCTTATTGCTTGTCGCCCTGCTAATAGGCCTGAGATCTAATGACGTCACGCTTTGTTTACATGTGCGCTTTCCTATGTAGTAGACTGTCCCTACTTCGTCTGGCGTCCCGACTTCGCTTCCATAGGTCTTAGGTCTACTTTCCGATTATAGGGTGCAATATTAACCAAGTAAATGGGCCAAAAATCCGTCCATCGAGCTCATGAATAATTGTTATACATTCTATAATGAATTGGGGGATTGAAGACATTATAGCACTGCACCTCTGGCCTGGACTTGGGGCTTCCAATTCTGAGCATTTGGAATGCAATTGGGTCAATGGCGCTATTTAGCCATTGTTAGGGAGGAATCTTTTTTTCAAAATGGCTACTTTTCCAGTTTGGGAAATATCATTCGTTAAAGGGGTGGTCTTCTTTGGTGATAATTTCTCAAAAGAGTCATTGGTCGACCTACCAAAATTGAAAAGGCAAATGAAAGACGAAAGGTTGATTATCATTTTTCTGTGCAGCCTGAACACCTGCATGCAGTTTGAGAGTTCTGAGTATTATAAAAAGAATTTATGGCTATGAGAATTTATTCACTTGGTTGAACCCAAAACACATGGGTAATATCTTCAACCACTAACCCTTGCACTGCACACTCGATCGGAGCTATCCGTAAAATGATCAATGTATTGCAATACATTCAGTAGAGGTCCCAAAAACTTACGTTGATATTATAGGCACCGGGTCCGATACCAGACGAGGCTCCCGATCCCGCTAAGCCAATAAAGTGCTCGCTGCCAATGTTACTAGCAAACAGGGACGCACCCACCTTACGGAAAACAGTACGAGATAATGTGGTATATAAATTAAGATATATAAATAAGGATATATATAAATGTGGAATTGCACACAAATTACAGGCAGTTACAGACGATTTGGGACCGAGACTTCATGTTCACTATAACCAGAGACTTAGCGAGAGTCAACTACTGTGTATGTATATAAAGGGCAACTAGAATTTTACCCTTTTTACCAAGCCCACTGGTCACTGTTATAGTGTGATTCTTGTCCAATGTACCTCTTGTATTCTGTTGCGCCCCTGTCTACCCTTTAAAAAGGGAAATGGAGATCAGAGGTCATAACAAAATTGTCCTTGGGGTCTGAATTCATGACATGCTGTAGAATAATACTTAAAATACACTTGTTTTGATCTATTTACACTTGGGTCATGAAAATGTGGCATTTGGAATATTAAATATGATAAATAGCGGCAAATAGGGTGTGCAAAGTTTATCGACCTCATAAAGGTCACCAGGGGTCAAATATGAATGTTCACACATCTGAAAATTCTGTTCATGTCACGAAGAGCCAACTTTTAGACTTGGGTCATAAAAAAGTGGGGTTTTGAATAGTAAATCTTATAAATATCTTTAAATAGGGCATACACAGTTCATTAACCTCTTAAAGGTCACCAGAGGTCAGATATGAAATGCCCTTCATATGAAAATGCTTTTCATAGCATGAACACCTAACTTATTGAGTTGGGTCTTGAAAAAGTTGGGGTTTAAAGTGTTAATCTTATAAATAACTATAAATACTGTATATATAGGTCATTGACCTCTGAAAGGTCACCGGGGTCAAGTATGATTCCTTTTTTCACATCTGATCATTATTTCCATGGCCTGAAGACCTATGACATAGACTGGGGTCAGAGGAAAGTGGTGTTTTCAAGAACAATTATTATAAATAGTGTATGTAAAGTTCATTGACCTCTCAAAGATCACCAGAGGTAAAATATGAAATGTCTCCACATCTGAAAATGTTCTTCATGGCATGAAGAACCAACATGCGAAGTTTCACGCTTTAGTCACAAAGTGCACAATTTTATCATATATTTGACCTTAACAGCCCCACTACACCTGTGTATAGTCAATATGTAATAGGTGCAGAGTGCGACATTGTTTTTTTTCTGAACTTTGTAATTTGTCATTCAAGTGTCGGCAAAATTGACTTCAGAACTATTGTGTTGTTTTTTTTGGTCGTTAATTTGCTTTACATGATCTATCTTTGCGAAGTAAGTTGGTTGTCTGTTGAGGGTTGCGTAATTTTCGATTCGAGGTTCGACATCCATTGTTATCAGCTTTTCATCTGAACTTTGTCATTCATAATCTGCCACCAGTACAATTGAAAATGACTTTAAACTATTTTTACACTTGGATATAAGGTTTGCTTTAAATAATCGATCTTGGGAAAAATAAGGTATTGTTATTCAGATGTAAGGGCTGCATAGTATTTTTCTGTGGACTTTCAAAAATCATTAATGGTTTTAACAGGTGCAACATGAACTTGTGTTGTGTACAGCGCGTCCCAAAATACCTGCAATATTGTATTATTTTGCGAGGCTCTGGCGTCGCTGCAGAAACCCGTACCGCCTTTATTCTTATAGCATTTTAAAGCTTGGAATCATAACTTTATCCCAGGTAAGTATTGGCTTGATTTTCAAAGTGTTTTAAATGATTCGTGTTCAAATAAAGGCATGTCAAAAACAAACTCAACCGATTTTAAGGAAAATCAATCATGCGCATTTTTTTCTAATGTGGAACCGGTTCATGCTCGTGCTGTGACGATCTCGTCTCCTTTTACTTTCTGTGTTTCCTGTTCTTTTCGATTCACGTAGACTATACCTTGAATGAATTCACAATATTGCTCTTCATTTCAAGTTCAATTTTGAAATTCACGTGCAAGTATGTACCTATTCAAAAAGCGCGCTCAAAGTGTGACTCGAGTTTGCATCTAAGGTACCCCATCATCGATTTTCCTTGAAATCGGTTGAGTTTGTTTTCGACATGCCGTTATTTGAACACCAATAATTTAAAAAATCTTTTAAATATCAAAGCAATACTCGCCAGGGATGAAGTTCCGAAGATTCCAAGCTTTTAAATGGTAGAAAAAAATGGCGGTTTGAGTTTCCGCCTCGACGCTAGAGCCTCGCAAAAAAGTTGCGGGTATTTTGGGACGCGTGGTATATAGCTTTATTTCTGTAATATTTCTGAAATACTTTTATTTTGTACATATTAATTCTCGTCGTAGGCTTCACCAATGCACTTTTCCTTGTGAGTTCAACTTTACTTAACATTATTTAATAATGTGTAATGTATGCAGGGCCCCATTGAAAACCAGATTGTATACTGTTTGGGCAGACTCTAGGTAAAGAATGGAATAAATAAATCAAACTATAATTATGTTTGTGGACAAACACTAGCTGTTTCGGCTGTTTGAAGTGACTCTGTGACATGTGATGACGACATGACGACGTCACTTCAAATGTCATCGATAACACATGGGACGTACATGAAAATGTGATGACGTCACCATGACGTCACTTAATTTTCATCTATAACCCATCCCGGTCTACGTACCTAAGAGGTTACAACCAAAATGGACTTACAGTTCTGTACATATAGAGATTTGAAAATGCCCCTTTAATTTGACATCACATGACTTGTGATGACGTCATCATGACGTCACTTCAATTTTCATCTGTAACACATCCTGTTCTAAGTACCTACCAACTTACCAAGTTACAACCAAACAGTGTTGTAGTAGAGTACTTTTCCACGAGTACGAGAGTACGAGTACATGGATTTTTTTCTTGCGAGTACGAGTACGAGTACGAGTACGAGTACATTTTCATGAGTACGAGTACAGGAAATAGTACTCGAGTACGAGTACGAGTACTACAACACTGGAACCAAATCTGACCTTTAATTCTATAGATGCAGGCCGTAGAAATATGCCCCTTTAATGTGGCGTCACATGACACGTGATGACGTCATGATGACGTCACTTGAATATTCATCTCTAACTTGATGAGCTTTATGAGTCCACAGTAGGTGCGGCGGGAACCTGACTGCGCCTTCGAAAACCGTACGGAATCGGCCCTGGCAACCGCGCACACTCTTTTCAGCTATCAAGTTTAACTCCTTTTTACGCGCGTAATTTTTAAAGAAACTTCTTTTTAAAACCAAACCTGAAATGCCTATTCGTTACGGGGAAAAAATCCATACGGCGAATTTTCTGCTGTAAACAATGAGTTGCTAAGGTACCCTAATTTTGAATATTGGATCGTTCACGTGTCAATTTTCCGTTGAAAACTTCAAGACTATCGAAGTAATGACAGGGCAAGGCAGTACTGAACATACAAATCAATGTGGTAATTTTTCATAGCCAAAATACTTCTAAATTTTTGCTAGATTTTGGAAACTAGATTTGGTAACTTGATACCATCCTCCACCATTATCTACAAACATGAATGTAAGGGAAAAGTCAAATTTTCCTGAAATCATGTCTTATACGTTATCAGAAAATATTTTGAAACATTTATCCCGATAGATATGCAGTGATTGAACATATTGATACTAAAATAAGATCTTCCATTTTTAGGTAGGCTATCAATGTAAAATTGCAAAGAAAGTCTTCGAATCGCTCAGCGGTGCAAAACCAGCAGCCCTCATTGCGTATGCAAACGTTTACCTTGAACGCACCCCATGGAGCTCTATCAGAGAACTTACCGGCAGCCAAGTCATATAGCGTCCAGCCAGAAAGTAGCCACTGACAGTGCCACGGTTGGAGCGACATAAGGACTGTAAAGAAAACAAATCCAATGTTAAAGCCATAACCCACTCCATTTGAAATACAATCGATTAAGTGAAAGGGTGTAAATTTTACTTGAGTCACTGCACTCTCCCCTGGACATCCGTCCCACGCGAAAATCACACGCTGAAAATTGACCAAAATAAACCCCCTTAGTTTCCCATAAAAATAGCGCGCTATATACCACGTGACTATAACATTACTGCACAATATCTTGTCTCCATTTGCAAAATTTTCAAAAACAACTTTACGAATTGTTATAAACAGTTTTTGTTAAGTATTTCATTTTTCCCTTTAAATTAAACTTTAAACTTAGGGGCTCGTTTTTGGTCAATTTTCCGGGGACAGACATATGCAAAATGGACGCGCATATACATCGATCGAGACAAAGCCCGTTTTAGTGCATTTACTAAAGACGGCATGGCATTTGGTCAATTTTTGTTCAAATATTTTTGGTCAATTTTCGGGGACAGACAGGCCGACAGACCGACCGACCAACCATCAAGTGACATGTGACCTGCCGGAGCTGAAAAAAAGAGAAACGGATGTATCTTTACCTGCATATTAATGAAATATCCGGTGGAAAAAGAGCAGATGAAAATGTATGTCAAAATGAAGTTAGATTTAAAAAAAAATGACTTTTTGGGGTACGCAGTCTATATTCGTTTCCAAACTAAAACCACTTTAATTCTTGATCCATAAAAGCATATTTATTTTGTCAAGTGTGCCTGTCCATTATATCTTCGCATAATTCTGCCCTATACACCTTGTAATGTGACTTGCCAAAATGCTTGTAACTTCTCATGTGGATTACTCTTTATTCATACGAGGTACTATATGTATATATACATGTATTGCTGTTATTTGTTTTAAGTAAAACGTACCGTATCCACTGTACCGGTCTTTTCATTCAGTCCGTACCGGTCTTTTCATTCAGTCCATACCGGTCTTTTCATTCAGTCCTTTGGCTTAGAGCTAATTTTGGGCAAATTCATAATTATGACTTATTATTAAGTCATAGTTATGACTTATCTACATGTATCTATATACAAGCTGATTTACCCGATCATAGATCGGGTAGGGCGTAGTGTTGGGGATGAAAATGTGGGGAGTTAAATGTAAATGGGGAATATAGTTGGGGAGACATGCAGTTATAGAAAAGCAATTTATGTGGTGTGATCTGAGACAATTTCTAACCACTAAAACCAATTTGAGCAAAAGATCATCTTTTAAAGTTTGGAGTTTGGAGTAATTGAATCAGCTACAGTATCTATCTATATATATATAAGAGAGAAGTTTACTCGCCCCCGAGACGATGTTTGCTCATGAAAGGATCCGAGACCGCGGGCTCACGCGGCGCCAAAATCGCTCCACGTCCGTAGAAAAATACGGAGGGTGTCTTCCGCCGGGTCGGACGCTTCGGGTCGTCCTGATTTTCCCGTACGGACCGGCGATCCGTTTAGTCGATTTTTCGTGACTGCATTTTGCGCAGGAATTTGCCGTCGTGTGCGCTTTCACGTTGACTGCCTGTCCGCCCCCATGTGCTGGCTTTTCTGCGTGTCTAGACTGTGCGAGGTCAGCGAGGTCAACGTAGGGGTTGCGTTTACGTGTTCTACTCGGCCCTTCTGCAAAAGCGTTCACCAAATGGTGGTGGGGTGACCTTGGTAAAATATTTTTTGTCCATGGTGCGTGGCCACCAAGTGCCCCTATTCTTTCATATGCTTCGCTTGCCGCCCCTGCGCCGAGTGCAACGAATACGCAGAAGGACTACACTTAAGTATGCCTTGCGCGGTCTGACCAATCGAAAGTCTACACTGCGTAGTATTTCCGGGCTATGCAAAACTGTCGATGGCAATGCGTACTGCAGCCTGCTCCACACCCTGGAAACGAGGTTGGGTCTACGGTGCTCGCTATTTGAAGCGCAAGCATGTGACGTCGCGTGACAGAGTGCTGTTGCTTCCATAATGTGTTTACAGCTCCATGCTTCCACCACCAAGGCTGAGCGTTGGAGTTCGCTGCCCGCCACAGTGTTGCGTTATAATTTCGGGGGCCTGTCTGGGATCAACGAAGGATCGATGCATTGCTTCAAACATCGCGATCTTAAACGCAGTCACACAAAAAATCGACGAAAATGTGTCCGATCTGGCGGAAGACACCCTCCACATTTTCCCACGGACGTGGAGCGATTTTGGCGTCGCGAAAGACCGCGGTCTCAGATCATTTCAGGAGCAAACATTTCTCGGAGGCCGAGTAAAATTTGCTCTTATTAACTTATATAGATGGTTGACCCAAGTTGAATAACAGTTGACTCGACTTTTTCCTCGCAGACAGTCTCGCAAATTGTAAGAAGTTCAAGTTTACGTTTGTTGAAGAGTCCAATATACTGAAACTTAATTATGACCTTCCTAATCAGCCTTCGCCTGTGTACTACGGTAAGCCTTTCAAGTTTTCTCACAAATGCCACTGCCTCACAAAATGCCAATTTAACGGACCAACGGGAACATTTACAGACTGTTGCCATGGTACATAATTATCATGGGCGTCAATCGGTGGGGGACGGGGAACCCCTCCACCCCCCCCCCCCCTTTTAAAGCGGTGGACACTGTTTTGGTCCCCTCCCCCCACTTTTCTTCCCCGAATAAAAATTGTAGCTACTACATGTATAATGATTCTATTACTCAGAATAGCTGATTCAATGACACCAAACTCGAAAATGATGTTTAAAAGATTATCTTTTGCTAAAAAAAATTGTTTAGTGGTCAGAAATTGCCTCAGATCGCACCACAGAAATTGCTTTTCTATAACTGCATGTCTTCTCAACTAAATCCCCCAATTACATTCATCTCCCCACATTTTCATCCCCAACTCTACGCCCTACCCGATCTATGATGGGGTAATCAACGAGGGATCGATGCATTGCTTCAAATATTGTGATCTTTGAACTATGTTGGGTTCGAATAACGAAGAGTGCATAAATAATAATATTGGCGGTTGTTGGCTGTTTGGCCTTGCTTTTATTATGGTTGAACCATGCCAACTTGAATAAAATAGTTAAATCGACTTTTTCCTCGCAGGTCTCGCAAATTGTAAGAAGTTCAAGTTTACGTTTGTTGAAGAGTCCAATACTGTATCTTCATAATGACCTTCCTCCATGATTCAGACTATGTAATTTTATGGTAACACACTCAACATTTTCATTGCAAATGTCACCTTCACGTTTTATTCCATTATGATTTATTGTCAAAACAGTACAATCAGCCTTCGCCTGTGTACTATACGGTAAGTCTTTCAACTCAGTTTTCCCACATTAACAAACGCGACTGCCTCACAAAATGCAATTTAACAGACCAACGGGAAAATTTACAGACAGTTTATACATGCCATGGTACATAATTATCATGGGCGCGGCGTCAATCGGTGGGGGACGGGGGACCCCCACCCCAACATTTTAAAGCGGGCAATATCGTTTGGTTCCCTACCCCCACTTTTTCTTCCCCGAATAAAAATTGTAGCCTACTATAATATTCATTTGCTCAGAAAAGCTGATTCAATGACTCCAAACTCGAAAATGATGTTTAAAAGATGATCTTTTGTTTTACTATCGTACGTGCTCAGAAATTGCCTCAGATCGCGTCACTTGCTTTTCTATAGCTACAAGTCTTCTCAACTAAATCCCCCATTTACATTTAACTCCCCACACTTTCAACCCCAACACAAATACGCCCTACCCGATCTATGATCGGGTAAATCAGCTTGTCTATAAAAAAAGGAAAATAATTCACAACGTCCGCTACCAGCTATATTATCGTTAATTTATATCATATAACCTGGATGCAGAGTTTTTAATTGCTTATATGTTTAATGTATCAATAGTCAATGGTATGTTTTTCTACAAGAGTTTAGATTATTTTCATTTTTAAAATTTGAAATTATTATTCATTTTTTCCGATTGTGTACACTGTAAAAAAAAAGTTGGGCAAAATGGGTTGATAATTCGACCAATGATGGTCGAATTATCAACTGCCTACAATATACACTCTAGTCTTGGTCAAATTCTTCCCCGCCAATAGTTTGACAGTTTTTACCTAATTCAACCCAATATGAGGTAATTTCATGCTGTGTAAATTACCGTTGCCCAACAGTGGTTTATCCAACTTTTATGAGTATTCATTGTATGTCTAAGACCACTGTGGGAAAATCTGTTGTTTTGCCCCTCTGACGAGATAAGACTACCAACATTGCAATTCTCTGCAGAGTACTTCCATAGTACTACTTAATTATTATTCATATAAGGTTTTCTCCCAGCTGACTGACTTTGTTTTACCACCCCGGTTTCTGCATTATCATTTTGTGGTTTGCCCAGGAAAGCGAGGCCAAGCAAACATCAAGTGGACTGAGGTCAAGCTCGAGTAATATCCGTTTTGGTTTTCTAGCCATCAACAACAGAACACACGGTGTAAAGTTTCTTAAAAGGGAAGGGTTTTTACATCACTGGCTGCGCTCTGTTGTCATGGATCAAAATCGTTCTTAACTCATATTCCACGATAAAGTTGACTGGAAGTTGTTAAGTTTAAACCCCCCCCCCCCACACACACACACACACACATTTTTGTCACATGACGTTTTTTTTACTCGGGCTAGGCCTCCTAATATGCGGATAAATCACCTGTTGCTTTGTGTTATTGGCTTATCATTATTTCCTTGTAAACAAAACAAAAGAGAAAGGACTGAGCTCAATTATTGCACTTAACACGTGGAAATTTGAACTCAACTCTGTGTGGTTGTGTTTACATTCCAATCTTATGGTAAAGTATAATGTATGCCCTTGCTTGTAACTATGACAGCTGTTGTTGGATTTTTTTCAGTAGCCCAGAAATATTAAACATGTACCCAGAGTCATCAGTATTTTGGCCGAGCCTGTTTAATTGTGGAGTGCAAACAAACAGAAAATACATTCGCTATTCAACCCAAATGCTTACATATTCTTTCA